GCCTCTATGGATAAACAGAGACGGTCTCATGTAAGTACGGTAAGTCTCAAGTCTTGTTACCTTACACTATCCTCTTCTAGTCTGTCTATTTTTCAGTCCTCAGTATTCAAGCACTATGAGTCCAGGTTGCCTTGGCTCTAGAAATTGATAACGAATAAGGGGTTACCTAGTGAATGCTTACGACCACTAAGGCATGCTGGGTGATTGGTTACCCCTGAATCTGGGAACAGACCACGTGTCTACGAAGCCCAAAGTTGGTTACCAGGTAATTAATATATCTTATATACAGGTAGCGATCCATCTTTAACTACATGCCTACTTTTCTTTCTACTTTCCCACTTTATAAGCCCTGGTTCTACCAAGCACGACACCAATTGAAGGCTACCTACCACAGCCACCCACGACGATTCAAAGGCAACAAAGACACAGATGCCAGCAGCATAGTGATGAGAGCTTAACCCTCAATAATTAATGAAGGTTAAGAGAAGCGGCTATGCATTGAGTTGTGTACTGACCCAACAGCCTTGGTTCATGAACCGATCACTGCAACTTGTGTCCGAAGGCCTGCATAGCATACCGTCCAAAGCTTGAAAGATATCGGAATACGATCAGATATATATAATATATCTTATATCGGAGAATGCGACAAGGAAAATGGATGTTTTGTGGTCAAGGCACCTACCAACCTGCCTACCTACATATAGCCAACTACCCCTATCTAGGGTCAGCAACCCACGATTCCCAACCGCCCCAATCAATACAACATCAATTCGAAGCTTCCGCGGAATGAATCCCAGGAACTATTGACAAGAAAGGATTGATATCGTTGATATATAAGTAGGTTTATACCAGGATGCTTGTGTATTGCGTCCAATTCGGGTCACCGACCGACGTCCTAACCCCCGGCGACAGAGCCCGAGGATTCGGGTTACCAATCTCAAGAGAAATAAGTCAACCAACAGCATTCCGAATCCAACCTACGAGTATTTGAGTTATTTGAGTTATTTTTACGTTTCCATGTTCCCATGTTCCCATCTCCAAATGCCCCACGTTGCCTACGAAGTGCCGGCATTGGTAGATTACGCAGGACAACATGGCTTTGACTCTTGGTAGGTACGCAAATAGGAATTACTAAGGTAATTTCGTCAATTTGTATGTATGTGTACTAATGTATTCTCTCGTAGTCGTTCTGCTGGGTTTAGAACGTGTTGTACGTTTCCAATTCTCTGGCTAACCGCCGGTAGATGCTAGGCGCCTTCTTACCTGTTGCCTTGCGCCCTGCTTGTCGGAGAGGCTTGATGACGCCCGGAATCAATTGGGATATCGAGATAAATCAACCCGCGGGATCCGATACTCTCCAGACGATGTTGCGACGCTTTTTGAGTCCTACTGCGCCTTGAATACCTTAGGTGGGTAAGTGTCATCGATGAGCAAGACGTATCATGTCGCCCAAGTGACTGTACACCCGCCATCTCCAAGCTCGATTCCCAGCCTCGGCCGTTTCAAGGCAGCCCTCGATTCGTTTCGCGTGTTATTCAAATTGGTTTTCGGGACCCCAAGAGGCTATTTGAAGCGAAAGTTTCACAGTCTCAAGTCAATTGGGCGACCTATTCAGCCGAGAATTTTCTTCATCTTCTCCCCGTTACACCGAATTTGATAACTTGGAGAATCTCAGCACCGAGTCATGTAGGACTAGCGATGGTGTCATCTCGAAATGTCTACACCGTCTGCCGTGATTTTCCCTCCGGCATGTGCGGCTGCATTCGTGCCGCATCCTACAAGCTGCCTTGCTCACAGACTGTCTGTTGTGCGAGAAGTACCGGTCAGGGACTCACGCACTGTCAATCCATCATATCATCATCAACCTTGTCTGTCTGGGAAATTAGATATGTTTCTCACATCGAAAGGATCCCCTCGAAGGGAAGTGAAAGGCTGAGACAGTTGAGTAGGAATAGACGGGAGCCTTGTCTGCCTAGAAGGCTGGAATGCAGGGACTTCCTCAATTTCTTACTGCGCTAGCCTGTTATCAAGCCTTATACCCATTCCCAGTAAGCCGTGTAGCTACCCGGTTCCGTGGGGGCGATCGCGTCCTCACCGAAACTGGGCTACCAATCAAATCTATCGTGTAGGGTTTAACTCCAAAACGACCTACCTAGTACCTACCTACCTAGGTACGATAGATGATGGATTATTGCATTTTGGTTAATTGACATCCCTTTACCCTAACCCCAACCCCCCAACCCCCCCTTTTCAAAAAGGATGATATAATATTTACGGTAATTGAGGAAGTATATGGCTATAACGAGCACTGTGCAGATACTGACCCCACCAACTCCCTAACCATAGGTACCTAGTAATCTCCGTGCTAGGTCGCCTACGGCATACCACGTTCTTAAAACGCGAGGGCCTCGTGGGGATCATAGATCTGTTGTGTGACCTACATAGTATTTGCCTACCTACTAGGTATCTAGGTATCTACCTCCCTAGTGTTATGAGATCCTTGTTTTGGAGGCGCGAAATTTGGGGTAGAGCATCATCCATTGAATATGTTGCAACCTTCTCGGTAGGTATGAGATTTTGTTTGATCTTCGATTGATGAAGTAGGCAGCAGAATAATGTCTCGTAATTGATACATGTAACCTACGTAGTACTCTGAATGCAGCAGAGGTATGTCCGGGCATGCATGTCGATAACTAATAGGTAGGTATGGTACCCCATCCATACCTGTCTACGTGCTTTTCACCGGTTGCCTACCTGCGTATGTAGTTACCACAGTCGCCGTTCATTATCGCCACGTTAAGGACGGGATCTGAGCCTCGTAGATAACTTGGAACATGTCCGGAGACTCGCAATAGCTGACGACGGGATGCATGGCTATGGCTTAAAAAGAAATGTGTAGGTAGCGTCGGAGACAACCCCGTAGCTTCCGATCTCGGTGTGCATACTTACCAGGTAGGTAGGTAGGTAGCGTTTTGAATTTGCACTTAAAGTATCAAGGTAGATGGATAAAGGACCCCTAAGTCCTAAGCTCAATAGATAATATGGTCTTACATACATGCCCTTCGATGGTCACAGGTCTGGAAATATATAAAATTTCCATCTGACACCAGCAGACAATGATATGGATGTTCGTAAGATTGCTTATTACCTAGCTGCAAGTCAGATTTCGATATGTACCGTAGTGCATTTAAGGCACATCCATGATGAATGCTTTCAGTACCTTGCGAATCCCCCTGGTATTGGAAGTGAACAACGGCTTACTGTAGATACTTAGTTACCTACATACCGTGATACCTTGTAGAGTAGCAGGGTTGTACGCATCGATATCTACCAGAGTACCTGACTGTAGGCATCGGATAACAACCTTGGACTTACGCGGATGTCTTCCAGAAAACCCCGCATCTTCGGTTCCCTTCACAAAAGTATCTAATTGACCTGATGATGCTTTTATTTATTTGCCGACTTAAGCCGTCATAACGTTTACAAATGTCTTAAATACAACGCGCATTATTCGGTGAAATATAGAAGGCGTACTTCGTAGTATGCAAAAACCCCCATTAAGAACTTGTTTAGGTTTATTAGGACAGTTTCTACAGACGAGTTGATAAATCCGTTTGATTAATGTCTCATTTCAATCAGGTGGGTGTAACCCCGCGATGCGGGGCTGATGAGACGTACCTATTCAACTATTGTACCATTTAAATATTGCCAGGTGGGCAACATGCTTTTAGTTTGGTACGGAGTTAAAGTTATGTGCAAGATTGCGCATATTGTGCCGACTTCAATGTACGTATGGCGCAATGTCTTGCCTAATACCCCAAATAAAGAAGAAGGCATCCGAAGCCAGTGTTAGGTCTATGAGACATGAATATAATATTGGAATGTGACATCAAATACAATAACTCGCAATTGACTAAGTACTATTAATACTATTTGGGAATACGCGCCTGTTAATGCAGGTATACGGTATGCCCAATTGTAATTTCAACCCCGATAATCTGATAATCTTAACATAGAAAAAGGGGGAAGATATTGTTTCCAACGCCTCATGCGCCAACGAAGAATACATCAACGCCAATCGCTAATCAATTGTAAGTATGAAAGTTTCAGATCAAAGGACCGCGTCACCTTAGCCGATCGAACCAGTTCTATTGCGCGTCTTGATACCGTCCGGTTGGATCGCATCATTGAAGCCTGTGGCTGTGCCATCTATTTTTGGCGCCGGTAGGAGACCTCACCCATACCTACCTAGCTGAACCTCAAAGATGAGCGAATCGATTTGCGAGGTCTAGGTGTAAGAATCCAAGAACTGGTCCGAGAAGAAAGTTGCCTTGTTATATGTCCATTGGTTCCAGTCCCGTTGAGCCACTGCGTCTTACGTAAACGAGACCTCGTGCTTCATCATCCTTAGGTTGGCATTTAGCCATACATAGGACCTAAACAGACACCGAACGTCGAAAACCTACTCAGCATCCGTAATTCATGTGTCTTCTAAGGGCCATGCGAAAATAGGGGTCTCGGCCGATAACCGATAAAGGGGGAAGTAGGATAAATTTATACTATAAAATAACAGTGTAAGAACACTGTTAATCGGGAGTAACCTAATACATGAATATGAATTAATTACTTGTACAATAAGTAAACATTAGGTGATAAAGAGATGTAAACAAGATCAACCAACCTTCTCGCCAAGTAGAAGTGAGAATATGACTGTCAAGGTGTGTCACTATTATTCGTGCAGTGTCGGCGATGTTAAACGGGATGGAGAACAGTCTTGCCGGCGACCCGAAAAATATTAATACGTAAGATAGATATTGTAAGGAAATGGAGAAAGGACCGTGAACATATATGGATCACCGATTTGTACAATGATCCTGGTCAATCCCCAGCTGATGATACACCTCACAGTAACATCACATAGCATCAAGACCATCCGCAAGCAAGAGTCAAGGTCCGTCGCTAACTGGGGCCACTTGGGAGGTAGCCGTTGTGATATATTGTTATTGGCGAATGATAGGCTTGCAGGCCATGGCCTCATCAACATCTATCATATCCTCATCGTCCTTCTCAGATGCCGTGATACCCATGGTGGTTATGGAGTCAAACGTAGAGCCGCGAGAAGCCGATTCACCAGTTTCAGAGACGGTCATCATATCAGTATCCTTGGAAACGTTATCTATCTCCTTTTCGTAGGAGGATACAACACCAAATTGATGTGACTTGTCATCGTAGGTAAGCCATTTGGCGAATTTCGAAATGCGACACCCAAGCCAAAGAATCCTTTCTTTGCGGTCATCCGTCATGGATGCCACTTCAAAATACTTCTCGTCATCGTCGATTTTGTCATTGGAGAACCAATCGTTGGGGAAATACTTGTCTACCCAAACAAGACCCTTCGTAGCAAAGTCTTCCGGCAACGGTCGAGGGGCAAACTCCTTATCCTGCCTAGGGAACTGCTCATCCTCGATTCTATGATGCTCCCGGTAAGAGAGGAGGAGCGAATTTAGTTGAAGAGAGACTAGTTTCCACGGGAACCTTTTCTCGATGTATGGCATCGCGCCAGGAAAGTGCGTCAGATGAAATATGAAGACTAAAACCACGTGTAGAAATGGGAGAGTCTACGTAGAAAATTTGATTCAGTACTCAGCGGTGCTAGTACTAACTTGGGAAGAAAAACTTACATTGAGGTCGCCGAGTCTACGTAAGACAACACCACATGTGCCTTCGAGGAGTTTCAGAGAGCCCTCCTCCGTTCTACTCGGCTTATATTCGGAAATAGCCTTTTCGAAGCTCGGGTCCGACTCAGCTGATTCCTCGGTGTGATGTGGGCGAAGTGCCTTGATGATGACATTATCATCCTGGCCGTAAGACAAGAGGCTACAGCAAATAGCGATAGCTATGTAATACCTATCTCAACATCAGTAAGGTAAATTCAATCATAGTTGAGGACGATTCCTACCCAGATTCCATCCATTTCCTAGTAGTTCTACCAATATGGTTATCTAGCGCGCCGCAAAACTTATCAAGTACGGGGAGGAAATCTTCAGGGAACTTGTTGCTAAATAGAATCGCGTTTATTTTGACGAATGTGACATCTATTGGGTTCAGCCTCGAATGCTGGGGGCTTGTCGGGTCAAGAATGGGATCAAACAAAGTCATAATTGACTCCCGAGCGGAGGGGAAAGGGATAGGCACGCAGAGAGATTTGGTGTAATAGTAAAGCTGTTGTAAGGGGTTAGGTCTGGCGAGAATCGCAAGGTGATGGTACAGCCGCCCCGTGGTAGGTGCCTTATCGGACGCCTTCGAATACCAGTGTCGAGACACCGAAGTCCAGACCTCTCTATCGCGGATGTCGTCGTCTTCAATAGCCATCCTATATCGCGCATTAACTCTTGGAAATACACGGGATCACGTGACATATCTAGATACTCACCTATATCTTCCCAAATCTCCCAAACACTCGATCCAGGTATCCTCGAACGCTGGAACGGTCTCGAAGAGAAGGGCCATCATAGAGTAAGCCAGATAAATAAATGTTAACATGTGCTCAAGAGAATGTGGCAGCCGGTGGCGTAATAATTCAAGAAAAGAATGGATGCCATGACGCCACATTCTGGCTGGCATAGCGTACTTAGATGCCAGCCGTCGAAGAGCCGGACTGGCGGAAGGGTGTTGCGAGGCTAAAAAAAAGTCGTGGTGTTCGTGAAGTAGCGTTCTGTGTAATGCGATTAGAGCCTGCCATTGTTCATTGTTCAGTTTCGTATCATTCTGTGTCGACTGGGCGTTGTCGACTTCAATACATTTCGACTCTACCATCACAAGCCCTGCATATATACCCTTGACCTCGGCTATCAGCTGTTCCTGGCTAATTGGCCGAGTTTCGGGCTGTTTAATGAGCTTAGTAGATTCACCATCATCTTCGGCAACGTCTGTTCGACTCTTGGGCTGGCTAATATTCCTCGCTGGCCTAGGAGGTTGCTTGGGGCGTGGGGACGAAGGGGATGCAACATCGTCCGGGTTCCAAAGTTTCCCTACTTGAGCAGCTCTATTAAATTCAGGGTCGTTGGCAGTACCCGACGTAACCCGGGCTCTAGACCGTCTGGGAGGACTTGCGGATCTAGGACGACCTTTTATTGATAAAGCCGGGGATTTACGTCTTTTATAAGGGCCAACATCATTCCCCCCGTCTTTATCTTCCGGGATATCTTTCTGCCCACCGCCAGGTCCCGGTAACCTTCTACATATATTAGCGAATGAGAGGCACTTGATAGAAGGAATACTTACTTAAGTGCTTCAGGGTCTCCTTTCTTGACTTGTTGAACGACAAGGGCTACATCTCGGCCTTCTAATAGATTACGATGATGTGATAACAGATGTGTTTTTATTCGGTCTTCAATATCAGGAAACTCAATAACACAATCTTCAACGGGGCAACGGAGCTTTGAAGCCTTTCTGAGATAATTGGTGAAGGAGGCAGCGACATCCTTCTGAGGCATGGTGGCGAGTACCCAGGCTCAAAGTTCTTGGTAGAACTTCCAAACCTCCTAGTAAAATAGGGGTGAAATGTATACCTTCGGCAGATTTGAAGGGAGATAGGTCAGTCTGAGTAAACGACTCTTCTTTTGTCCGTTAACAGAATTGTCGAAGACAAGCGCATATGGATCCCCGCAAAATCAGTAACAGTGCCAGTACCCACAGTAGTTGCCCACGAAGATGTACTCAAACTCGTAGTTACTGTGTTGGATAAAGGATTGCATGCATGTGAAAGATCACAGTCAAGTTCATATGCTAAAACGCTTAAGTCAGCAAGGCCAAGACTCGGATCATTATCATGACAAATTATGAATAGGTAATGACACATCAGCGATTGGATGGCGAATAATGCAGATTGCAGATATGCACGGTTTCTTACTTTACTATTCAGTCTTTGAAATTCTATTTCGATATTGAGGCGGGCAGCCGAAAACTGAAGCGGGATAGAAATCATAGGTGATGGAAATATTGCTCAGTAGCTGATTGAGGAAATTTTGGATAAAGCGGGGATGTTGTTCAAGTAGCGTATGAAGGCCATGACATGGTTAACGGATTTTGACAAGCTTAACACTACTAGGTAAATAGGTAGGTAGATAGATACCTAGTAGGTATGGAATTGATTTATGACTGTGGAAATGGTCCAGATAGCAAAAGTTATAATTTACAAACTTCGAGCAGAAGTCGATAGATATACTCTTCCCTTTGCAGCCTTACTACCTAGAGAGTAGGTATCCGCGACCCATACATTAATACCTACCTCCTAGGTACCTACCTGTGATATGCTTAGGTACAAAGACAGGTACACAGTATGTACCCATACAGTGTCAACCTAAATTGGGTAAGGCAACAAGTTGGTTCGCATCCCACTTGAGGCTCTTAAATCTTAGCTGTCAGTTCCCCCCATTTCATTATTTCCCAATCCTCTTTCAATGAAATTCATTTTATCCCCCAAACACATTTTCTTCCTTCAGCTATTGAATGTTCGATTTGCGTTTAATTCCACCTTCGTGGTCCATCCACGCCCTATCGACGCATCAATAAGACGCCTTGTATTCGACAAACACTCCCCTAAAAACGCTCTAGCGATCCGACTCGCAGGAACCGACAGGCAAGCACACGCACGAATCGATACACCGGACGACGAGGCTTTTCGGTATAACCCAGAAATCACGTTAACGACAAGGAGGGTTAAAGAACTAAAGAAATTGAGAGGCTGGTCGGTAGCGAGTCAGCACCACTGCCCTCGATCCAGTAGGCAGGTGAAGTTTGCGACGTTCGTGATATGCAAATTTGGTTCGCCCGAACTATGTAGATTAGGCAGGCTCTGTCAGACTTCCGTACTATGATCTAGTTAAGCGATTCTGAATTCATGTTAAATAATTGCGAGAAGTGTGTCGAGGTGATCATTTCAGCATTTGTGACCTACTTGGTGGGTAGGGGGAAGTAGGAGGAAGTATGTAGAAGGCAGGTCGAAAAACATATCCATATACCTACTACCTACTTTACCACCTACCTTAGCTGCCTACCTAGTAGGTACCTAGTAATAGATAGGCAGATGCATTCACTCGGTGCCACTTACAAATACCTAGGTAGTATGGGTAGGATGCATTTTGAGATACATCCACAATGGCTCACCGAAACCTGTACTGGCTATTTAAACATTTTTACAGGAGATCAAATCCGCGGGGTCTGAAGTGCAATTTTTAGTCGTGGGGTGTGTAACTTGGGTGTGCAACTTGGCAGGGAAAAGGTCTCCAGGGCTATTTTTACAGAGTATCTTTCCGCGGGATGACAGCAGCAGGCTAACTCTGGAGGTCTCTAGGACTTGCGCTTGCACGTGGGTCCCTTTCCTAACTCGGTCCAATAACTCACAGTTCGTTTACGAACTCATCGAGAGCCGCATTATTCCTTCTCTAGGTATTCTTAACGTCACGCCTAAATTTAGTCATATATGTAGCCGGTGCTTCATTTCACTCGGGCAATCCTCTTGTCCTTCGATGATATCCATCCATAGACTTACCTGCTTATATTCTCCAAAGGTACGTTGCAGTTTCCAGGCCCCGGCCACCTCGCCACCAGGTACCTATTTATCTGCCTCTATCAAGTTCACCTTACGAGATATCACATCTGAAGGCACGGGTCCGTGAGATGAGTCAAGATAGAATCAAGTCTGACTTTACGAGAGAACTAAGGCGACCTTATATGACATAGGCTAACTATTAACTACCGAACCGTATTGGTATGTATGCCTAGGAGGTGATTTGGCGCATATTACGATTAGAAGATCAAAGATTTTCATTGCCGTTAATACACGAAGACGCCCCCTACGACCCTTCGGCATGAAGCACGTCACTTAGCATCCCAAGCGAGTCTTTTTTATAAGTTTAAATTTTACTTCAACTTGATTCCATACATCCATACCTCCATACATACTAGCATTGGCTTGTATCCGCCCTGTGGCGGTCCTATGAAGCCTTTGATTCAGTATGGCATACAGTACTAACCCGCCCTACAAGACGTCGGACCTATCTCCGCCCACCAATTGTCTCGGGCTAAATTCTCAGTCGGGATACCGGTATTCCCAACCGGAGTCGGTATTGCGTTCCACTGACATCGGCGACGCCGTACATCCAAAACGTCTCCTTCCAACAGTGGCACCAAACCTCATCCTATCATTGCGTAGCCAGATCCGTGACCGATCTATTTAAGATACGAATTTATGCAACCAAAGGAATGGCAAAGTTCTCTTCTATCTCGCCATTTAGGGGCAATTTAATGATTAGGTAGGTAATTACCATGTATCCTTTCTCTTGAACAACTACAACCTACCTACCTACATACCTATCTAACATAGAAACACTGAAATGATACATACTTACATAGCCTCAACCGCGGTAAATTATATATATACGTCTACGCGGCCCGGACCTTTTAGCCGAACTCCTGGGTAGGCGAAGTTCCCCATGAGGTCGCCTTCGCCTTCTCGCCACGCCAGGTGGCGGGAAAAAGAATCGCCTCATTGACTTCATACATGTGTCTTGAGACGATTCAATTTTTTTATACAAGCAACTTCCTATTCTATTCTAGCGTTTAATGACACCTCGTCTCTTGTCTCTAAGGCATAGGCATGAAAATATCTGATTTTTCCTTTCGGAACCCATACTTACCAAAGTAATCTACGGAGCTTACTCAGTTTACCCTCAAACCCCGAACATGTTATCTCGAAGTGGACTAGATTAGTTATTTCAGCTCGCCTCCTAGGATTTGATCGTTGCTTTTACAGGCTCACGCTCAGTCTCGGTACCCATTTTAATTGTCATCAGACCTCAACAACACACCTAAGCTTCGATTGTCATCCAAGATGATAAGACTCGATATTGTGCCACCATAGAGGTCTAGAGGCATCTCAGAGCTCTTGGTCAGTTGAAGTAGGATACTTGCCTTGGGATATTGTGAAATGGATGAGCCGGTGGCGGCAGAGATTCCTGAGGCAAGGTTGGCGTCATCTACCTAGCTGCGCCAGATACGGATACGTGTATCCCATTGTTGCCTACCCACCTAGTACCTACTTAGTAGGTATATACGTGTGGATGGTGTAACAAAAACAATCTATCAAGTCTCTCAGGGCAGGTTCGAAAACGAGATTTTCACGGTGTCCAGCAGGCAACAATCTTTGCTTTTATTTGACAAGGGTTGCATTAATTTTCATTTTAGGTCAGACGGGATTTCGAGGGCGCCATCGTGCTTGCCTGCCTGCCTGTTGATTCGACATCGGCCTATCAAGCTTCAGGAACAGCCTTTCTCTTTGACGAGCTGTGGCGGCATGCCCATTTTTTATTGGTAATAGCCCATAAATGTGTGTAGGGTACGGTCTTATCCATCCATGGGTATTAGAATGGGCGTCAGATTCACATTTTCACTCACCGAATATTCACTCGACCGGTAGAATTCGGAAAGGAAGAGTACAGGACGGGACAGCTCAACCTCATACAATTGCTAACCTCGGTTTACATGTGGCTTTAGATTCGTAACCGGGGTCTAGATAACTCACAATTGGCTATCATTCTCCGGACTGTCACCGATCAATGAAGTATTCAGGGCGTTGAACTTCGAAAGAATTACGTGTTAGTATAATCTCACTACAATAACAGAGCACAGCGTCTAACATCCCTTAGAATATCCTATAGATGGCCTTGGTACATGCTAAAGGTCGTTCTTATAAGGCTTCACCGCTAGGTAGGTACCTAGGTTCTCCGTGTAACCCCGACGTATATTCCTACCTAGTACATATGAACTTGATGTCAAAAGGCCGAATATCTCTTCCTTACGATCCGAGAATCTTGCTGTGAGTCATCACATCTTACATCATTTACTGGGTTCCAATGTTGTTTTATCTCCAGTGTTCAAAGACCTCGGGCTCACCTGGTGTATGATCCAAGATCACTAACGTCCAATAATTTTCGTGGCTTAGTAACTACTAAGTAGGTAGGTAGGTAGCTCACACGATTTCAGATGGGGGTAATGACGAGCATTATTCTGTGTATACATAAACGATGACCCATAGAAGCAGCCGAGGAACGTTGGCGTTTTTAAAACACTCAGAGGCCTAGGTCGAAAGCTGGTCAGACCATGACAGGCCACACGCGTCTCGCCACGATCATATGAATGAACAACAGTGTTGATAATATGTACGAATGGATTTGGTCGCCTAACTTTCTCAGCTATTGATTCTTCATAGACGTATTCTTATCCCTTGCAGTATGAGAGTAGCCGATGGCAAACAAAAATAGGCTTTACCAACGCTGTTGATGATATATGAGGCTGCATGGAAACTTAGGTCGTATTGATATCGTATTGGTACACCCGAACATGACAAGGCGAAAGTAAGGCGCAGTCCTAAACGCGAATCGTCAAGGATATATGTATGTATTCATGCGACTCTCGTACCTGTCGTTTCGCATTTCCTTTTATGTCATTTTTACTTACATACGTACCGAAGGATTTCTATATATATCTCGCCAGGTACCCGCACTTTACTTCAGTATGACGGCCACTAAAATGGTTTGCTTTATTCAGCTTAGCATCATTGACCAGATATCAATACATACATCTCAAACGTGCTTCCACCCATAACGTAGGACTCTCGGGTTTTAATTAAGCTTAAATGATCTATTACACGTGCTGGAACCTGACATGTTATGTTATCCCTGTCCTCCTAGGGTGGTGGACCACCCTAGTATGGTTGGTCTTTTTGTGGAGGATATTAATGTGATATTAATGGATGCTTCTATAAAGCAAGGGTTTCTTTCCTGTTGCCGTTGTCGGAATGCAGCATATGTAGGTATTAACAGGGCGACTACTGTATTTACCTATGTAAGGCAACCAGGACTAGGACTCACCGGTATGTTCCCGTTTCTTTTATGTCTTTGTTGGTCATGTATCTCCGACGATGGTATGGTCTTTCAATGTGGCGGCGGTTGCCTCTTCGTTTTCAATGACACGTCGTTGAATAAAGGGTTTCCCAATAGGCATTGGGCGCATAAACCTGTCGGCTCAACAATTATAATCCTTAACGGCATATGCAGTGAATGTCACAACATGCCTTTGATAACCAAATCCGTACTTATCAGGAATGTATAACGTATACTTGAAAGGTACCTATTATGATAATACTTACAGTGGAAGTGATTAATCATATATATGCTGCATACGCTATTATAGCCACTCACGTGAGGATTATGTGTCTTATCATCGGAAGAACTCTGCTTTTGATAGCATGTCTAGTGTTGATAGATATTATTAAGAGAATCGGGATCGGGAGCTCGTATCCGAAACGTACATACAGGTAGGTGCACAATGTTGTAAATGGTGGGCCCTTTCCGAATTACTATCATATGGAACATACATATACTAGCACAAGAAGTTCGTCCTACTCAGACGGGCTCTAGCAAGTATGCAGTGTGATATAATATACTTATAGTGTCTGATATTTACCAACGAAGATTCGCAACGACCCAAACAAAGTTCAATTTCAAGGTTCGATCGTTCTTCTTAGACAGTTGATTTTCTTACCAGGTCACAGCTTGGATTCATGGGGCCATGACATGGCCCGTGGCTCAGTCAGGAATGGGGAGGTCAATGCTTCAGGTATGATCTTGGCTCGCAAGAATTGACGAAGAGGGACACCAAGGCGACGAGAACTTCCAAGAACGAATAATTCGACGTCTATCGGATACTGGCGAAGGCACAATTCGGGAGCTGTTCTCGCCTACGACGAGCCCCATTGCTTGTCCGATTGTTCCACCGCACCCGCCGAGCTAGACGCGTAAGACCATACCGACGCAATTCATGCCCACGAGATCGAATTAATAAGGCTGAGGGGTTGATCGAGGAATCTCGAGTGCTGAAACGCTCGACCGATTGGATGAAGAATACAGCTCATAGCACTCCGATACCGAAAACTGCCTCGACGATTGGGTCGTGTCACGCCTGGGCAGCACCCTCTAATTTTTACGTCATGTTTCCAGCGTTTTCTAATAAGTGTCCGGTGGTAACGCTAACACCACTATTTAGTCCTACGAGACAACAATGTGCAATGTGTACCTAGCAAGGATCGCCAACCATCACGAACTGGTGGGGTATGAAGTCTAGGCCTAGCTTCCCACAAGGTTACCTACAGTAGGCGGGTTTGGCTAATTGGAAATACTTTGGAAGCTCAGTAAAACAGCAGGGTTGGAAGTCCCCCATGCAGTTTTAAGAAGCGGTGAAAATTTACTGTAAGACAAACATATGCCCAGGTAGGGTCTAATTACCTACTAAGTTGCTAATCCGGACGCTATGTGGAGACGCACCTGGATGGAGTGCATAGGCACGCAAAGCTTTCCTGCACAGGCGTGGATCATATCATGATTCCTACACCTGGGATCCAATGCTAAGACTCAACGGCGAAAGGGTCTACCACTGTTCAGGCATAAGACCAGCAAGCACCCCATACCGAACCCGCCTGCTGCCATAAGCTGCGCCAGGGCTTTTAGGCTCTATGTCGGCGGAAGTAAGTAATGGTTGCCTTGTAGCTAACAGTCTACTTTTCGGAGGCTAGTTGAACTATCACAGCCTAAGGCATAAATAGGAAAAGCATAATTACTAGTTACTAGTATGTAGATCAACACAGGTAAACATCATTAGCTGCTTATACGATGACGAGTGCCTGGTGAGACTGTAGAGTGTATCGTGAGAATGGATTTATGCAGTCCAGAAAGCGTGCTATCTACCTACCTAGGTATGTAAGATAGTACCTAGTCATACATAACGCACATATTCACAGAGCTTTCAAATTCGAAATACTATCTACACTAAACTGTTTACACATCAATTCATCCAGAAATTGGCCCCGAAGCTCTTCAACAACATGTTCGAATATCTTGAATATCTTGAATACGGGATGGAAACTCATTCAGGGGCTTATTCAATATAGTAATATTCTTGATATGAGCTGTAGCTGCTAGTCTCCTAACCCTTCTAAGAATCAACGAGTAATCGTAATACTTGGTTTCATGCAATGGATATCTACTAGACTCGTTAATACAATAAAAGATGTGATTAATGACGTACGATGAGCTGTTAACGCCCTTGTTAGGCTTCCCCGGTATTCGGTGACCTTGGCTTCTAACTCAACCAACATTTACAAATTCTTGGTACTACACAACCCAAAGTTCTTCTAGAAGGGTACCTACCTTGAGGGTACTACCTAGGTAGTGATCGTCATATTATGCAGTACGATAGAATGGCCACGTTCTATTCAAGGCATAACAAAGTGGAAGCACTGCTTCCACTAACGCCCAACTATATAATAGTGATGGTAATATTGACTATAGATTGGGCACACATGCAGGCAGGCGGCTAATAGTATATCAATTTCGCGAAGCTTCAACAAGTAGGCATAATTGACGATGTGGTATCGAGGGTTGATATATAGATAGGTTGGTAGATAGGTTGGTAGCGGTAATACAAGCTGAAAATTGCCAGGTCTTGAATAGGATATCGGGGTATGGCTAGAAGCAATTACCTTACCCAAGTATATATATGATGGCTTGCTGAAGGCTCAATATAGCGATCAATGGTCGGTGATGCTACACCTCCTAATATCAAACAGCCTATCACGAATAATATCACAATTACAATGCTACAATAATCCAACCCGATCAGCCACTTGATACAACCTCTGTAAGCATCGAGATCAGGTAGACTCCGGGCGAAACCTAGGACTTCGTTTCAATAATACTGTATACAAATATATGAAACTTTCTACGCCTTATTTCAATCAGTAGATTGTCCTAGTGAATGTCAGGCATTTTACTATCATTCACCGAGCGTACCGTTGTCCTGCAATGTCTCTAATCTCTTTCTCATAGCCTTGGACTGTGATACGAAAATGTGTAACCGTAGAGTTCGTGTTAATGCTGAAATGGGTTTCTATAGGCTTTCGTAGCATTTCGGGTTGAAAGCCTCGAACTCTTTGTGGATAGTTGCGTGAATACTAACCCCTATCGGAATTACCGAATACCCCTTTTCCAATGATTAAGTTAAAGGCTGAGTGCCAGACCACAGCCTTGTCGGGTAGCTATTTGCTGCCTTTTTATGATATATGACAATGATTGTAGACTTTCGAAATCTACAATAACAAAGCAATTAAGGTCTAACTCGTTTAGTATGATCTGTTAAATAAAAAAATTGGAAACGATGCTGCGGGAGATAAAGATTAGATCTAATCTGACGTGATCCAAAAAGAAACCCCTGGGGACGACGATGGAACAACAATTAAGCCGTCCTACGATTCCTCCTGGAAGATGTATTGTTATTCCGAGCTTGTTAGTAACATAAGTGTCGACAGTCACGAGGAAAGACGTATTATTAGCAGGAGATAGCAGAAGATAGCTTTGAAAATATAATTTTACTTCTATATTAGCTTGCTAGAAATTACGGTAGATTTATGTTACGATCCCATAACGAACCTTGATCTATTATTACAGTAGAAGTGCTCTTGACCCAGAGCGTCTCTTATCCCGGCCGGGACATTAGTTATGCCTTGTCATGTGTCGTCGTAGAGGGAAAGGTATAAGTCCGGGTTAGGAGCGTTGTAACATCGTGTGCTTCGGGAATAGCTAGCAAAGGTTGCTGGATTTAGGACTTGAATGGAAGTCCGAGGATGGTACTTGTATTTAAAGAGCAGGAGCTCATCGCTTATGGTAGGTTCGAAATACGGAGAATATTCCAGATAACATAAAATCACGAAGTATTTGGCCGTTGTCTCATCTTGAAATCAACAATTGTTTCTACGTAAATACACGATGGTCAAGCTCGACGTTGTCCGGGTCGCGAACGCGGCGCTTGCGGACGGGACGAGGACGTTCACAGCAGTCGTAACCGGTGGAACTGCCGGAATCGGGAAAGCTACGGTAAGGGCGATTGCGACTACCTTTGCCAGTCGCGGAAGTAGAGATGAGCGTCGTGGCTTCCTTCGCGTACACATTGTCGGTCGGAACCGGGAGGCGGCCGGCAAGATCATTGCAGAATGCGAGGCGGCTTGCCCGGGAGGTATATTTCGGTTCCACGGGGGCGATCTGTCACTATTGAAGGAAGTCGATCGCATATGCAGCGAGATCATCGAGATCGAGAGACGGGAAGCAGATGCGCCAGCGAAGATCGACTTTCTGGTATGTTGCCAGGGGGTCCTGTCACTGACACCCGAAGGTATATTTCCTCCATGCAAGAAGCTGGAAAGGGTAACCGGGGAAACCTGCAACTAACCGTCTCGGGAACTGTAGAATCCAATGAGGGTCTCGACAAGTACTTCAGCCTATACTATTACTCACGTATGCGCCTCATGGACCGATTTCTCCCACTGCTAACCGCATCTCCAAACGGCGGGCACGTGGTCTCGGTATTCAACTCAAGTGTGCAGGCCTCGGTCGTTCTCGATGATTTAACCCTGCGGAGTCCGCGCAACCAAGCACTTCGGGGACGGTTCGCGCATTGGGTCGGCATGACTAACATCTTCATGGAAGAACTGGTGCGCCGTAACCCGGGTCGCCTAAGTTTATGCCACTACCACCCGGGATTTGTCCCCACAGACATCGCAAAGAATAGTAATCTCCCGTGGTACCTCAAGTTTCTGGTGACGTATATAGCAACCCCGTTATTATGGCCCTTCTTGGTTCCCTTTGAGGAGTGCGGGCAGCGTGTTTTGTTCATGGCTTCTCCGGCGATATTCCCAGTACAAGTGTCTAAAGATAAGGAGACGGCGACGGGGTTGGTGAAAGACGTCGAAGCGGCGATTGGGATCGATGGAAAAGTCGGCAGTGGGGTTTATTTAGTGACTAAAGACAACGATACGTTTGGCAAGGAGAAGAAGTACGCAGAGCTTCGCGCGAACGGAACTGCGGAAAAGATCTATCAGCATACTATGGCCGTCTTTGCGAAGATCGAGGCAAGTGGGGTGTATACAGACTGATGCCGTTCTGAAGTAGAGTTGGCTTCTAAATTGATAGTACGTGCCTAAATTAATAAGCTCTGCAAAAGCACATTTCATATAAACCCGTATCGTCGCAGGATCGCAAACAATTTGATTATGATTGGTAGCTTTTGTAGCTACTACTAGGTAGGTAGGTAGATAGATAGTATCCGAGCTGGCCGAGTCGTCCAGCGACCGCTGTCAGTAAAAACAACGCTATCAAAGCGATGGCACAAATATGGATATTAGATATCAACACCGCCACTACCAACCTAGATTATAATTTTCCCGTAGACGTAACGTACTGAACTAGGTATGTCAGTATGAGGCAAAGTCATCTTGAAACGCCAGCTAGGTCTCCATCTAGAGAGGCGGATTGTGTTCCATCTCCCCTTCCCTCGTTCAATGGATTTATAGGTACCTAGTATGTAGGTATAGTAATATTTGATTATGTCCGATTGGCTGCAACGATCCTTGACTTCTCAATGCAAGACTATCACAAAGTGATCGTCATCAATTCGGTGACCGCGAAAGTAGGTAGTAGGCCCCTCGTAAATTTCTGTCTGAAGGGATCCGTAGCTTTCAACTACGGTCTCTGACCTCGAAATTTCGTGTATACCCGTAATATTTCGTGTCGGGGATAGAGCCGATACGACGGTTAATATGCGAGCTCCCTTGCTTCGACCGAATGAGAGTGATATTTTCGGATCGTGTCAACCCGATAGCTGGACTCGAGTCCCGAGGCATATGATCAGGGTCGGTACCCCAAAATGAACATTCGACATGAGACGCTCTTGGCGCAGTTCTAATATTGAAGTCGGTTCTACTGCGGGTTACTATTTATTTAATATGGCTTGCACCTCACCTAGAGCTACCAAGTGGAACCAACGCGCAGAAAATGCTATGTAGGATACAGCTTTCCTAAGATAGTGAGATACTGCGCAGTGTGCTTTAGAGAAAGCGTGATGGTCGCTCTCATGGTGAAGTTGTATATGCTGAAGCATGCGCCGCATACGTCTGTGGCTGGGATTGCGATACCTAGAGCTATCATTAGGAAGAGACTCGTTGTGGGTCGGCGGCTATTCGAGTTGAATCCAATTGATGGCAATTAATTAGGGGTAAGAAAATAAGAGCTCTCTATTCGAATCCACCAAATAAGAGTCGCCATGATCTGATCGGCGATATGTAGGTAGAGATGTAGAGAGTTGGTAGAATAGTAAACTACTCGTACAGATGGTAGAACTCGGATACCAAGGAGATTGCCGTGCTATGAAATTTACGATAGATACGTTAGCCTATCTTCGCCGGTGAAACTAACTTAAAATTGCGAATTTCTTCAGGAGTTGATGTCGGGTTCTCTACGATGTATATGGCTGTATGCCCAGGTGTGTATGGTAAGTCAAACGATAGACACCAAACACAACGGTTGATGTAGGTAGTTAAACATATCAAGTTTATTGAAAACTAGTAGACATCGCATAACGACTTCTTCATTAATAGAGGTTTAGAGTTTTAGGTGGAAAGTCTAGAATCTCTTTTGGTAAATTTGGAGAAACATCCCATCCTCCACTAGCTGCGAAGCAAACCTTGGAACTGGTGGGGATTAATAGCTCGCCTCATTCCCCCCATCCATGGATCCATTCCAGGGCGAGCGGCCCACTACCGAGGTCCTGGAACTTCATGACCGAATTAGCGTCAAAAATCCACTGTATTCACCCAGATCTGTTGGTGCCGTCTTCTAAAGTTAAGGCGGGATGCTTACCTAGTGGATCAGGTATTTCTACCTTATATCACCATCCGCCTCATAATATTGTTAGATATTGAGGCAGATAACTCTATCACAAAATGGCAATTTGGAAAGAGAAGCTGAGTATGATATAATCAGAACTATATTACAGGTACCTACATACCTAATTGTCGTTATAGATGATATGATCCGTCTACTAGGTACTACTGACCTAGGTAGGTAGGTACCTAGGTAGGCATCTAGCAACTAAAGGAATCCATCTCACTGTGGCTTACCGAATGACTCACTCTCTTACAATTGATAGCTGCGAGATGTTCTTTCAATAAATACCATCAAATATTCCTATAGGGGAAAAAGAGAAAAAAAAACCCTCTCCATCTTTAACAAAAGAGAAGATACTATAGTTATCCACTAATGAATTCTTATCGTACGAATATTGCAACTGTCGCACGAAAATTAATGAATACGCACAGCATGGTATCGAGAAAACCATTGCTATTGGACGGCAGAACCGGTGAAGGCGGCGGCCAGCTTGTCAGAATCGCATGCGCTCTGGCAGCGGTAACTTCGCAACCTATCCGCATCGATCATGTAAGAGGGAATAGACCAGGTCACCGAGGCGGCGGTCAGCTATTACTCCAACCTCCCCTTTGAGGACACATATTCGTCTAACTAGAGGTGGTGTAGGCCTGAAAGCTCAACATGTTTCAGCCATCCAGTGGCTTGCGGAGGCCACCGGAGCTGAAGTCGAGGGGTTAGCCGTCGGCAGCCACACACTAGAATTCAGGCCATCTTTACCTCCTACCGCTCTCGCAGGTCGGAATTTCAAGATAATAGCTGGAAACACTGCATCGAGTACCTTGCTTGTCTTCCAAGCAATCTTCCCCTTCCTGTTGTTCGCCGGTAACGAAAGCGGGGAACCCATCGAGCTCGAAATACATGGTGGTACAAATGTGTCGTTCTCCCCTTCGTACGAATATCTAGATCAGGTTCTATTGCCTATATTACAGGATAGGTTTGGTATTACAGTCGAGAGGCAGCTGAAAAAGCGGGCTTGGGCGGTAGGTCCTCAGTTCAGAGGCTGTATCAAGCTGAAGTTCCACCCTCTTGCACCAGGGCAATCCCTGAAACTTCTGGGTCCCTGGAACAAAACACCTGGTGCGGAAGACTTCCGGCTCAAGAGGGTCGACGTTAGCATCCTAGTGCCGACCTTCCTTCGAGAACCTCTTGAGAAAGCCCTCACGCATGAAATCACTAAAACTTTTCCTGATGTGGACATCCAATTCGTGTTCTTCGAGGACAGTCGACATGGAGCTCGTCTGTACACTCTCTTAGTCGCACATTCCCAAACCGGCCTACGATGGGGCCATGATTACATGTACAACAGAGCCTGGAAGAAAAAGACGCCTGATTCCTTGAGTGCCGAAATATCACGGAAAGCCTGCAGAGGACTTCTAGAAGAGGTAACAATTCGCGGAGTTGTTGACGAACACTTGCAAGATCAGTTAGTTGTGTTCCAAGCCCTGGCAGATGGCAGGACCAGCTTCCCCCGAAGTAACGAACCGGCAGATGATAGTGCAGAAAGTCGTACTCCCAATGGCCCGGATTATCGAAATAACTCTCTCGAGGACCGAACACCAGACGACAACTTGAAGAAGGACAGTACACATGAGCCATTTGGAGACGGATCTACGCATACTACCACAGCCAGATGGGTAGTAAGCGAGCTGTTACCCACTGTCCAATGGTTTAACAAAGGGGCCATTTGCGATGGTGCTTGTGTATCTTTCCCTTCCAAATAAAAGCTTGTAATACTTACCCTTACTGTCGTATTGAACATCGCCCGACTTGTTATGCATCATGTGACATTGATGACATCCATTATCCCAATTCTCTACTAGATACCTAGAAAGCAGGGAAATAATAGACTATAATATAGCACCTATCATGAGATGAGCATCATTGGCAATGTTTATGGTCTAAGGCTTTCCAAATGACCTCGTTAATAGGTGCTTAATTACGAGATGAAACGATATTCATTCAAGATTTATATACCGGCTCTTATTCTTTTACATGTATCATGCTGCTATTTTTTTTGTCAGCCTTTAAATATGAAATCGATTTATGGTGTTCCCACTCAGATCCATTATCATGACGATGCTCAGATTCAACATTGAGGTACATATTTCCATATGCACAAGTAATTAACAAATTCAAAATTCGTAAATGCAATGTCATCTATATGATTCTTCAAAAGACACCTGTCTCTATTACACTTATGCTACTAATCCCTTGACTTTAGAGTCTTGTCTCTTCCCAATCGTAGATTAAAAACCGGCACCAACGCAAAGACGCAGCCGATTGACCATCCCCCGGTGGGCTTTACAACTCTATCCTAAACTAATGCATTTAGCCTTCACGTTGTGTTTGCTACATTACGAAGGGGCTATATTTAGAATATTTACGTGAAAATATCTGATCAAAATTTTCACTATGTGAATTCATCCTAAGATGTTACACATTTAGATATGCATTAACATAACCTCCCCTGCTATTTATAATAAGAAAACATAGTTTTCACTAGGTACCTACGAGGTACGTGTTGAATTCTTTCTACTGTCAGTCTTTTGCTTCTTATTCCTTTGATTGTATGATTAAAATTTGTGATTATGAGATTTCAAAAAGCCACCAAAGTTTTGTCTAGGTCAAAGCTTCACTCGAATCTAGGCCAGTGCTTACCCGAGACATTGCTTTTGCTTTTTCGTGCAGAGTTTTCACCCATAAGTCGAGGTAGCTCAGTATTTTTACTAGCATGCAAAGCACCTCTTCGGACCTCCATGCTGGCGTAGAGATGTTGAGGAGATCTCTATCATAATCTTTGAAATAGCCCCTAAACTCGGGGGGTGAAGTCAGAAAAGAGTACCCCTGTGTGCCAATTGTGTTGTAGTATTGGGCTGTGGTAAGAACTATCCCCTATGTTACACAACTGGCATCCACTACGTACCTAAACACATGCAAGTTACTTATATAGGCTGGTCAGGGGATATTCTGACGCATCCATGGATGACCCAGTACACTAGAATTAGCACAAGCAACCCTTAGTAAATAGGCACTAAATTCCCTAATCGACCATCTTTTTGAGGCGTTTCAGGGATTGAACAAAGACATGAAGTTGACTTCCTATTCTGCCTAAATAGAAAAAAAACGAACCAACAGATTTCGCACCAATTATGAGGATGCCCATATTATAAAACCCCGCATCCATTCCATGAATCTGGGGGAAGAATTGGAGAAGCGGAGCCCTTCAAGGATCATATCGATCCCTGTATTTATCGCCCTCTCCACAGCTCGGGATATTGTTTGTCTCCAACCTTCTGACAACTTTACATCTACGCCGAGGTCAAGATGGATGCGACGCTCATAACTCTTGGTAGGCGGTGTCGCCTCCGGGGTGTTATTATAGGCTCTACTAGGTCTGCATCGATGAACTTCATCGTGCCATGTTGGGAGCCTCAGAAAAGTCAAGATGCTGTTTTCCGTCTTGTTTGGCCTCTTGGTTTACCTACTGCCATATGGGCTGGGGTTAACCATACTGCCACAAAATAGTCAAAATGAAATCGAGTCAAGAGATGTGTTAGAAGGACTGGTAAGAACTCTGCTGATCTCTTTTTAGAAACCAATGCTAAATCTTTACTAGGTAACATGGGATAAACATTCCATGATTATCCGCGGAGAGCGTATCTTCATATTCTCTGGAGAATTCCATCCCTGGCGTCTACCGAGCCCGGGTTTATGGCTTGACATCTTTCAGAAAATCAAGGCTCTAGGATTCAACGCCGTGACATTTTATACCTACTGGGGCCTTGTAGAAGGCACGCCAGGCCAAGTACGTTTCGACGGGGTATTCGCTCTTGATGAATTCTTCAAAGCTGCTGCCGAAGCTGGAATTTATCTAATCGCCCGACCCGGCCCATACATCAACGCGGAAACAGCCCTCGGTGGTTTTCCGGGATGGACAGCACGGATTAAAGCGCCTCTTCGCGGGGACGACCCAGAATTCGTGGATGCAACTGAGATCTATGCCGCAACTGTAGGAAAGCTCATTGCGGATGCACAAATTACCAATGGGGGCCCGGTCATCATGTTACAGCCCGAGAACGAGTACGATACCTGGCCTGGTGTCAATAATACCGACTTCCCAGCTCAAGGAAATCGGAATTATATGGAACATGTTAAACAACAGATGAAGAAAGTTGGAAATGTTGTGCCACAAATGGTGAATGACCATCTTTACCAGGGCAACTGGGCTCCTGGCAGCGGACTAGGTGAAACTGAGCGTAAGCATTTTGTCGAAGAAGAACTAGGTGTCATGGTTAACGATGGCTTCAGTTTACGGGATTGATGCGTATCCTATGAGATACGATTGTAAGTGGCGCAGAATCATTTTGAATTTTCGGGTTCTAACAGTAAATAGGCGCACATCCAGACGTTTGGCCTAAGATTAGATGGCCGGAGAACTGGCAAATAATGCACCAGAAGCATAGCCCTAACACTCCATTCTTTATAGCTGAATTTCAGGGAGGATCTGGCACCGGGTTTGGCAGTGTTAATGCGGATGCCTGCAACGCGCTCGTCAACCAAGAATCTGTTCGCGTTCTGTGGAAGAACAACTACAGCTTTGCTATCAAGATTTTCAATATTTACATGGTAGGTTACTACATAGTCGTGGGTATGCTATGGAATCAGACTAATATTTATTTTAGACATATGGCGGAACAAACTGGGGAAACCTAGGATATAGAGGAGGTGATAGTTCTTACGACTATGGCGCAGCAATCAAAGAGAACCGCCATATTTGGCGGGAGAAATATTCAGAAGAAAAGCTCGAGGCCAACTTCTTCAAAGTGTCACCTGCATACCTGACGGCGGTTCCAGGAAATGCGTCAAATGGGTCATACGTCTCAACTGATCAGATCGCTACTACGCCAGTATTTGGAACTGAATCTTCGACAAATTTCTACATCATTCGTCACGCTGACTGGACCTCTATAAATACGACGACTTATAAGTTTAACGTTCCCACCAGCATTGGAAACATATCGATACCTCAGCTTGGAGGAGAGTTGGTTTTAACGCGCAGAGACTCTAAGATTCACGTAACCGACTACGACGTGGGAGGAGTCAACCTAATATATTCCACCGCAGAAATATTTACATGGGCACGAGACACATCGGGCAAGAGGACATTGATTCTTTATGGAGGAGCCGACGAAGTTCATGAATTTGCCATTGATCTAACAAACTTGACGAGGGTATCTGCAGAGACAAAGTTCAATGATAAGAACGTGAAGATCCAGAAGATACACTCCAACACACTGGTCGTCCAATGGAAAGTTTCTACGGAGAGAAGGATATTGAACCTTAGCGATGATCTTGAAGTACTCTTGCTTTGGCGCAATGATGCATTCAATTATTGGGTTGCGGAACTTCCGGCAGAGGCTCCAGTCGCGAATTATTCTTCTCCGTCAAAATCCACCGTGGTGGTAAAGGGACCCTATCTGGTTCGAACAGCAGCTATAGTTGAGGAAACACTCCGCCTCACCGGCGATATCAACAGGACCGTCGACATCGAGCTCATCTATGAACCTACGGGGAAAGTCAAGGCCCTGTCCTTCAACGACGAAACATTACAAGGAAGTCTAAATGGAGACGGAAAACTTACAGCGCGCTTGGATTTCCAAGCCCCTGAAATCACACTTCCCAATTTTGCTACTCTGGAGTGGAAATACATCGATTCCCTCCCCGAGACTCAAATCTCCTACGACGATTCCGCCTGGGTTACGTGTGATATCCCTTCAACAAATAACCCGCAATCTCTTCTCACTCCCACCTCTCTTTACGCAAGCGACTACGGTTTCCATAGCGGATCACTTATATATCGCGGCCACTTTACTGCTAACGGGGAAGAATCAACATTATTCGTTAATCTGACGGGTGGTAATGACTTCGGCTACTCGATTTGGCTTGACGACACATTTATCACTTCGTGGGATGGGTCAGGCCAAGGAGGTGGCGACCATACGCACAACGACACTATATCGCTCCCCTCTCAGGCTCTCGAGAACGGGAAATCGCATATCTTCACGCTGGTGATTGACCATATGGGGCAAGATGAGGAAGCTCCCGGAACTGACGCGATCAAAGCGCCAATGGGTATCATTAACTTCGATCTGGCAGGACACTCGCAGTCGGACGTAACTTGGAAGCTAACGGGAAACCTCGGCGGTGAGTCTTATCACGACCTCGAGCGTGGCCCTCGGAACGAAGGTGCCATGTTCGCGGAGCGGCAGGGCTATCACCAGCCCTCACCTCCGAGCCAGAACTGGGAGATCTCGAACCCCATCGTCGACGGCATCAAATCTTCTGGTATCGGCTTTTTCACTACGACTTTCGACCTCGATGTCCCTGCTGGATACGACGTGCCGCTAAACTTCGTGTTCGGCAATTCCTCTTCTACTACCACCACTTCCAACTACCGCTGCCAGCTCTTCGTCAATGGGTGGCAATTCGGCAAATACGTCGCGAATCTGGGGCCCCAAACCGCGTTTCCGGTTCCGGAGGGCATACTAAACCATAACGGCAAAAACACCGTCGCGCTCACACTCTGGTCGCTCGACGATGACGGGGCGAAGCTCGATGGCTTCTCGTTGGAGCCGGAGATGCCGCTGTGGTCTGGCTACAGGAAACCTTGGTCGTCGCCCCAGCCGGCGTGGCAGGAGCGAGAAGGGGCGTATTAGGGACTGGTGCGTGGAGTTCGGTGTCCCCGATATCTATATCGCGAAGACTATTAAGCACTACTGCATCTGAGGGTCGACGGTACGCTTATCAGTTGGCTCGTGGATATGTCGTCGGGCAGAGAAGGAAAGGCGGTGCCTAACGCTATGGAACAATAGTGTATTGTATGCAAACAATAGACCACGTTGTTGTTCTCGGACCGTGGCAGAATTGACCCCCTTAACCTTGTCCAATAGGAAATGACATGTCGTATCTGTGAGTTGAATTCACTTATGCTCAAACCCTAGTCCAACACGGTCCAACCCTTCTTATCCCTGAGCAGCGAGGAAAAGTACATTCCCTCTCTTCCGGACACCGTGAATCTTTGTGAAGAGCATCTGAGTGTCTACGTCGCATCATCCGCAAGCTAGCTAGCCTAATTTCTGATGCACCATTTGTGGACAAAATTCCACTAGCCCGGACTCCTTGAGGATCTTCCAAGCTGTGATCTTCGAGGGCATAATGAGATACTTATTACAGCCCAACAACGCCTAGGCGTTGGGCAGAAGCCTCTGCTGGGATAATGGCTTGTGATAATCCTGGCCCCATCCTCTCTCCCGGGCTATCCGCACGGACGACAAAAGCAAATAAAAACGAGGCAAACCTCTTTCTCTGGAAAGCGGGACGATCTCGAACCATACTTACCTAGGTACACAACACACTAGCAAACCCCCAGACAGCTCGGGCCGTGCTTTAATGCCCGGATCCGCATCGTTGATGCCTTACGCTCGGGACATTTCTTAGCAAAAGGGGGCAAAGGTGAACAGACCCGAGAAACTGGTTCATGTATTAACAAGGATTTCTTTTTTCCTTCTCACCTTAGGTCCCGGTCGAGGAATGGACGTTACAGAAATTTTTAAAATTTTCGCTTAAGCAAAGCATTGCAGATCATGTGAATGCTCTAGTGATACTAGTTCGAGGGTTAAATTAAATACATCAGCCTCCATCTGAGGTGAGATTCGTAACTTGAGTACAAAAATATCACGATGTTATATCAGATACGGAGGCTCCAGCTGGGTCCGTGTACGCATCATAGTCAGCACTCGTCCTACCAACCCCCTTGGCTGTTGCCTCGCGCATCGGTTGTATCGCTCATGTTTTTGACACTCAAAATCTGTCTACATCGATAGAAATGTGTGCGATATCTACGCCCTAGTTACGTATAAATGGAATCGCACTATGCGGGGAGGTGGCTTGAATAGGGGATGTCCCGCAGGCAATTTCCCTACGACTCGGTGACCCCTGAGGTGTATCAGCTTTGGATGAACCAAGATTCGCCTCGACAAAACAAGTTCTCGGTCTGATCGTATCCCTTGTCCTCGAACCATTGTTTTTGTTTCCCCGGAGTATCTCAGCTCGCAACTCACGGCTCACGTATGTACCCAGCCACGATAATTCGCCGGGTTTCAACCAACCAGATCATCTGCATGGTAAAATGTTTCCGAAATTCCTTATTTTATAGGCTTCTCCTTCGGCTGGACTTCTTCGTCTGGTCGGACCAACCATCTATTGAGCTTAATTCTCGAGCTCCTGTATGGCTAGACCGTGCCATGGTTGCTCTCGGCGAGATTACGTTACGGCTACGTAGCCACTCGCAAAAATTCAGCCCAGCATCGAATGATCTTGTGCTATTCTGGTCGCCTTGTTTGCTCTAAAAGCACTCCTTTGGATGCACTGGCTCCAGCTTAGAAATCATAATCGTCGTGAAGTTGGTAGATCTCGAGGGACAGTGCTACACTAGGTGCTTGACGCGTACCATATGATTGGTATTTTCAACAAGGGACGCCGCGCGGCATGAAGAATGAAACTCAGCTCGGAACATTCGGGCAGAACTTTGTTTATCAGATCCGACAGGACGTTCGAGTCCTATGCGATGTATCTTTATCAGGTGGGAGTGTTTATCATGAAAACACCTATCTGTAAACATACCCGCCTGTATTGTACACCTTTAATACGTCTTCGCCTTACCTAATCTTTAACCTAAATAAATTAAAGGAATAATAATACCTATAATTCAAGTTACATTATAGATTTGTTCTGTATTGAAGTGATGATACCGGAAACATTATTTACATCCTAAAAGCTGTCCGTCTCCCCGGATAGAAAATGATATTTCCGCAGGTAGGTACCTACAAGGGAGCTTGATCTGAATAAAATTTCAAGCCTTGGCTGGTGAGGGAAAGGAACATACTTGTCACGCATCGTCAAGTTTTACAATCTAACTAAGACCCTTATTCCCCGTTGATTGCTTCAACTACAACCTTACCAGCCAACGCCCATCGCAAATTAGGTTGTAAACATGCCACCGAGAATATTATATACTCGTTTTAGGAGCATTTTCGGAATAATGAGGGCGGACGATAACTCTGAAGTAGCTTGGCATTATGCTTTTGCCTCGACGAGAATAGATTTTACCCATCTGACAATATTTGCAATTATTGAAGCCACATCGTATACCTTCCTAAGAGGTATTGTACTCTCATGTCTTAGTTTGCTCATTGAACTTGAATTATCGCGGTTGCTGTGCCGTATTATTAATCATGTATGATTTTCAGGGGCTATGTAAACTGTGAAGTCCCATGTTACATTGAGAAAAAGTAAACCGAATCAAATTACAAGGAAAATTCTTCATAGTATGCAGAACTAGAATAAGCACTTATGTTTCAATTAAACAAATTTTCATATAAGCCCTTTGCTACTACCTATTATAATCGAGTATATGACGTTGGCTTCAGGGGCAACGCACGTCATTCTCTTTTCATGGGGTTGAAAATTTGAAAGTCCTCACGTTGGATACCTAGGTCAGAATGTTACCTGCGTGTGCCACCTCGCATCTTGTCACCCTTGAGTATGAATGTTTTTGAATAGCTACGATTTGACAAGAGGCCACACTCGTGGGTGGCATCATGTAGAATCGTCTACTTAATAACTTGAATCGGTCTTATAAACTTCGATCGGATGGAGCCCTTCACATGAGACACCACGTTTTATGAAATCTCCCCCAAATATAGATCTTCAATGGCAAGAAGGAGGCGTATCCAACACGGCGTGACTTGATAGGGCGTTAGAGTGGCAGGATCTATAAATCTCGCGCTAATCTCGGCTTTCTTGAATGTGTTCTAATACTACAGCTGACTAAGCGTTATATATGAGCTACCTTTCTAGGTAACTTCTAGACCTAGGTAGAAATTGGCGAGATGGTTTCCCCTTAAAATCCCCTCATTTTGAGGAGACGGTGCCGGATAGCGGGAAATCCATGCATCAAATTAAGCGAATACCTAGTCTCCGAATCAGAATCTCACCTGATAGATCTCGTGTTTGAACAACTGCTGTACGAGTCAAATATAATATATCAACTGACGAAAGAGGGGAATTGTGTTAGTGATAACCCTCTGTGTCGTTATTACTTACCTGATGTTGCTGCTATAGGAGGTGTATGAGAGGTCATAATTAAATGGTATTAGCTTGCGGTCGATGATAAGGATGGCGATGTTCATATTTAAAGATTGCAACCCTCCTGCAGAAGTCGGTCGCAGATGACTACCCTTTGTGTAACGAATAAATGTTACTGCTGCGGATATCAGCCTCTTCTCCGGACCACAGCCCGAAACGTCGGGATACGAACCATTAAAACGAGGCTGTCCACGCCGTATCACTACTTTGAACTGGGGAACGTAATTCGGAAGCTTCAGTGACATCAGGGTTGCAGTTGCACCCCTAGGGGACGATGACAAGAGTGCTGCTACAATCAGCCCGGGCCGCCACGGCACTTCCGAAAGGATTCGTGTGATCAGTCAGTCACAAAAGAGACACTTTGACCGATACCGTTCACCGGTGGATTAGATGTGTGTGAATATGGAAGAGATTGGCCTGGCTGAGAGCAGTGTATGCGCGTTCCTGCAGGTGTGGACCGGATAGTCTCAATATACGGCAATTAATGGCGCGAGAAAGACCCCAGAAGACCGGCGCTATTGACGCAGCTCAGCTTATTGTCGCTACGAGAAACGCCAAGTAGTTCTTCAACAACTTCTAGACTACTTGCTTTATTTTGAGTGGGAAATAGAATCTTCCAAACTGATCTTACATGTCGTGCGCAAAAAAGAACATTATATACGAGTAATATGAGGTGATCACCGAGCCTCGTGGCCGGACTCCGATTCGCTTAAACCAATCGGGAGATATGAACGGCAACTTCCTAAAGGGGAAGCTTCGACAATGGTATTGAGGAACGAAATAGGGCATGGCTATGGAAAGCTGAAACTACGCCTAGCTGCCATATCCGAGGTGAGGTAAACGAGAAGAATCCGACCTCTATTCATCTCGATCAAACACATTCGTGATAAATACTCATGTGGCTGGCTGACTGCCCTGGCTATAGGTAGGATTTGAACAAGCCATGCGATCGAGGCCTCTCGGCTGTAAGCCATGCTCTAAATCTGGGGGAATTTCATTTTCCGCGATTTGGTCTGGAACTTGTAAAACCAATTGCATCTATCACATGATAGTTCAGCTTCTCCCAAGTGCGCAGAGAGTAAGGCACTCGGTGTGAGTACCCGTGCATCCTACACATGGTTTCTGCCGAAAAGGTGCAGTTACCCCGTACGGTGATTGTAGTAAGTTTTAGGTCCTTTGGTCCTTAGGTGCTGAGCCTTGCAGCGTGTTGTAGATCGTTCAAGACATCTGCGTGAAGGGCGGGGAATGGAAAGTTATTAACCTTCAGCCGAATGCGACCCTTCTATGAAGGAATGTTTAATTGAACCCTGGTATGGGAATTGTAACAGGCCCTTCTGACGTAAATCAGATAAACCCATTGTTGCTAGTCACGGGGGATTGCTTTTCTGATGCTTGTGCGTTACATCCTGGCCAATGGTTGGCGTTTTGATTCAAGAGAAGCGCCGTAGTCAAGCAGGTCACACGACCCTTGATGTCCCCCGCAAGGGGGTAGATCTCAAGACCGGAGATGAGAATAAAGCCTAGGTACAAAGGGAAATGAAGGGTATCGATGGTGCAAGAAATCTTGACGATGCGCAGGTAGAAAACGGCAGCTCGTTTAGATAGCCAACGAGACCTGGATTAGCAAGCAACTTTCAAATCTCACATGTCGCTTGACAATACCTGTAATGGGGGATTTTCCGGGTGACCCCTCCTATGTATGTAAGCTCGGCGCCTTGAGCTTAACAGTTTTCAGTATTCTCCCGCAAAAAAATAAAATAAAATAAAACAATGGCGTAACTGTCTAGTGGATTAGCGACCGTAGTAGCACAATCCATAGCCCTCAAAAAAACATTTCGTTACTCAAGCCTGAGGTAGCGGTGTGTGAAGAATAGCTGGGAGTTGGCGCAATAATCAAGTGCACTGTCCGTCGTGTCCGTATTGATCCACTTAAGGTCTGACTTGACGCCTAACTACCAAAGGAACGCGGCGCTCCGGATGATAGGGAGCCCTAACTTGTCATAGCCTTAAAGAATATGTTCTATCATTATGAAGAGGATTCGGATAATGATAAAGCACCGAATTAGGGTGAAGAGGAATAGGCTGTCGATCTTGCCGGTCAGTGACGACATTCAGGTCAAGTGACAGGTTGACATGGTCCAGATAAGTGAGGTTGCCTGCGATTTCTATCGTTGTTGTCGCATCAATATTTTCCGTTAGGACAACTAAACTCCGCCTAACTCACGTGGGCTGTGTACGGAAACGACGGGGCTATTCTTCGCTAGGTCATCGATGAGACGTCCGACGGAAGGGTCCCTAACTGGGTTGACATGTCTGGGTACATCTTCTGAGCATTCTAGAACGCTGGGCGATTCCAACAATAGCAGCTGGGGTCCGCCAAAAACGTGGGGGAAGACAAATCGACGCCGAAGCCGAAGCCCTTGCCTTTTGTTTGGACAGACAGATAGACTACGTACGTACGAAAAATGTCGGGATCCTTCCAAGTTCCAAATTGAGGGCGGCACGTAATTCGAAGTCCCCGGAATGCCGGGGTATTTCGTGCGAGTCACGGCCGCAACGCAACGCAACGCAACGTAAATGGGTCTCTGACAGTGATCAGAGAAGGAAGGACGGATTCCTTCTTGGTGATGATGTCAACCGTACTTACGATCAACCATCGTCCACCAAAGCCCGACCCAACACTGCGTCAATGTCAATGTCAAACACATGAATGTATACTTCATACTGTATTCTCTCTTATCTTAAGAGGCTCGCAGTTCTTTCGTCGACTAATAAGGTTTTGTCCATATGTGCGTGCGACCCGGTTCCGCGAAACCGGTCTACCACTAACGTTGTTCCTGGTGATTTAAAGTAGTCTTTAGGGTCAAGGATCAAGGCAGGCGGCGATAAACCATGTCATGAGCACTGTCCGAGTTTCCGGAGCAGTCTAAAATTGACTAATTCCGTTGGATGGTGGGCAAGCTGACTTTTATTGCGATTGGAGTTTTTGAACTAATTAGTTTAATGTGAGGCTAACTATGAGTCTTTGTCGAGTTAGCTACTAGGCAAGTACGTGGGCGCCATGATCGAAGAGGATAGGAGGGAGAGATGGATATAGAATGGAGAACGGAGAACGGAGAATGAGAAAAAGAAGAAGAAAAAAGCCTGGGATGATGCTGTGCCCTCTAGAGCTCCCACTTAGTGCTCTTCATTGCCCTGCCAGTTGCTCCTGCTGTCCCACCTCATCGTAAGGCCTACTGGGTCCAACTGATCTTTAGCGGGTCGTATCCACCATAGACCCTAAAGCGTTAGTGCTTGATTTCTACCGAAACTGCTAAAATCTGCCCAGCAGCTGCCCAGGCTGCCAGGTGCTTCTAATAAAAGTTTCTAATGGACGTTCCTGCTTTACTGTCCTGAAGTAGGTACCTACCTAGGTAGATAGGTACCTATCACTTACAGCTGCTGGGTTAATAATACATGCTACATCCATAATACCGACCCAAGGTGGAAGGCCCTGCGCGGCTCCCAGCTTGCAGCTTGCAGAGAGGGAAATACATGCCATAGTACCTCCCATTGTCATTGCCATCCCATTTGCCATCCCTTGAGAGGCAGGTACATTGATACGCACATGACCTACTGATCTAGATGTACCTTTAAGCTAGGTAATTTTCCCACCAAAGCTTGTGAAATCATGGACTGCTTCCTCTTTTCGTCTACCACAAGCTCAAATTACATCCCGTCTTTTCTCTAACTACCTACCTAACCTAACTACACACCTCATACTTATTTCTTTACCAATACATTCACCACATCTACCATATCCGTGACCTGGAATAGATCTTGTCCATTGATGGTCTAATAATAATTTATCTCAAATAATCGACAACAAATAGCTTGTATCTTTTCTTCTCTTTATTAGTCGTTTACGAATTTTCCGGAAATCGAATATCCCTTTTGGTGCTGGCATCTAGTTCGTCTAGACACAAGAGGGAAACTTACCCCGACGAATCTGCTGTGTCCGTTTGCATAATAAATTATCTCTCACCAATGTAGCTATTCTACGGTTACGTTTCGATTTTGACGATTCTTCTCGTCGACTCATTCTTCATCTACCAGTCGACTACGTAGTTGGCGCAGAACGACCTGGACTTTCCGATATCCAATTGCTCACAGTCCAGAGCTGTTAATGTGTCACCTCGGACAGGCAAACAGATGACCAGATCCCGCCTGCTATTTTCGTGTCTCAGCATTCCACTAGGGTTCCAACGTGTTTGCTGGCTGCCGGCCACCTCCCAGAGGCCCAGAAAAGGCTTGCTGTTCTAGGCTACTCGATGCATTAGAGTGAGACCACTTGTGTGGAGCAGTATCCATCCTCGGACAAGCTGAAATCTCAGCAAGGAATAGCTTGGCGAGCATTGGCGGTAACCACCACGGCGGCTCCAAGCTGATGAGGCGATCGGATCAGCCCTACTGTATGAGCTCCCGGAGTGCCAACTATGAATTGCAGAGTCCGAAGGACTACAGATCGCGATATTTTTAATATTCGTCGCTACCGGAAGCTCACATCTCCCGTGGGCTTCCAGGTCGACGATAGTCCCCCCAGCTATATCCGATCAAGATGACGGACATGATCTTGCCAAAGGGCATTGTGTTCAATAGAAACGATATTTACGCAGAAATAGCAAAGTACGACATTGTTCCACTAGAACAAATACATGCTGCCTGTCATGGTTAAGATAAATCCTAACTACACTCGACGTGATTAATACTAATCGTGTTGCAGTATTTACCACGACGTCCCGGGAACTTGTCGACCCTACCGCGAGACGGCTCGAGAATTTTTGGACTCGTGTCTTAGGTGGTGATCGCCGCTATCTTCCGGGAACAGTTATTGCACGACTTTTCAAAAGCATTTCCGAGGAGGAAAGCTTCGTCAAATTACGAGGACCACCAAACCGATACGAGCCAGTAAGTTTTGTAACGTGAAGTGGTTATCAGTACTAATCCTTAATCCTAAAGCCTTCGCCTCCTAGGCCTGAGTCGAAAGCGGAATCGGCCCCTAAAGTCCGAGCTAACCCTGAGACATCAGTGGGCGGGCCTTCTGAACCCGGGTCAAAGGGAAAGGCGAGGTCCACGAAGTCTACGCCAACATCTACGAAGCAGCCACATCCTATTTTGAAGAAACCTAGGGGACCTTCAAGTTCTGGGCCACGGCCTACAGCTCGATTTGTCTCGCCGCCAGGATCTGACGGGGAGGGCGAGGATAGTAAAGACGGTGAGCTTGGCTCATCTGGGAGCACGGCGGTGAACCACAGTGGTGATTCCAAGGGTTCTACCAGTTCGACAGCCAAAGAAGAAAGGAAGAAGGCGAACAACACGACACCGAAGAAAAAGATCGTAGCTTCTACGGCTTCTAGACGTAGACCTGCTATGCCGCGCCGCATTAGTTCCCAGTCCTCTGGTGCTGTCAGTGGGCCTGACGGTGGGCCAAGGGACGGGAGTTCTTCGTCTGGCTCGAAGAATTCGGGATCGCAAACACCGGTCCCAACGATCCCGGAGAAGACAAGCAAGGAAGGGGTTTCCACAGCGAAAGAAGGGGCTGAACGGTTGAGTGCGAAGGCGGCGGGAAAACGACCGGCGATTCGACCATCGTCTGATAAATCTAGCACCTCGAAACCCAGCTGTCCCCAGACTAGCGGTACTAACAACCGTCAATTAGTAAGCGAGGCCACGACTTTTCACCCAGGGCAGCCAAACCCTGCAGCGAATACCTCTAAGAAAACGACCCCAGACGATGCTAAGCATACGAAAACGAGACAAAGCGGGTCAACTCATAGAAGAAGTGATGCACAAGAACGACCTCGCCCAGGAATACCCCACGTCATGACTCGATCGAGATCGGATGTGGGTGCTTCACGGCGGAGTCCACAGGATGGCCTTCCACCACACCAAAGTCTAATATCATCTAGCACGACGACCGTATCTAACACAACAGCTCAGGGTACAATTATCGAGTTTGACGAGAATCCATCTGTTAACGAAATCGTCGCGAACGCAATGCAGGGAGCTGAAGAAGATACTGAGACTAGCTCCCGAAGATCTGGAAACTCTCTACGTGATGCACGATTTACTCCTACGCAGCCAAGCACAGCGCCGACCGTACCACTTGGCCGATCCAAAAGTCAACTTACCCTTCTGCTCGAACGGCAAGGCGAGAAGAAACCCCGCCGATGAGTTTCATTATTATACAAACTCGACGTTTCAAAACTATTGTTATTCGTTTAAAAGACACTATACAGGATGATTACAGCGGGCCCAGAAAAATACTCGGGCATGAGTGTATATCTACATTTGAAGCGCATTTTCTTAGAGGTTTTTGGTAGGACACAAAAGGGGAGATGATTGGGGGCTGTACAGAAGCATTGGCACTTACATACAATGCATTGCACCGGCGTTACATCAAATATCATCTAAGTCAGCGCTGGGGAATTTTTTTTTTTTTTGCTTTCAGGCATCCGGAATAAGTGTAGCGGCGAAATATTGGAAGTGTACATGTCACCGAAATACATGTTCATATTCATGTCATTTGGTTGGAAGAATTCCCTTTTACATGTGACTGCGCTTCTTCCCGAACCCTATCGAATATTGATCAGATAGTTGAGAAGGATATGGACAACATCGTCAGTTGCTAGGATCCTCTAAGGACGAGCTCGAGGGGAACGAATATCGAGAGAGGGAGCTGAGCGCGCTCCTACAACAGGAAAATTTCCCTCGTCATTTTACTCTCCTTATCAGCAGGTGGAATGCTAACAATGGCAAGTCGTCCGAGGGGTTCGCGTTTTTCTAAGCTACCCTTTACTAGTTCGGCTCCATCTTCCAAAACCCATGCGCGGGCCAGAACCCCTGCTGGAGAAAAAGCAGGGTGTTCGGGTCAGAAGACCAGAGGACTAACGGATCCCAGGTGGTATGGAATTTGTACATATGTACATCAATCAATCAGTACTGACTAACGAGGCTGGGTGCAAGGGCAGAGTGCCGCCGCAAACCGATGGAAAACGTGGGAGCAATAAAAGAACATGGCCTTGCAAGGATAAAATTAATCGACCTGCCGGGTCTAGAAATCTTCCTTTCTTCCTCATACATCGGTCGCCTCCGTTTCTTTTCCTTTTTTTTTTTTTTTTTTTCAAGACTTGCCCAGGCTGCCTCACCTAGGTAGGTAGGTAGCAAGGCAAGACATGTCATGACATGGCAGGTTACGCTGGTTACGTAGCCAAGGTCGCCCTTTTCAAAACTCGCACCGAATCCAGGCCGAAGGAACAAGGGATCATTTCACCGATAACTCCAAAATGACCCGAATGACCCGACGGCCATAAATCAGCAAATATGTACCAAGCGAGGAAGCGAGAGGGTACGTAGGTAATGGTTTGATAGGTGAAAAAAAAAATTAAGAGAAGAGTTAAACAACGAGACTACAAGTTCACAAGGATTGACCGGAATTAGTAATGTCGAATTCTTTACTTCCGGGATCTAGGTAATTATACCACAATCGAATCTAAAGCATACATCCGCGTTATGGCCTTGCCGCATCCCGAGATTACCTTTCCCGATGGCTAGTCGAGATGGCAATGAGATCATGTACGCTACCTGCCTAATGTACGCTCTTGGAAGAAGCAAAAATACAATTGTGTAGGAATGCTAAAAGGTGCCAAGTGCCAAGACCTTCCAGAACCAAAAGAAGCCCGCGTCTTTCCCTCCCCCCACGCGCGCGGCGTCCACAACTTTGCGGCCATGCGGCCACCCGAAAGGGTTCACCGGAACAGGAACAGGGCAAGGGCTCATTTTTCCCGGTCGAAATGAAAGATGACCAGGCACTCAATGTCCCAAACAAACGCTACAAGAAACGGACCTACCTTAGCTCGGAGCCGCGCAACGTGATGTCAACGGCCCCTGTCAAAGTGATTCAAAATGCTTGACCGATGAATGGGCAACCCACGTTGCGCGTATCAGTACCTAGCACCCAGGAATATAAATATTTACATAATATGTGGGAGACACAACATCGTTACCAATTATTAATGTGTCTATGTGTGTACGCACACCGGTAAATATGGGTTGAACAAATTAACAAGCAAGATCCATCATGGGTATCCGTGTCGACGGCTCGTATATCGGATATCTACCTACAGCCACCCACATCCATCTTCTTCTCCGTCGCCACAAGACGTACAGTATAGTGTGTTCTGTTGCCTACCCAGTCAGCCAGTGCGGAGTCCGGGTGTACCGATATTCCCACCCGATACTCCGATGGCTCCTTTCATATATGTAGTAGCAGTGTAGCGAAGGCGTCCAAGACACCGAACTATTGCGCACTCGAGTAATAGGTTGTATACGAGAGCGAGAATCTAAGACCCGTCGGTGACGTAGGAAGCCCACATGGATAGTCGAGATAGAAAACTTTCTCACATAAGTTGGAACCATGTGCGCGGCACAGGGTCACAAAAGCAAGGTCTCGAAGACTGGATCGCCAGTCCCGCCGTGTTGCCATCCGTGGCGGTGTCGTCAAAGACTTCGTTAGAAAAGAAAATCAATCACATTTTTTGAAAATTTTATTTCTCTCTTGCTTTTCCCTGTTTCTTTTTTTCTTCCCGACTTTAGTAAGATCTCTAATCTGTCGGTTCTGTAGATCTTCCACGTTAGTCACCTACCTAGTCCGTCCTTCCCAAAATCGTGGGGGCCAATAAGGCGGGAAATCCTACCGTCGCAAGATTCAGGCAACCTGCCCTAGACGGACGGCGCGGCTCGATTCGCTCGCCCTTAACCCGCCAGGATTCGATCTCTTCTCATATTCAGGGGCAAGGCGGGTTTTATGTCATCCCTGAGACGCTGCGCTAACAGGAGTAAGTCAGATCCATCTAGGTAAGCTGCGCTGCTTCGAGCTTCTATAGGTATTTCAGAACAAGCCCTCGGATTATGCGTATTTACATGCATTACGTCCGTTCGACTCATTCGCTTACTCGCTATCTGTCATATATCAGCTTACACCGCATACCGCCACGCACGCACTCCCGCGCTGGTGGTGTGAAAATGTCAAGTCGCACCGTAGCATAAGACAGATCCCGGGTACGTTAATGTACGATCCGTAAAAGAATTGGTAGCTGAGATATGATATGTCTGCCGCTCGCCTACCTGCTTACCTACCTACCGAATGACTATAAATGTAGAAATCGTGTGAAGGGATGGGAATGTAGGTAGGCTAGATTGCTATTCTAGGAAGTAAGGTGTAATATCTACTCCGCTACTATAATATCCGTGAATGTACCTACCTTCACTACTTCAGCGCTAATGCACCCGTACGACCGCTGGTCGCAGACCCCTGAAAGGCCAAAAAACTTAAACTTCCAGGGCAGTAGCAGGGCTACAGCTAGCCGGCAGCGAACCCCATCCATGAATGCGGGAAAGGACCCACAAACCCCACGTTCGAATTGTGTGTAACAACCTCTTTGAAAATTTCATCAATTTTCATATAGAATTACACCTGATCTTTAAGTGCTGGGTGCAACTTGGGAGAATACATCCTACAGTGTCCAAATCCAAGAAGGTACATCATGAAGAACCAACGACGTCGGGAATAGGGATGGCGATTATCACATCGAGTACACGTGTAAGGCAACGGCATAACATGACTTCGACTGCAGCGGCGTCTCCGAATCATCATAGAAAATGGCTCCATTCCCATCCTTCCGGTGCCTGACTTAGGAATCCGACAAACCCGGATGGATGAGCAAGGAATTGATACACTACGTTGGACCAGCTGGCGGTTCGACGGTTAGGTACATGACGCCGTATCATCCCATCTCATCTCTGTGTATCGAGTAGGAAGGCGTCGAGTATGGAACGATAGATTTCCATCCAGCACCGCAGAACCCGTTCTACCCGTTCAATGGCTTGCAATTCATGCGGGGAAACATCATCGCTGTACTGCTGTCGTCAACAAGAACAACAAACGCCTCTCGCTACCCCTCTAAAGTCACCGCCGTTGCAGTCAACGAACAAATAAAAAAGATCATCAAAGTCCATTTCAAATTCTGATAAGAGCCTCTCTAACCCATTGGCCGAACCCTAAACCCGCAAATCCCTATCCGTCCGTTTACATGAACGAACCCTGACGAGCATCACCTAATCACCCAGCGGAAGCGTAGTCATTGGGCGGATCGCAACTGCTCGTATCCAGGGGGGTCGCTAGAAAGCAAAGGAGGAGGCGGTCAAGTCGCAAGTCCTCTTTCAAAAGCCGCCATTCCTCACCGCTTCCCAGTCGGTCGGGCACAGCACCCAGGTGAACCGTAAACTCGCTCATAAGGGCACCCCGTAAGACCGGCGTAGTAAACAAGTTGCATGATGGAGAAGTTAGGCAAACTAACAAGGCAACCTTTTTGACGTATGTAGACAGGATCTAGTCGTAGATAGATTGGAAATAGGCCTATCCGTCGGGTGCGACGTGCTACATCCGGAAGACCCCAAATCTGGTATCACCAGGCTGGATATCGTTCCTACCCGACAGCGCGGCTCTCAATCCCAGCCCGAGGTAGCGCCTCGTATGCTGTGGCGGGATAACACCGTCGTCCTACGATGGGAGGGGTAATGATGTTAGCATACAACACAAACAAGACGAGATAATACCAGAGATAAGCAAGTGAACCAGTTAACTTACCCATAACCTAGCGGAAGAATAAACCGCATCGCTCTCCCTCTCGATCCTATCCCTCAACTCCGGATCCGCCTTCTGGCCCACCGTCTCCATAACGCTAGCCAGCTGCTCCCCGCCCATAACCCCGATCCTCGCATTCGGCCACATCCACAAGAATCGGGGGCTGTAAGCCCGACCGCACATGCCGTAATTACCCGCGCCGTAGCTACCGCCGACGACGACAGTAAACTTAGGCACATCAGTGCAAGCCACAGCAGTAACGAGCTTGGCGCCGTGCTTCGCGATTCCCTCACGTTCGGCTTGGGCACCGACCATGAAGCCCGCGATGTTCTGCAGGAAGATGAGCGGGACGCCGCGCTGGGCGCACAGCTCGATGAAGTGCGCACCCTTCTGCGCCGACGTACCGAATAGGATCCCGTTGTTGGCTACGATACCCACGCGCTGCCCGTAGATGCTGCCGAAGCCTGTTACTAATGTCGACCCGTAGTCCCGCTTAAACTCAGCGAAGTGCGAACCGTCAACGATGCGTGCGATTACCTCGTGGATCGGGAGCGGCTTGCGGAGGTTCGTTGATGCTATGCCTAGCAGTTCCGAGGTCGAGTATAGAGGTTCGGAGTAACTGGTTGCTGGAGGAGTGGCTTTGTGCGGCCAGTTTAGGTTACTGATACACCGTCTTGCTAGCACGATGGCGTGAGCGTCGTCTACAGCTAGGTAATCGGATACCCCAGATACCGAGGTGTGCATGGCACCGCCGCCGAGCTCTTCGGCGGATACCTCTTCACCTGTAGCGGCTTTGACGAGAGGTGGACCGGCTAGGAAAATATGACCTTGACCTTCCACAATTATATTCTCGTCGCTCATAGCAGGGACGTATGCCCCACCCGCCGTACATAACCCCATGACGACGGAGATTTGGGGGATCCCTTGAGAACTCATCCTCGCCTGGTTATAGAAAATCCGACCGAAATGGTCGCGGTCTGGGAAGACGTCTGACTGGTGGGGAAGATTCGCACCACCTGAGTCTACCAGATATATGCAGCTATTTTATCGTTGTGTTAGAGAATGTGTATCTTACTAGGTTCATCTTATCTCGACATCCGATGTAGATAGTTCAGGTAGTTTACTTACGGCAACTTATTCTCCTGAGCTACAGCCTGGGCTCTCAAGTGCTTCTTCACAGTGATGGGGTAGTAAGTGCCTCCTTTTACCGTGCTGTCGTTCGCTACTATCACACACGTGACGCCCTCCACAACCCCAACCCCAGTAATGATGCCTGCCGCGGGTACGTCCGCCTCGGGGTAGAGTTCGTGGCCTGCTAAAGGCGATAGTTCCATGAACGTTGTTCCAGGATCTACTAAAGCCGTCACTCGATCTCGCGGCAGCATCTTTTTCCTCGCAATGTGTTTCTCTCTAGCTTTCGCGGAACCTCCTTGCTGAGCTGTGCGAGTCAGCTGCTCTAGACGGGCCATAGCCTCTCCCATGAGCCTCTCATTTTCCTTAAACTCGTCTGAGGTCGAGTCAACATTGCTCTGTATGACAGATATAGCATTCGCCTGGTACGGGGCCGTGTAAGACGCGATAGTTCGAGCGGGAAGACGGAGGGGTCGATGAGGGCGTCGAGAGCATTGTCGGGTCAATTGGCGAGAGAAACCCAACAGGTCCCTCGAGCATCTTGGTACGGACATTTTGGAGGTATCGCGTGTTCTGCTACATGCTTCTATTGCATTATTTTTTACGAAGAAAAGTTAAATGCTCTTTGGCTTTACTAAGGAAACTGAAAGACATTGGCATCTGCGGCCAGTGCAGCTGACGTCGGGATTCCAGGGAAGGAATGCAGCACACACCGTCGGTAGCCGCTATGCCGAGCCCACCCGCCACCAACCTCTGACGCCCCTTACACCTCGATAAGCCGACTATCGATTACCGTCAGCCATTGTAGCTACCTATTGTTCCATTATACAATCGTAACTTCCCTTTCCCAAACTTAACAACTTATTTCATCATCCCAACTATTCGTTAGCGTATCCCAATCCACGGCAAGTATGAAGGCATTCCGAGCCCTAAACCGGCCAACACGGCTCCCCACAAAACCCCCAACCCCACGTCCCTCCTCCTCCCTGCCAATCTCACCCATATCCGCCTTCCAAACCCGAACCTTCGCATCCTCCAAACACCCCAAGGACTTCACACCCCCCAGCACCGCCGACCTCTCCGAGCTGCGCGAGCGCGTGCAGGATTTCACGCGTCGGGAGATCACGCCCGAAGTCGCTGCGCACACTGACCGGAGCAACGCGTTCCCGGCGTCGATGTGGCCGAAATTAGGGTCCGCGGGGTTCCTGGGCATGACGGCGGATGAGGAGGTAGGGGGGCTTGGGCTGGGGTACCAGGCGCACTGTGTAGTGATGGAGGAGCTATCACGGGCAAGTGGTAGCATCGCGCTGAGCTACGCGGCACATAGTCAGCTATGCGTGAACCAGCTGCAACTCAACGGGTCAGCGGAGCAAAAAGCGAAGTATTTACCTGAGCTTATCGCCGGGACGAAGGTCGGGGCGTTAGCTATGTCGGAGTCTGGGGCTGGGAGCGATGTAGTTGGGATGCGAACGAGTGCGAAGGCGGTGGATGGCGGGTTTTTGATCTCGGGGACGAAGATGTGGATTACGAACGGGCCGGACGCGGATGTCGTCGTCGTGTATGCGAAGACGAAGCCGGAGGCGGGGTCGAAGGGGATCACGGCGTTTATTGTCGATACGACGGCGGCGGGGTTCAGCTGTGCGCGGAAGCTGGATAAGATGGGGATGCGGGGGTCGAATACTGGCGAACTGGTCTTCGACTCCGTGTTCGTGCCTGAGTCGAATGTCCTGGGACAGGTCAATGGTGGTGTGCGTGTGCTCATGGAGGGGCTTGATCTCGAGCGTCTGGTTTTAAGCGCGGGGCCTTTGGGGCTTATGCAGGCTGCGCTTGATGTTGCTCTTCCGTTCACGCATCAGAGGAAGCAGTTTGGGACGCCGGTGGCGCATAACCAGTTCGTGCAGGGCAAGTTGGCGGATATGTACACCAAGTTGCAGGCTTCGCGCGCGTATACGTATGCTACGGCGAAGGCGGTGGATGAGGAGAGTGTAATAAGGACTCAGGATTGTGCTGGCGCGATCTTATACGCGGCAGAACGGGCTACGGAGTGTGCGCTGGATTGTGTGCAGTTGTTGGGCGGCATGGGGTACGTCGAGGAGATGCCGGCGTCGAGGTTATTGAGAGAGTGAGTTCCTTTTTTTTCTCTTTTTTTCTTCGCGTAAATGTCAACTTCCGTCTCCTTCTCCATCATCTCCAGCTTCTTCGAAACTATCGTGTAGTTGAGTTTCTTCGCATTACTAACCATGTTTCTAGTGCCAAATTATACGAGATAGGGGCAGGAACGTCAGAGATACGTCGCATGGTTATTGGGAGAGCGTTTAATAAGGAATACGCGCATCTTGGTGCATGATTCCAGTTAGGTCAACTAGTAAATGCATAGGGGGCGGCGTCTTGGGAAAATGGATGTTTTAAAGTTGTGTAGGTATCAGTAATGAAATTATTATATAGGTAAAATCTACCTCTTTCCCCAAAAACGGTACGTCATGTGGTTTCTTCTCTCTGATGCTCTGTAGCTCGTATTAAGAAATGTAATCGGTTACTTGCCGCCTCTCCATCTTTGGAGTTAGGATCCTCCCGGTCCAAAGTGAACTCGATGATCTGGTTCCCTATGGACACGCGTGTGCTGGCTATTCTGCCATACATATCCCAACAATTTCCTTCAAGTGTTGAACGGTGAGATGGGTCGATTATCTCAGCCCATGAACTCTTCTCTTCTACCCCGTCTACCCCGTCTACCTCGTCTACCTCGTCTACCTCGTCTACAGCACGCCATCGCCAGCGAGGCTTGCCGAGAAAATATTTTGAAAGGAGGGATTCGGATATCTGCGCCTCGCTGCGACAGAGGTTAAAGTGTATGTGGGCATTATCCCAAGCGAGTAGAAGGCTGAACGATTGATCTACATCACGAAGGTATTCCATCCCGAAGATTATAAAATACGGTCGTTTGGGAATTTGACGAAGTTCAGTGTTGAACGTGGCACACCCGTATGTGGTAGACCACATTATCCCATCTTCCATAGCCATATCCCGAAGTGTGATTAAAGAGTCGAGGTCGCAAGCTTCTCTTTGGAGCCCAGGATATCGCACCGTCTTGATTCGAAAATTTCTTAAGTTATCTTCTGCTCTTCCAGCAGCGAATCCAGCGGGGAATGGATAAAGACCTTTAGTGATAGGAATATTTTGCAAGTGAACACCCCCGATTCCGAATCGACCCTGTTCCTCAATAGGGAGGTTTTTGTGGATATATATCAATTGAGGCCTACCATCTGCAGGACTTTTTATATCCCAAAAAATCCTCTTTATAGGTTTAAGTGAAGGTGTAGCCAATCTTGCGTACCTATTCACTAGGGGTAGGTGAGAAGTCAACATCGGTGGTGATTTAACTAGCTGTATTGACATTTGACCGCTGAGAGGGCTTCGGACGTCTAATACATTTAGCCTTGCATTAAAGATCTCGCACTCCAAGTTCCTGTGGTATAGGTGAGAACCTTCACCATAGAGTTGTTCTGTGAGAGGGAGATAAATCTGGAGCCCCCTGTTGGTAATTGCAGACGGATGTCCAGAATCGAAAACGCTTTCTTTGACTTCTCCCGCTTCCGAAAAATCGTCAGGTGATGAGGCAAACACGCTTTGAAGCGTCCACGCTCTGGGACTCATTTCCGGAACGGTCCAGCACAGCAATGTGTGATCATCCGTTTCTTTGAGAATTTCTTCTTGTAATCGGATGAAAGCTTTTGGGCCCTCGCCATATAAGAGCGGCATGCTGACATTGAATAGCCCTAGGAGAGAGTACGCAATGTCTTCATCGCGAGTGCTCCTTCTATGAGCTGCCCAGGACATTTTCTGCGCGGTGCTATACCCGGATAAAGACATGTAACCTTGTGTCAATGACGACGGGATCCTGGTGACAGCGGAAACAACGCGTGATATTTCTTCTTCCTCGAGTAGGCCTATGTAACTCCAGTTAGGACCATAGAAGCGGAGTTCCTGTGGTGCAATCAACTCCTGCAGCGTCCAAGCTCTAGTAAACCATCTCGAGACTTGTGGATTTTCATCTCCTATTGAACGTGTGTGCGGAAACTAAAAGCATAAGCATTAACCGGTATATTTATAATTTAATGTGAAGTTATATTAATTGACGTACCTTGTCAACATCGACGAGGTAGGCGTAACAAATAGCGGAATCTTTATACCACTGGTACATTGAATTAATCGATTCGCTGAGCTCAGCACTACTCGATTTATCGATACAGCAAGTGTCTACCCAAGCCCATTCGAGGCCATCCTCTTTCGCTTGCTCGCAAGTGTAGAGAATCTTCAGGTAACCCATCTTGCTGGGGCCGTTCCCGGCTTGTAGATCCTGAAAGCTTACTTCGTCTTCGCCCCATGTGTGCGAAAGGATTGCATATTTACGTTTTGGGATAGCATTACCATAAAACTGATGTAGTGTGATTGTTTCGACGTCCAACAAATACATCGCGACCGTGTATTGATGTTGAAAAACTATAAGGAATATTCGATGAAAGCAAAGCCTTGTTGGGAATCATGGCATTCTGTCGAGGCTGCCTGAACTTGCCAGCTCAGCGCCAGCTGCCGGCGGCAAAGGAAGAAGGATATGCAGCTTTGATTAAGGCATGTTGACACCCATCACTTGAAGGCATCACGTAATTGACGGACGACCTATCACACAGCGTATCTCCATGGTGTCTGTGATTGGTGAAAATATCCAGTCGAGTGATCTAGTTTATGGGACTGTCATAAACGCGCCCTTGACTCTTGAGTGCATGTAGATGAGAGAGCAAGTTCGGTCGGTCTTACCAGTAGTAATGCAACCTCTTCAGACGAATGACAGAAATAGGCCGTCCTAGAACATATGAGAGTAACACATTATCTGGAGAGTTTGGAGTGGTTTGGGGTGATTTGGTGGGTGGTTTGGTGGATGGTTTGGTGGGTGGTACGGAGTGAGAGAAAGATTAAACTGAATTAATTGATGCAATCCATGCAACTTCACAGAAAGTCATGTGATCTTGATCTATATATTTTTGATAGATGCATTCCATTCATTTATCCGAGATAGAAAAAAAATAATCAGATAACAGATAGATAGGTAATTATCAATTATCAAGAGTCAAGAAATCTCAAGAAGTCTTATCTACCTAAGATTCCTTCTTTCTACAAAGTTCGGACGGTCGCATCCATCACCTACCTATTATTACTAGGTAGTTCATTCGAACAAGTAAATCATTACCGTCTACCGCAGTTCTATGCGATCACTAAACGGAATGGTTCGCATACTACGGTAGTAGTTTAACCAGGCCCGACATATGCAAGCTTGGGTTCGGTTTGCTAGGTGATGGGCTAGGTGATCGGTCAGCGCAAGGGGGATCATATGCCTTAAATTTTGCCGAGTACGGGCGTGGGCGGATTGGCTATCTTCAGCCGCTCTACCCAGGAAAGTCGCCCATGGGCTAGTCAGGTTGAGTCTATTTACACCACGCTCCACTAGGAACGTCTCCTGCCTTCCTGCCTGCCTTCCAGCAACCAAAGGGCAAGATAGAATGACGACAGATGGTGACCGATGCTTTGGAGCGCACATGCACCTCTTCTATCTATTGACTCGGGTTACGCACCGTCGGCTGTTACCGCCGTCTCGTGCCGCTTCACCGTGGCAAGGGCCGACGTAATCGGTGAGCGGAGGAGATAGGGCAACCAGACCAAATAAATCCGATAGTCTGTTTGCCTAACTTCCTGTTTGCATCAGCGACGCAGAATGTGACGATGGTGTGGGGGAAAAGAGCTAGCTCGCTACTCACCGGCTTTTCTGATGTTGTGACACCTAAGAGGGAACACATATAGCCGTCGCTGACCGGTGTGAATATTAGGAACTATAACATGTATATCACACGAAGAGACCAGGTTCCGGCTTTGCGATATATCACAAATTATCGTGAGCTAGTCCATGAAGCCTACCTGGGTAAGCTGATCTGCTCCGCAAAGTAATAGTGGTCTTGCCTTTTTTCTGGTACACCAAAATCAGTGCCGGACCTAGTCCCGCTTCATAAGCAATTGGACGGGTACATGTATATCTATCCAACCAAAGGAGTTTATACGATTTCTATAAGAATCTTAGCAATGCGTAATCCCAAAAATTATTGTCTCGAACCGTTTAAGTGTTCTCCTAAGACTTGATAGAGGTTTGTTGGCGTCAGAGTTGTGACCCCACTGGAGCTCATCCCGTGCGCCAACTTCGGCAGTAAAGCCTCACCATATGTCATATCGTAGATCTCTAAGACGCGTATCGACCACTAGGATGCTTAGATACCTTTCGGGGTAAGTCACCTATATGGTTGGAGGGGTGTTGTCATCGTCACAGTCGCTGTAGTGCCCATGTTGCAGTTCCACAACAAGGAGGTCAAGGAGATTGTCGTTGCAACATATCGCTAGAGACGCGATCCTCTGATAGCGTATGCAAGCCATCTTACCTCATCGATGATGACGGTATACTGACGGCGTGATAAAGTGGATACTAGAAAAAAACGCAGGTTAATATAAATGGCCTGGAGCTGCTACGACTTGAAGCAACCCCTGTTTGATGGTGATGCCCACCTCACACAGCAGTGAGCTAAAGAGATGGGAATTCTTACATTCCCATGATTACTGTTGATCCTATCCTGGTATCACGCCGTCACGATCCAATAGTTCGGCGTCTCAGGACGTTGTCATCTTCACCGTGTACCACTCAGCCTATCGAGAAGAGGTCTTAGATCGTCTTGCGGGTAAGTGGGCGTCGAATAAGGGCTTCATGTTTTCTTATCTTCCGAGCCGGTCAAGCTGTCGATGAGGGCCTTTTCTAGAGATGATGGCAACGGGCATATCGCTATTTCTGCATCGGGAGTTCTAGCGATGGGGAAACCCTTAGTTTAAGGGAGATGGGTCTAAAGAGTGTCACGCAAGCCGCTTTCCCTTGCGTGAGGGTGGGTTACGGCAACTGTCTCTCGCTAAGCACGATGAATCAACCGATGGTTGCAGCTGTTGCTCACCCGAAAATCTCGAGTCGTTATGCAGGAGGCATGCATGACGTTGATGACAGAGGATCCTACTCGGCAAACCATGGCACTCGAGACGAGGTTGGCCCGTAGCCATTTGGAGGCTTTGCTTTCAACGAATGAGCTCCTGAGCTTTTCCAAGTCCCGGGTCACTAACGCCTCGGGGCACTCTAGACTGAAGCGGGAGAGACCAGCTTCAGATCTAAAAAATCCTGTTTACGTACTTTGGTTTCACGGAGGACCCGGGGAGCATGAGGTGATCCATCTGATTTCTGATCAAACTTGCAGATCAATGTGATAGGGATCGAAGGAGACACAAGCCCAGCGTCCGGATGGGGAACAAAATGCGAACCCAAAGGTTCTAATGGCACTACCTAGTACACAAGTAAGTTCAGCCGACAGGTAAGAAGGTTTAGTGCGCGAACCAGATATCGATCGTGGACAGCCGTCTTAAGTCGGTTGGAATCGAGCTAGTCTGATAGGCCGATTTTTAGAAAACTAAATATCATAAATGCTAGGTATAATGCCCTCTCAGAAATTGAGTTCTCTGGACATTCTTGAGTAATCCTATCACCCATTTCCGATAGACCGTACTCGGCCGATTAAGAAATTATCTTAGAGACCTAAATTCAACGGTTACCAATGGCACACGGACCATATGAAAAGCCCATTCGGCCATCGACTAAACAGAATGTGGCCCGTCTATTGAAAACCGACGTTGCGAAGTTTGTAAGAAAGTTCGAGAAACTAGTGCGACGAGAACTATGGACCAAGGAGGACCCCGGCCGCCAGGTAGACTGGAATGATCCCCTAGTCTGGGAGAAGATCAATAACGAGGGGTTCTATCATCGGGCTGACGAGATGCTGGTCAGTTGTGGAACGGTGACAGTAGATCAGGCAGACTCGCCGCGCCCAAAGGTATTGGTAGTCTTCAACAAGAACATTGGCATATTCCAATTACCCAAGGGACGTAAGAACTTTGACGAGAGACACCTGGACACGGCTCTACGCGAGACCACGGAAGAGGCCGGAGTTGCCGTTCAACCCCTGAGGCTCAGATTCGGGTCCAGATCCACGCCACCGAAGCCGGTCCAGGCCCAGAATCAGGCCAGAGAAACCAGGTACGGCGTCGAGGACAAAGTCACAGGTATCACAGAGGGGTTTAGTAGCGAGAGTATCGGCGTTAGTGAATGGTAAGTTGTGTCGTCCTTCCACGTGTCTCCAATTTCATGTTTCTTGCGATATGCTATTTTGACTCAGCTGACCATGTCCCCTGACAGTACGTCCTAGAATTCACCTTTTCATTTTCTTTCAATCCCCATCATAGTCTAGGAGGATTGATTCTAATACTAAACCCGTCAGATCCGGACCCTGCTACTGGTGCCTGGAGGCACATCTACTGGTTTGCGGCCAAGCCTCTGGGAGATATCAAGCGCGACGAGGCTCGGATGACTGAGGAAGAGGACCGAAAGAAGTTTTCAACCTTCTGGTTCTCTGAAATGGAAGCTCTGTCTCGACTCAAGCTTGAAGACGAGAAGTTTAGTAAGTAATTTTTCACCTTATCACTACTTGTCTTGTAGAAACAACTGTTTCGCCTAGCTTTACAACGTGTGTAATCGTTGGTTAGTTTGAGGCAACGATTATTTGACTTACCAAGATCCAAATGGAAACCTAATTTCTTCCTTCCTAGTGGTCCGAATCGTGTTCGCGTACATCCGAAGCATGTCAGACAACGACTGGACGAACAGCCGAGAACATGAATGAGAAAACCACGAGGTAAAGGATACATGATTGATATCAAGTTAAGTCGTGACTATACACAAGGCTGGTAGGTGGCATTATAACGGTATATGGGGTCATGTTTAAGGTCGTTATGCGGTTCGTTTCTTGAAGGGTAGTGATTTTCATGAGGCCGGATTTTGGAATTGGTTGAACTATTGTACCCGGGTAATGTGAGGACTTGGGTACCACTTGTTGGCTCCCGAGCTTTATTTTATGATTCGGCATATGTCATGTTCTCGATCATGAGAGAATAATGGGATTGTTAGTTACGCGGTACACAGAGAATATTAAGCTGTTATAATAGTATTTAGGTAGCTTCCGAGTATAGGTCGGCGGTTTCCTAAAGAAAGGGGTCGTCAGCCCTATGAATTCAAACCTGTTTAAAAAGAAAAAGGCGCTAGTCTACTTCTAGTCTAGACTCTCGCTAGCCGACGGCCACTTCCGATTGACAATCATATATGATGACATCAGGGCATTATCATAAATCTCTACCCCACACCTTCCGCGCAGCTTCGTTTGAAGCTACCCCTCACGCCTGGCTGGCCTGGGTTCTTCTAGAAACTGCTCAGTCTAAGCAGTACAATTTCTGAATGCATTTGGCAATCGCTATGTAGACATAGAAACAAACTGTAAAATATTCGAGCATATCCGTTCTAATTCCGCGCACCTCATGCTTCATGTACCTAGATCCTGAGATACCTACAAGGGTATTCAAAGTTACAATATTCAATGTTTACCACATCCTACATCCCGCACCTATTAGCACAACATTTAAGTACATAGTAGCGTGATACATGCCTCTACCTAAGCACCTTCCCGGATCCCGAAGAGTTGCTGCCGTAACATCAGGCCTAGTAGCTCCACCTGAAGCTACTTCTCAAGTTCACCCACCATCATTTTCCTATTCCAAATCTAATTCCGACTTTAATTCCAATTCTAATCCCTCAATTGCTTCAAGTTCATATCCGTTCGTACACACTAGGAATATCACCTCTCTATCAATTGGAAATAAGGACCTTTTGAAGCGGATAGCTTCTGAACATATTTGCAAGATGTCGACCATGCCAGCTCAACACGGTCATTCTGAGGCCTGCTGTAACATTCCACCTGTAGTCGCGAAGGGATATAGCGCAAAAGGCAGCTATGAGGAACTCGGAGGCTTAAAATCATGTAAGTTATCTCCTCTCCTCAATTCCTCTATAATAGCTAAACATGCCGATCGTAGACGTAACCGGTCCGAAGGAGGCAACTAAGGGTATAATTACCATCTTCGATATCTTCGGATATTACCCGCAAACACTACAGGGCGCCGATATCCTCTCAACTTCAGATCACTCGCAGAAGTACAAGGTTTTCATTCCGGATTGGTTTAATGATGAGCCCGCCTCTCTCTCATGGTTCCCTCCCGATAACGAGGAGAAGCAAAACAGTCTTGGCGGTTTCTTCCAAAAGCACCCACCTCCAAGTGTGGCTGCGAAGGTTCCAGATTACGTCAGTGCCGTTTCGGCCAAGTACCCCGAAATTAAATCGTGGGCTATTCTCGGAGTAAGACATCAACAAATCCATAAAGTTTTCTTAATAATATAAGATAAAAGAACTCCACTGACAGCAACTAAAATAGTTCTGCTGGGGAGGAAAGGTCGTTTCCATCGTAACCTCGAAATCGGACACCGTCTTTAAAGCAGGTGTGGAAGCCCACCCGGCAATGGTGGACCCCGCCGATGCCGAGAATATCAAGGTTCCCCTAGCTTTGCTAGCTTCTAAGGATGAGGCACCTGAGGACGTTAAGAAATTCGAGGCGAACCTCACCGGTCCTAAGCACATAGAGACCTTCGGCGACCAGATCCACGGCTGGATGGCCGCGCGCTCCGACCTCGAAGACGAACACGTCAAGGCCGAGTACATCCGCGGCTACGAAACCGTGCTGAAGTTCTTGTCTCAACATGTCTAAAATATCTAAAGACTATTTCGCTTTGTTTATTGGCAGGGTGGTGTATGGGCGGATTTGTATCTAGGTGAGCTCAGATCTTAGGAGGCAAGCCTTTACATCAAAATAAGGCTCATATAGAACTTGGCTTCCTTAATTTACGATTATAGCACCCTCCGTTACCTTCGAGTAGGCGCGAATTAACGAAATTTTTATGTTACGTACGAATCCAATTAAGCCGCGAGGGAATGTAAGGAACATTCATATAGCGATAGCGAATCTTGGTATTGGTTCTCAGCATGTGCTCAGAGCTACCTGCAATGTCTGCCGTCATGTCATAGCTCAACCTTCCTCCCCCCTGCGATGCGCACCTGGCCTATTCTCGGTTTTTTTTTTTGGATTTGTATTTTTTCCGAGTTTTTTTTTAAAAAAAAATCTTTGTGTGTCGTGAGCCAATGTGCAAAGACTTCGTGGAAAATGGTCTTGCAATTGTTCAGTGTCGAACTCTAGCAATGACTTTTTCTGAAATGAAATCCTCGAAACCATACCATTCTATCTTCGTGCTGGCGGATAGCACTTGCTGCCGCCAGGCGAAGATATCAAGACCGCCTAGTGATCAGCGACACTTGTCGTGATGCACGGTGGAACCTCCAGTCCGAAAACCAAATTTCCCCGATGAGTAACCCTTATTCAGCCTCCATGACAGTCAGGTACTGTCACCTTTTGTCCTCCCTTCACTCATTCTCAGGTTCCTCGTAGTAATAAAGATCAGCTCCGTCCCAAGCGTCGCCAACAGCGGCGGGGTCCCACACCTGAGCCTGTTCGTTGTGGGAGGTCTGCTCATCCTGAGCTTGTGGCATGACTTGATTCTGGCCAGGGCCCCAGACATCTTGGGGGCTCACGTATTGTGGATAGCCCTGGGTTTGGTCCTGACCATAGCCGAGATTCTGATCTTGGCCATAGACAGGAATCTGGCCTTGGACGTAACCAAGATTCTGGTCCTCTCCATAGCCGACATTCAGATCCTGGGCGTAGCCGACGTTCTGATTGTTATCATAAACGACATTCTGGTCTTGGCCATCGGCGACGTTCTGATCCTGTCCATAGCCGAAATTATGGTCCTGTCCATAACCGAAATTCTGGTTCAGGGCATAGTCGAGAATCCGGTTCTGTGCCTGGGTGAGATTCTGCTCTTGTTGGCTTCCGATCCAGTCAGGGGCAATAAAGGACTGCCTTGCAGCTTGCGTGTAGTTGGGTTGGCGTTGGGGTGCATCGTAAGTGCGACTAGCGCCGCTACCCTGGGCTCGTGCTAGAGTCGGAGCCGGAACCGAATCCAGAACCGGGAAAATGGGTCGTCGCCAGTTGGGGTGTGGCATAGCAGAGGCATCGAGAGGAACACTGGAAGGTTCACTTGCTTGTTCTTCACCACGCGTAGGGCGATGGCCGTGGGTTCTAGGCTGTGTGCTAGAACCACCACCCTGGCGGCTGTTCTGATTCGAGTTCGCGTTAGCGCGAGGAGTACTGGGACCAGCATGATGACGGCTCGCATTTCCGCGAGGCCGACGGGGTCTGCGCACACGCGAATTGTCATCTACATCGCGATAGCGAGCCCCGCCTCTAATGGCGGGACCAATACGCGAAGGTCCTCGCTGCTTACTAAACTCAATCATTGCCCAGACTTTCTGTCTATCGCTCTGACTAGGTTCTGGTCGGACACCATCGGCGTTCGCATTGGCTTCGCTGTAAATGAGGACCAGGAGCTCCTCTAGTAGAGGTGATGCAGGTGAGAAAACGCCAACCCACTTGATCTTGAACCAGCCCACGAACTCAAAGCAAGCAGCCGAATCGACGTTGCGTTGCTGGAACGCGGCGATGTGCCCATGAGCATCTGGCTCGTATCGAAACTCGGATACACGCGGGATACCAGGATGAGTGTTGTGGTACTCGTAATCTGGCAAGGTCACCAAGTTGTCGGTCGTGAATATAGCGCGATTGCCCACAAAGTGATTCTCGTCGTCAATCTTTAGAAGGAGGTAGACAACCTCAGGTTGAGGCTGTGCAGCGTTTAAAACATACTGCGGTCGGTCCCTGACTGTGGCATAAAGCTCTCCGTTGTAATAAGACTCGATCTCATTACGGGTATAAAGTACGGGGGGCTCGGGTGGGGTGGGGTCGATTGCGGTTGCGGATGACTGTCCCTAGCCAGTCTGTTCACTTCCACTTCGATCTCCTCCGGTAGCATCATCATCAGCACCAATTGTGGCATTGTTACTGCTGCTTTCTGAGGCCGCAGCATCACTCTCTGTAGCGCGGTCGCGCTCGGGCATGTCGTCGGCAGGCATGACTAGGTCTTCTTCCGGGTCGCTCTGTTCGCCGCAGGTGAACGGGAGGGTATAAGGGTTGTATCTGTGACCAGATATAGTGGGTGATAGATGCTAACTTGTGTCCCTCGTACGAGGTAGCTTGTTCCGAAGAATGATGGGCGTTGGGGACGGCGAAGAAAAGGAGGGGAGTAGAAGAGTGGCTATTATTTGGGTAAGTCGACGATGAAATTTGGCAGTCAGTGACGACCTAAAGGCACGAGATAATGAGGGAATAATCAATTATGCCTATGGTCAGTATGGGATTACAGTCGAGGTTACCGAAATTTGGGTTGCTTGTGGGTTGTAGGAGTACTGAGGAGTTTGGTGTGGGATGTGGGAAATGAATGTGTCCAGGGAAGAAAAAAAGAAATCCTGGAGGCATAGGGAAAGATGGCTATTTATGCTCTTTCAGAATCTCTCAGTCCCCGAAGTCGACTCAAGGATCCCCGAGGACGTTTATCAGGTGGCCTATGACTTCGAAATCGGTATGAGACGCCCCCCCGGGTTCCTTCCTATACGAAAGACTTATAACTCAATTCCTACTCATACTGTTATATACGACTAAACAAGAAGATCAAAGAATGGTCCGGAAGAGCCCCAGCTTCGTTCATTAATATGTCGACATCGTTTCTGATCACAGCAACTAGGAATTCTGCAAGTCTAAGACAGGATCAGGGCGTCAAGTTGCCCTTGCCAATGAACCGGCTCACCGAGCAATATCAGCCAGTGAATTTTGAATTTTTAAGAGACCAATACAAGCCAAGTCATCTTCCAACGCCCATAAAGCGACAAAAGACTCATGTTCCCAATGCTTACACAGTTAACATATAAAAGACACATCATGCTACAGACCGATCAAAGCACAGCAGGTACCAAGAATCTATACGATTTAGTTAAGGGCTTAGATGAGAACTGATCCCTCTACGACATGGACGTTCTTCGTCCAACTTTGACAGGGTGCTGTATAGGTAAGTAACTACCTACCACAAGTAGCATTAGTTACAGATAATTATTACAGCTGCCTAATCTTCGCTTGTCCGATTTATACATTGAATTAAGATTGAAGGAAATTATGATTGACTTTGTCCGGTATGTTTATCTTAACCAGTGGATTGTTAATTAATCAGTTCAATGGAATTTATGGATAGGGGTAAACGTATCCAAACCCCCTTTTACGACAATCCACTGTCTTTTCTGTTTTTTTTTTTTAAAAAAAAAACTATAAGCTTATTAACCTGCCTGTTTCTGGGCTTATCGAATGAATTGATAAATCTCATGAAGTTTCTGTTTATTCTGGTTTTATGTAGCTAATGCGTGTAGGTCCCCTATTATATTCCTGGCTCTGTAATCATGTAAGTTACCAAATTCGAGACTTGGTATCGGTCGGCCGACGTTGTAACTTAAGCTTATTAGGTAAGAATTATTAAAGAGTTATACCATTGAGACTTTTGACCCCCCCTTAACCTATTCTAAAATGATATGGCAGTTCATGAAGTGTTGATCATGACCCCCTCAGGCATATGAATGATTATGTAATCACATTACTAATCATGATAGTGGAAGTATGCATTCATATTACTCCACAGACATGTTCGCCCTGGGGCTTCTATAATACTAACATGATGGCAAATTAACTATAGGCCATAGGAACTTCTTCATTTGTGGTCTCCAGTGGCTTCATCCTTATTGGATAAGGATTTTATCATAGAGCTATGTGTTGGTGAGACTCGTTGACCTTGTTAATACCTAATCAATATCACGTCTTTAATAGGTACCTACGCACCTGGCCATATAAGCGCCATTGTCAGTTTATCATTTTACCATACATCTTCTCACACTTCTTCTGACCGTGCTGCTTCTCAAACTAGCTCATCAGCAAAGCGTAGAACTGCTTATCTAATCTACAGCTCAGGCCGATATATAGGTTTAACGCATATACATACCGCTTAACTTGAATATATGTGTATCTACGCCATATACCCACATAACAGTCCGCGATTTAGGTAATCGAAGTCTACCTAATGATCAAGACAGGGTTAAATACTACGATTTATTAGGGATCCGTATTAATGGACATAAATGTAGATATGACAATTTCGCAAAGAATTGGTAGGAAATTTCACGTCTGTTATATATCAAAGGTAACAATTCCCACTAGTATTTTACCCCGTTTTACCCCTAAACTGCTTCCTGATCTGACAGCCTATCGTGAAATTACTTGCGATGCAGACAAACCAGGGGAATAACGGATAGGATTGGTAATATACACTCTAGTTTACGTATATCCTTTAACCCGTATTTTCTTATATATACATACATAGGTAGACAATACCTTCAGACGGACTACTTTGCCCCAGTTCCACTAACCAGCAAGACCACGCTGCCCAGCTGCCGTCTCAAATCCTCTTTCTCCACATCGTGTGTATCCTCAACTTCTCCCCAATTCCCCGTCTGCCAATCGACCTCAATGCTCGCCAACCTCGCCGCCTCCTCAACTCCAAACTTCTTCCCCTCCCCAGGCGCCGCACCATTCGCCCCATCCCCAATCCCCGCGCCTACGAATCCCTCGCTCCACTCAACCAACAACCTCGTCGCGCCTAGCACCCCCTTCCCCGCAAGCACGGCCCTCTCCATACCCGCCAGCTCCCAATGACTCAACCCCATAATCCACCCCTGAACAATCTGCCTCGTGATCTCAGGATGGCTCTTAGGCATAATCGTATCGCCATCAAGCACCGGCTCAATGCTCACTCCCGGCCAAACCCGACTCGTCAAGAACCCCACAACCTCATCCGTCGCCTTCTTCTGGCGATCCCTCAAACTCTCCCCAGGCCCATCATCATATCTCGGCGGCGGCGCCCAGCAGAGCAAAGAATCCGTATCAAGGTACCTCAGCAACATATTCGCAATCCCCTCCCTCAACGCCCCACCACTCCCCGCATCATCGTCCCCGATATCAAGAGCCCTGCAAACCAAGCTCGTCAGCGGAATAAGATGAGCCCGCGTAGCCTGCTGCGGCGAAAGCAGCATATCCCACTCCACGGCCAGCGCAGTCGCCAGCAACGGCTTGCTAAGTGGCACACGCACGATCTCCTTCGTATTCGGGCGTCGCAGCGGTCGTTTATCCAGATGCACCTCCCACGCCCCATCGACCTCGTGCACGTGCACGTCTTTCCAGAACCGTCTTCTCAGCGCATTATCTCTGAATTCTTTCTTCGAGTCTGTGGGCTTGGACGAGGATTTACGGATCTCTTGCGCTTTTTCGAGAAGCTCGGCTTGCTTTTTGCGACGCTCGAGACGCGCCGTTGAGCTGTCTGCGGAGGGGACGGGCGGCTCGGGGGGTGGACCGGTGCCGTGGATTGGGGAGACGGTGGCGGGTGTGGGGGGTGTGGTGTGGATGTTGCGGTGGTGCTGTGTTCGTCGGGTTATTAAAGGGAGAGTCGCTGCGTTGGGGTGTGTGCATTGGAGCTGCTGGCGGATCGTCGAGCGCAGTGCTATTCGAGCTGTCGGCTTCATTGCGAATATGACTGTGGGAAGAAGATCGTCTTCAAGTGAAAGTTCGATGGGGATTGGCACTTGTATAAATTTACGCATGTTTCTGTTATCGATTATGCGATAGCTTCGACATCCTTGATCGTCGATCAGCCAATCATAACTCGACAACATCATTACCTAATATTCCGATTACATAAATTTCAATTACATAAATGCTGACTACGCTCAAACCTGATTATGTAATTACTGACTATGCAAAAATTGATTATGTAAACATGGCTAGTTTAGCTGACATAAGCTTGATCTAGATACTAAAAAACCATAACACCGTAATCCTTCACAAGAACAAGATTCTATGCTTAGTTTTTCGTTTTTTATTGATATGCACTTCTCTATGGTTAGTTAAACAGCCAGCCTAAAAACCTAGCCGGCAAATTCCGAAGCAAAACCACCAACCGCGCTGAAAGCAAAGAGGCTGACAAAAGGACAAGACGGACGTGTTAATATATACAATCGTATGTTAGATAGAGTTGCCCCAAGTAATAATCTTTTTAAGAAGCACCAAGTTCCATCCTTGTTTTACGCGGTTAGGCCTTCCTTATATACTCCCCTGGCGTTAATACTATATGCAACGCCTCACCCATGAGGCGAATACATCCATCCCCTTGAAGTTGCCATTAAGAATTTAACCTCAACCCCCTCATCCCCATAAACTTAATTTAAAATGTTCCAAGTACATATGAGCTTGTTATTGTGTAGACAGTTAATAAGGAGGTCTAGTAAGATTTCCGAGAGTGTTCTGCTTGGATTTGCTATCGATGCCCTTCAGCATCGCCTGAAGGTCCATGCTAGCGGCACCAGCATTGGCAAAGTTGCTCGAAAGGATGCTGTCTCCTCCTCGACTTTTGATATTCCGCTTGGGGCTTTTGAAAGCGTGGTCTTGGCTTGAAATCTTGGCAAGGGTAACCTCCGGGGGAGGCGACTTTCCTGCGAGAGATGGTGGTAGGGGAGGCACTGGTGGCACATGTTCTCCATTCTCGTCCTCACCTTCTGTAGGATTGGACGTTAGAGGACCTCCTAAGTCTCCAGACGCCTTGCGTTCTCTAGATTTTGATCGCGACCGTCCTAGGGCCACATCATGACCATCAGCCCCCTCGCCCTGAGGATTCCATGAAAGTTCCGATGGCGTAAAATCGTAACTTGCCATGCTCTCGCTGCTATCATCATCTTCCCGTAATGTCTGGAATGTACCCGGTCTCACGGCATCTCCGGTCAGCACAGATTTGAGCTGGTCGACAGAAGCGACAAAGCCTCTGCTAGAGGCACTCCTTCCTGAGCCGTGGCTTTGTACGCTAGAGTTTCGTAGAGCAGCAGCATGGCTAGCATGCGAAGCAGGTCGCAGGTTGGTTTGTCGAGCATAGGCCGACTCCGGTCTAGTCGAAGGGAAGCCATTAGCTGTAGGTCCGTTGACGGTAAGATGATTCCCCTTAGTAGTAGTCGTTCCAGCTTTAGACCCGTTGAGCGAAGCAGACTTGCTCTCTGCTTGGAGGGCAATGATGGCGGCTTCTCGGTTCCATTCTGCTAACATTTCCTCTCTGAATTTTTCAGGCAGGTCATGTTCGTCATGAGCCGGGGGAATAGGAGCTAGGGTTGAACCCAGGGCTGGATGCGCGAATACACGACCAGGAGATGTGGAAGGGCTTGTAGGAGGGGAAATCGCTCTGTCCTTATAGTTGGTGCAGATGCAATTTACCATCGAGAGACGGTCGTCAAAGGGCAGAAGTGCTTCTGATTCCACCTCGTGCGTGGGCATCCTTGATTCAGGTCTAGCCATACCCGGAGTTCCCAGAATATCCAATGGTGGTGTTGGGATATGTACGCCTTCAACCCAGAAATTCTTGCTTCTTCTACGGACCACTTCATTATTAATTGTTCGCCCAACAGGGGTTCCTTCGAAATCAAAATGCTCGCTTAAGGCCCAGAAATAGCCATGACAAAGACATCCGAGGAAGACTTTCGATGTGGGTGTCTCAGCTTCCAATATATCCTCCTGCAGCCGGAATATTACCGGAATACCATACCTTGCCGCATTAACGCCAAGTTTGTTGACCAATTTTGTCAACAGTACATGGAGAAGAGCTATATCTGCTTCGAACTCCATGAATTGAAGGGCATTATCGTAGATGGCAAGATGGAGTAGTTTGAGAAAGCGAGAACGGGGAACCTTGACAGGTTTCTCCCGTGTCGAAGCATTCGAAACAGCTCTGCGAGCAGCATTTGCGGATTGTATTTCCTTATTGTTCGCACGCGGTTTCTGACTCATGTCGTCTCGCGCTTCTAAATCGGACCTGGTGGTTTCTCTCTCGAGCCAAGTAGTAAGAGCATCGACATACGCTTTTCGAACTTGTCCATCCGGATCACGCAAGAGCCAGTGCGTGCCCTCCCACGCCTGTATTGAAACCTTGTTTCTAGTCAAACTGACATTTCCACTAATCTTGGTCTTTGGGTTAGCAACAAGGAGAATGGACTTGATAGCTTGAAGGGCGATAGTCTTAGCCAAGTCTAACGCAAAGAAGCTATCAAGATGAGATTGATCATCCGAAATATTTGCTGCTGAAGCTCCGGGCGGAGAAGAATCGACCTTTTGGGTCGGTGATGCATTTATCGTGCTCGGATGAGGTTTGAGTCTCAGGAGAATGCCGGAAACCATGTCGGAAATTTGATCCGCATAGTAGACGTGAGTGGCAAGATGACCGATACACTTCTGAATTCGAGCCAAGAGATCTCTATACGGAGCTGCGACGTGTTGCGAAAGGTCAGGAACCGCAGAGCCTTTTTCGTCCCCTGACCCTGCACCAGAGCCGGCGCTTCCTCTTGAGCTTCCCGAATGCTTCAAAACTCGCTTCATATGTTGTAGTAACCCTAGGAGAACATCCATAACACTTAAGCCGATCAGGTTAATATCGGAGCTTAGTAAAGATCCGATGATAGCGGTAAAGACGATTTGATCGGCCACGTTCTCGTCAATTGGGGGGGTTCGTAGGAGCGCATCTGTGGTGGTGATCATCATGACATAACGATCTTGAACTGGAGCCCATCTCGTGACAAATTCGAAGATTTTGACCGCCCAGCCATGGTCACGCCCAGTATCTCCCTTGGCTTCAACTACCACCGTCTCTTTCTGCTGAACCCGTTCCTGAATAAATTTCAACAAGGCCGTTGTCGCCCCGCTAATTTGTGCCCTGTTGGGTATGACAAATATTTGCTTCAAACATTGCATAGCCATAACACCGATATCTTCTTCGGCCAACTTGTCGATATCAACGGATGTGCCGGAGATAGCTATCGGGTTCGCGTCTCCTTCGGCATCGGTGGTTTTAACGGTTGAAACACTCGTCCTACGTCGTAGCAATGCGTTAGAGTCAACCTTTTCTTCCAGCTCTACCCGCTGTAGCAAGATGCTCAGGAATTCTTCGTTGTCGGTCCATAGGTTTTCCAGGATCATAGGCACTATGACATCAAGCTGACGCCCGGCAACAGAGGAAAGCGCGTCGGATTCGGCAACGCTCTTGATTGCCTCCAAGCCTGCATTTCTCCACCTCATGGCGACAGGTTTGCTGGGGGGGCTTTTGCCAGGAATTTTTCGGGTTGACGCGAAGGTGGCGTAAGCGCGTACGACTTGTTCATATTGACGGAGGTAAGCTTGATCGGCAAAAAGCGAGGAGACATCGTGGTGTTCGCAGAATATTCGAAAGGTGGGCAGCGATGCCTCGACCATGGTGATGTCGTTGGACCGGAGGACGAGGTCCAGGATTTTGAGGACATTTTGGGCGAATAGGGGGAGGTCTTTCGGGGCTTTTTCGATTATGGCAGCTAGTATTTGTAAGGTAACTTGGACATTTCTATATGTTTTGATTTAGTTAGTGCTTATTGAATCTCTTCAAATCAAACGTCTGAGTTGTGTTTCTAAGTTAAAGGGACTTGACAACAGTTCGCGTGGTCTCGTAGCGGGAGTGGCTGACATACCCAATGCGCACCCTCCAAACATCGCTAGCCGTCTTCTTCTCAAGGAATTGGCCAACTTTTTGGATCTTAGACCGTCGGGAGGTAGCATAGAATAGAAGGTAACTTAATTCGCTCGAGTTTGGCTTGACATCAACGGCTCCCTTGGTGGTGTGAGGATAGCACTTGAGGACGAGGACTTGGTGTTTCGGGCGACATTTTTGCTGTATGGCGTTCATTGCGCCAAGCAGTGCGCAAGAAGCCTAACTAGCTAGAGGAAAAGGGGGTAGACGTCAGACGTCGATTGTGAAGAAAAGAGCAGATTAATGAACCTGTCATAGAAAAATGGATCGTGATATCTGCAAGTGAAATTGTAAATTAGGTTGGTATTCTCGTCAAGTTGAGTTGAGTTGATTTGATTTGAGTGGTGCGAGTGTACTGTAGTGTTGTGTAGTGTTGTAGTGTTGCGTCGTGTCGTTCTCGGCCAGCGAAAAAAAGAAAATTACCGTAATAATTTAGACCCCGGCAACTGGACTAAAACTTACTTTGGGTACTTTGGGTACTTTGGCATACACGTACCAGCCAGGCGGATCTCTGGTACCAGGAACTTTATCCCTGAACGGTCGCACTGGCATTTATTAAATCCACCCCTAGCTCAAATTAAAACGTTCGCATCAAGAAAAGGGCCAGTTAATAGAATAATAATAAGAAGATATGTGAGGACATTGAGATGCATGCATGTATACTGATTTTCTCGAATATGTGTTCAAGATGATAATAGGAATAGTTACCCACCTGTGAGGTGTCCGTCTTCAAGGGATGAAATCGATTGTTTCGTCATCCAAGGCACCAAGTACACCAATGGTAAACGCCTAACAATGTAGGCTGCGTCATAAGGCGCGAACGTATCCAGTCTTCATGTTACCTGTCCTGCCTGTCCTAACTAAAATCGTGTTAGTAAGTATAGGACTCAGGAACTATTTCCTTGATCGTCATACAGAAGGTGTTACCAATTACTTTCGAATATCGAAGCTGCAAAGAAAGAACATTTGAACGCAGAAGGTTTAGGATCGATTATATTCCAGCTAAAATTTAAAAAAAAAAAAAAATCAGAAAGTTAACGATATTATTAATACTTTTAACCGTTAGAGTTCCAAATTCTCAACCGTCACGAGTTTAAATCGCTAGTCACCAGAGCTAGTAACGCGAAAGACAAATTAATATATCCCGTTAATAAACCCCTTCAGCCGATCAGTTATTAAGTAGCCGTGCAGCCCTATGGTGCATGGAATATGCTGTTTACTTACTGGCCAGCTGCTAGGAGGTAGGTATCACACAGCACACACTGCCACCTGACACGACAGCACTGGACAGTCGGCCACGGTTTCCTCTCAACAAAGATGCGATAATTGTTGAACTCGGAGGAACTGAAGATTCCACCTCGGATCTCCGAGTTTATCGACAGCGAGCGTCCTTGCAACATCGAATCGTGTCGCATTCCATTCCTGCCAAACCCTCTCGCAGTATACGGCGTTTGTATTTATTGGACAATAAGAAAAGAACTATTTTCGGGTTTAAGATAATATCTGGGTATCTATTTCTACATTATGCAGTGATCATCCCCATTCAATTGAGCAGAGGAACGAATAACCACATCTACGATCTCCCCCTGACAGCCAATAGCCAATCAAACATATGCTGTCATGCCTTACTAGGTAGCTTTAGCTCTCTATTCGGATCTATCCACGAATGCCAAGATGGAAGGACATATGATACTTACCTAGTATCATGGCAGGGTTACATGCAGGTTACAGCAGAGTTGAAACATCGAACTTGTGACGAACCTGTGAGCATCTTCCCAATAAATGGATTTTGAAATAGCTTCGAATATTTGAGTAAAAAGGTACCTAGTAATACGTACTGGGAAGTAACGGTTGACTTGTGCCTTACAAGCAAGCAACATCGCATACATACTTAGGTAGGTATGTATTATCTTTTAACTAAAATATACACATGTACTTATTCTTTCCCAAGAAGAATGGATCGCTATTTCCTTGAAGACATGATACAGACAAGTATCAAGCAGGTCCAAGGCCAGGTAGTCCTACCCGATGTTTCAAAACCTTACACTGTTCATCTGGACTTACATCGCTAGGAATATATTGTCGATAACTAGGTAATATTGGAATCATAGAATAACCTTCGACGAGCGGACAGATACACTATTAAAATGAACCTGGGGAGATATCCGTTATTCTATCGCATGTCTGCGCAATTCACCTCGCCTCCATCTCTGGGTAATCAAACATACTGGACCGTCATTGCCATTAATACATGCTTGCGAGATTAGTTATCACCACCCGTTGAATATAGCGAAAGCGGAGAGACAGGAAAACGAACAGATATTGCAGACACCAATGTACACCTAAACTCGTTAGAGGTTAATCACGGCTTACCTCAAACCATCGGGACTCTCATGAATTCTATTGCCAACTCATGCGAGTCAAGCAGAGACTCTAACGAGAAAATAAGCAGTCATATCGCTGCGAAATATTACATGGACATGTTCTCGGCGGAACTCGGGGAGCCCATCCAAGAGGAAAATGATCCAACGAGCGCTCCGTCTTCATCTAACCACAGTCTATACATTGATACCCCAAATGAAGACAATAAGTCGACAGATATGGCTGACGGGGTGCTAGACCAAAACAAGAAAGGCAGCCAAACGAACCTGTCTTCGTTTAACGAAACGCGTTCTCGCCATTCCTCTTCGTCCGACTATGGATCTCTGTCTAGTATCAGAGAAACATCACACTCTAATATGATGTATCACGCCCTCACGCCCAATGATTACCGGACTCGAAAATTTCGCAAAATTCGGCAAACCTTGCCTCATTAATACTTAGGTACCAACACCCCGATCGTCCACTCCAATCGTCCAATACCAAAGCCAGACGTGGTATTCGGAGTGTCTTTGAGAAAATATAGCCTAGAAACATAAAGATGATTATCACGATCTACTAGATTTCGCCTTTCCTTGCCCCTATACGACCAACAAGTATCGTGGAGTCAGGCATGTAATTAGAAGGGTGACTGTGAAGCGGGGAAAGGTCAGACATTTTCTCTTAAACTCCGATCGAGGCCAAAAGAGTAGACTTTGGCTGGTGGTTCGAAAGTCTTTATGGAGTCAGGCTTGCAGCGGAAAAGGAGACCATGGCTTCTCTCTTATCACGGCCCAATTTGTAATATCGGACACTAGAATCAACATCTAACCTCGGTACTCAGTCTGGGACCAATCCGACTACCGATTCAGCTTCCATAGAGGTAGAATGATATCCATTCTTCGCCACAGAGTCCTGGGTCCACGGCGAGAATTAACCACCACAGGTACATATACGAACACCCACAAGAAAACAGTAAACTCAAGTATATCGGCGTAGATACTAGTTTATTTGGCTTATCGGTTTGCGACCCCAGCGTCTCCCCAAGTCAACAAAACCAAAAGCCTCTTGTTCCTTTGGTGCCTAGACTCAAGGTAATGATATGAGGAACGAATATATGAGCTAGCATTATCCTGACACGAGTGCCCTATCTCTCACACAGTTCTACATAGTACTTGCTTAAAGGAGGAATATACATAAGCACTTACAAACGAAGGCATCTGAATATATAAGTGTCGTTAGTGTTGCCCCTTAAATGAATTCGATATGTGCATGTTAAGCGTTAGCCTTAAATATACTGGATAAAGACATAGGTTTTATGAATTATGAACTTTGGTGATAATCACGAGATAAGGAGATGAATGAACACCTGCTGCCTCGAGCCAAGCTTTATTCAAGATCTGATCACCACTTGACCCTGAACATCAAATCCGGCTTCAATTGCCTGCATATCCCACATGCAATGTTGTGGATGAAGCTTTCTCGGATCACCGGAATAATAGCTTCATATTTGAATATATGCTCGCAGGGAATATTGCCGTCGCATATCTTTCAAGGTAACAAGGTCGAAAAATGGAACTATCTTGATCTAGTTACGTATGCAGCTGAGCTACTAGGTATCTTTCTAAAGATAACGAAAGTCCTTGTTTCGCCCAAGTGAGACATACAGCACAGTACCCTATCGGTCCATTGGAACCTTGAAACCCTGCCCATGCAGCAAGCCGATCATGTTGGCCCTACCTCTTATCAACGAGAAGAGAGTTACGCCAGCTGGACTAGGCGGCTTGAACTCTGTGAATCTCTCGTGTCGTCGACGAATGAGCGTTAGATATTCCCAATTCAGGGATCTAGCCTAACTCGACTTCTGCTCCTCTACCCCACGAACCAGGGTATGCGGTATGCTCCAATATCCGACCGGGCATTGTTTACGTACACTGAAAACTTATCTAAGATATCTGATATGTGATATCTGTGGTGGCTATCAATGCCATGCAGGATCTGGGTTAAATAAGATGGCTTGCCAAAAACCATGCTGCACAACGTCGTACACATTTTCTTCTCTCTCTTGAGACAATCCCTCATGAAAACCGTCGATCGTCAATCCGGTTCCCCCGATAGAATATATTCGACTTATTATACCTATCATTGAGGCCCGTCTCATTCTATCAAGTCAATTATTCTATGAGAGCACCGCGTGGCGATAAATTCAATACTAGAATTTGAAGGCTGCTACGTGCTACCCGTCGAATCTCACCATGACAGGCGAAAGTTTAGAGCGGCGGGAGTCGCATGTCCCAGCCGTAACGACTGTATTCGCCGACGGAGATGTGCCCGATCACCTCGCAGAGATGTCCGAAGACGAGGCAGCCCTCGCCGCGCTCGGTTACAAGCAAGAGTTTAAACGAGAATTCTCGGCTTGGACGACTTTCGCTGTCAGTTTCGCCGTGATGGGACTTCTACCAAGTATCGCTACCACTATGGTGTATGGACTTGGATATGGTACGTTAATTTCATGAACATGCCTCGGGAATGCTTTAGGGGGAGCGGAGAACTAACATGATTGTATAGCTGGACCTGCGGCAAACACTTGGGGATGGTTGCTGTCTGTTTTCTTCATTCTATGTGTAAGGACTGAGCCAATTCTCGATCATGAACTCATTTAACCTAACCTTCCCTTCTTAGGTCGCTTGCTCGATGGCAGAATTGGCAAGTAGCATGCCCACATCCGGCGGTCTTTACTATGCGGCGGCCGTACTCGCAGGTCCGAAATATGGCCCGTTCGCGGCCTGGATTACAGGCTGGAGCAATTGGTTGGTGCAAGTCACTGGGGCTCCCAGTGTTGACTACGGATGTGGTGAGTCTTGACAAATATCGTTGAATATTTAATGAGTTCTAGACTGACTCCCTCTTTCCAAGCCGCCATGATTTTAGCTGCAGCTTCGATAGTGAACCCGGACTACGTACCGACGAAATACCAGACCTTCCTCCTGACCGTTCTCATCATGTTGACACATGCCGGCATCAGCAGTATGCCGACGTTGTGGATCGCGAACTTCAACTCCGTCGGAACCGTCATCAACCTTCTCTGCCTTTTGGTCGTCATCATTATTATTCCCACCGCAACTATGGGCGACCCGAAGTTCCAGCCTAATGAATGGGCATGGGGTATTCAAAATGGAACTGACTGGCCTGATGGAGTCGCTGTGTTGATGTCCTTCCTATCCATCATCTGGACCATGTCCGGTTATGACGCCAGTTTCCATCTTTCCGAAGAGTGCTCGAACGCATCTATCGCCACGCCAAGATCCATCGTCATGACCGCTGCGTCAGGATCCATCCTTGGCTTCACCTTGAACACACTCATCGCATACACGGTTAAGGACGTGGGAGCAATCATCAATAGTGATCTGGTAAGAACTTACAAAATTGGTATTGGAATATGTACCTAATCAATACTAACAATATCACCAGGGCCAACCCTTCGCTGCATACGTGACTCAAGTCCTCCCGCGCAATGTCGCCCTCGCCGTCCTCGCTATGACTCTTGTCTGCGCGTTTTCTATGGGACAGGGGTGCATGGTCGCCGCATCGCGGGTGTGCTTCGCCTATGCGCGTGACGACTGCTTCGGCGTCGTCAGCCGCCCACTAAAGCAAGTCAACCGATACACGCTCACTCCCGTTAACGCCGTCTGGTTCAACACTTCAATCGGCATCCTACTCCTCTTCCTGATCTTCGGCGATACCGCTATCGACGCCATCTTTAGCATCGGCGCCATTGCTTCGTACATCGCCTTCACGACCCCTATCTTCCTGAAGATCGTGTTCGTAGGAAACAAGTTCCGCCGCGGGCCATGGCATCTTGGCGCTTTCAGCTTACCTTCTGGTATTGCGGCGTGCGTTTTCGTCGTGGTGATGATGCCGATTCTATGCTTTCCGAGCACAAGAGGGGATAACCTGTCGGCTGATTCGATGAACTGGACATGTCTTGTCTACGGTGCTCCGATGGGTTTCGTCGTTGTCTGGTTCTTCGTCGATGCTCACAAGTGGTTCAAGGGCCCCAAGGTCAATATCGAACATCACATGCTTCATCAACAGCTTATTGGCGTGGAAGGCGTCAATGCGTCCAAGGGAAGCGATGCGAGCAGTAAGAATAGCAAGGATGCGGATGTGGAAAGGGGGTCGTTGTCTAAGGCCCCCCTGGCTTAGATTTACGGTGTGATGTTAAAATGATTTTGTGCGAATGTGTGTTTATAGTAGGATATAGATCGAGATTGGTGCGGTGATAGAATATCCTTTAATAGTTCGATACCATTTGTTTGCTTGAAAACTGGACTTTACTGTGAGAGAATAGGTGATATGCTTCGTTTTTTTATTTTATTGAATGTCATATGCTGTATAAACTACATATTTCCCAAGTATCACACATGAAGAACATGAAAAATGAACCTATATCACAAGTCTTCGTCTCTTGAAGTTCGGTGTTGTGATGACAATGATCAAGATCTTAACGGACGACGACCTATCTGGGTACACATCGAAACAACTTTCCTCCCTATATCAACTGCCGTACCTCTCGCTGCCGTATCTTCTAGTCGAGTCAGCACAAGGTCCTCCCACGGTCTTGCCGTCTCCGCAACCCCCTTATCGAACCCAGGACTCGTCTCCACAGTAGTTGTCGATAACGCTAGCATCCATGTATCTGCTCCCCACTACAAGATATCCTATCGTGAACCCTTAAGTTGAATCCGGAAATCCCGCATAAAACTTCCGGAAGAAGTTAAGGTTGAAGATCTGAAGTCAGGGACTCAGGGCTGGGGATAGGGGCGCTAAGAGATAAACACCCGTCCGCTATGCACATATGCCTTGGGTTCTTGGCAGTTTCTCGCTTTATTGCATCGTCTGGCTCTGGCATGGAAATGCAGGTATGGGTTTTTCATGTGGGATACTTATTCTGCATGTGGGATATTCCCCTTTTTCGAAGTCACGGTGGCTTTGACACGATGGAAGCCTAACCTACCTACGCTTCCATGCCAAGCAGACGACAGCACGGTCGCCTCTGCTATTTTTGTCGAGCTTATCGTCACTAGGAAATCGGTCTCTCGCGATGTCGTCTCTTTGTTGCGCCTAATTTATATATAGGATGTTCATCTGTAAAGCAACACCTAACTACCTACCTACGTAACTTGTTAGGCAAATATAGACCAGGCCTCACTCGTAAACCCAGCCAAATAATCGTAATACCAAAGCGATTCCGCGGAGACTCCATCACTGGATCCGGGGTATCATTAACATACGTAGTAACTGCAACTTTGTTGATAAGGCAACCTGAATCTCGCATGCCGTACTCGGAATCATACCCAACTGCATGCCTTCTGAGACCTACATACCTCCCACAGCCTCCCAGCGGATATTCCCGCGAAAGTGGCATCAAAAGTTTCACATAGTGGCATACGCACCCAAACCCATACTATCCCACCATTTCCACGCTCAAGCCTCACCCAGCCGTCCAACAACCTCTTCCACCCTCGCACTTCCCCCAAGAAGCTGCCGAACAGCCTCTCTATCCTGCCCATTCTCCCCCTGCGCAACCATCTTCACGATATCCCCGTCGTCGTTTATAACCAGCCGTCCAGACCGCCCATCCCCCCACTCGACACGAATCTGCTTCGCCTGCGCGTCCGCAGCGCTGATATCCACGATCGGAACCTCGACCTCTTTCCGCGGCTTCTTCTCTAGCCCAGCCTCGCTGCGCAGGTCGCCGATCACGGCCGTGCGGTTATGGTACCGGACTAGCTCCCTGCGCAGCGCGCGCACAAAAGCTGGTAAGTCCTGTTTCTTCACCGCGCCATCTTCATCATCATCGTCGGCTTTAGCCGTAGGCGGAGATAGATACCGCGCCGATAGCCCGGGCAGCGGGATGCACTGCGGCACGGTATGGCGATGGATGCGCAGACGGCGGGAGTTCGGGTACGGTCTGTTCAGCATGACGTAGTACGGGCGCAGGAAGCGCGCCTTATACATGATCTCGAAACGCAGGCCCAGCACGCTGCCGTTGTCGACGGCGTTCGGGTCCGGGTCCCGCACCTTGAAAGTCGTTATCGGGGCGCATGTTCGGTACAGACATTGCTGCTTGTGCGCGGCTTGCTCGTCGGCTTTGGCGAGCAGCTCGGCGGAGCGGAGGACGGTGTTTTTGCGCGATTTCGGACGCTTGGAGGTGTTTTCGCGGAGGAGCTGGAGGGTGGAGGAGGAGGTTAGGAGGGTTGTTGTTTGGAGCTTTAGGTCGCGTTTTAGGGATTCGACTGTTAGGGGTTAATGGCTGCTTTGGATGATGATATTGTGGTTTATATGGTAGAGTAGATATATGTTACCTTGGTCTCTTAAACTTGCGATCTCATTGTCGAGTTTGTCTGCAATGGATAATCCTGGAGTTGCAGATACGCCTGAAAATTGAATCTCCTCGGTTGCCATGTTTACTTATGATACAATGACCCCATGTATTTGAAGCCGGATGAATGTTGATTTGTTCGACGACGACGCGAAAGACGCGTCCAGGGTTCCAATTGATGACCTAATTGATAACGATAAGGGGGGTGCCAGGTGGGGAGATCTAGATCATAGTGGGGTCGGATGCCCTGGACCATGCATCTGGTATGCTTAGTCATTTATTGAACCAGGGTTTTCTTCTCTTAGGCCAATCTTATTGGACCAAAGTTAACACGTCCATCTATTTCTTGCTTCTTCAAACAGTTCCATTTAGCCACGATGGACTAAAAGAAGGGAACTATCATTTGGTGGTTTTTGAGGTTCTACAACTTCTTTCGTCTTTCTTCCTTCGGATCGTTCGTTACATATACAATATTTCCATTCTAGAGCCTATTTTGCCACTTGGAGGCGCGATTCCAAAGAGGCCACGGTTGCTGATTTTTACTATATTGTTAACTTTCCACTTAATCTGAGTAACTACAAGTTCCATACCAATTACTTCGATACCAAATCGTTATTATTCGTTCCATTACATCTATAGAGACCTACGAAGGCCTAGCAACTGTCGTATCCCCCAACCGAACGCTCTAAATCGCTTTGCGCCGAAGTACGAATGGGTGTCGAAACCAGACGGTCCAAATCTAAGAAAAGAGACGACTTGTCTGTCTCGACAAGTGGCCGCGTAAATGGTCACTCAAACGGCAACATGAACAATAACATGGAGTTACGACGTAAGAATATCGCACCACAAGACTCGGGCCAGGTAACGGCAAACCTGATGGCCCGGGAGTCCTTCTCTTTAGACGAAAATGTACCCAAAACTCCCGTCGCGAATAACCATGGCTTCTGGGAGCTTCCTATACAAGATCAAAAGAATTTCATGTTGCTAGTGTTGCTGTACTTTCTACAGGGTGTCCCTATGGGTCTTGCAGCTGGTTCGGTACCGTTCCTCCTCAAAGAGCATCTTTCGTTTGGCGAGATCGGCATCTTTAGCTTAGCATCATACCCATATTCATTGAAATTATTCTGGAGTCCGATAGTGGATGCGGTATGGAGTCCAAAAGTTGGAAGGCGGAAAAGTTGGATTCTTCCAATCCAACTAATGTCTGGCTTCGGAATGTTGTATCTGGGGTCTATGATTGAGGATTTAATGGCTACGACTGGCAAACCGGGCGGTCCGAGTATCTGGAACTTTACTGGCTGGTGGTTCTTCTTGGTCTTCATGTGTGCTACGCAAGATATCGCCGTCGATGGGTGGGCTTTGACTTTACTTACCCCAGGGAATGTTTCTTACGCCTCGACGGCCCAGACAGTTGGCTTAACCGCTGGCCAATTCCTGTCTTATACCGTCTTCTTGGCCTTCAATTCCGGTGATTTCGCCAACCGATACTTTCGCTCTGTACCGTCAGAAGAGGGTCTGATGAGCCTTGGTGGGTACCTTACGTTCTGGGGTTGGGCTTATATCGCTATCACTATCGGGCTCGCACTATTCAAGAAAGAGGAGAAGACGAGAAATGAGGACGGTATATGGGATGTTTATAAGATTATGTGGGAGGTTTTGAAGCTACGGAATATCCAGACCATCATTATCGTTCATCTCATCGCAAAAATCGGATTCCAGGCCAATGACGGCGTCACAAATCTGAAGTTATTGGAAAAGGGGTTCGGCAAGGAAAATATGGCGCTGACAGTGCTCATTGACTTCCCTTTCGAAATAGGTCTGGGTTACTATGCTGGGAAATGGTCTCAGGAATATACCCCTATGCGTCTATGGTGTTGGGGATTCGTGGGTCGTCTCATCGCTGCCGTTTTTGCTCAAATCACCGTTAGCATTTTCCCGGCTGGTGGTGTTCAGTCTTGGTATCTATTATTGGTTATTGCGGAGCACGTATTCTCAACTTTCACCTCAACTGTCATGTTCGTTGCCGTCTCCGCATTCCATGCTCGGGTTGCCGATCCCGTCATTGGCGGGACTTACATGACACTTCTTGCAACGTAAGTTCTCCACTTAATGAATGACACCAGTGCCATTCAGCTAACATCTAGATAGGGTTTCCAATCTCGGTGGTACATTCCCCAAGTACTTCGTTCTACGCCTAGTAGATGCCTTTACACGGGCTACTTGTCATCCCTCGGCGAAAGCGCTCGACAGCTCGACGTTAAAAGGACCACTCGTGACAGAGGCCTTCTCTTGCGCCGTGCAGGCCGAGAGGGAAAGATGCGAGCACGGCGGTGGCAGTTGCGAGATCCTTCATGATGGATTCTACATCGTCAATATTCTCTGCGTCATCGTGGGCTTGTTGACATTTACAATGTACATTAGGAAGAAGGTTCTAATATTGCAGGGCCTACCATTAAGGGCGTGGAGGTTGGCTGGATCTCGGTAGCAGCGATTTCGACTACTGTAATCTAGGTGTATGATATAGATCGGAAATTATAAAAAGCGCGCCTTGGTACCTATTGATGCTAAGGTAAACTCACCCTAGACGAAATTGAATGGTTTTATTCATATAATACCTTTGTCTGTATCTCCATTGTTTATTATTTCGAATTCTGTTTACAGGACTCATGCACTTGTTAAGATACAGTCGTTCTAAGAACTTGTGTATAAATGCATTAGAAATTGCCGCCAATGGACGAAATAATTTTATCACCATCACCATCATCACTATCATCATCACTATCATCACTATCATCTTTATTATTATTATCATTATCACTATTTCCACCATGTCTACCGAGACCTGTACCAGCTGTGGCGAACTCTTTGAGTTGCAGCTCCTTGACGAAATTTATATTCACATCGCTCCTCGCAACTACGGGGAAGAAACTTCTGGTGAGGCCACCAAGCCGCTTTGCATGAAGTGTCGATGGGAATCCAAACATCGTATGATTGGGATCATCCACGCTGTACGACTAGTACCGCGGCATATGTTTGATAGCCGTCAAACCCTAAACAACGTGCTGAAAACCGTACTCGACAACGTAGGTCGCGCTTGTCGCCAGTTGTATGAGAAGGTCAATATAGACATCTGTCAGCTCTTAGCCCTGATGATTTGCAGCTGGGCGGACGAGGTTGACTGGGATATGATTTATGAAGCATTGCAAAACGTGGATCATATCGAAGGCCGTTCCTGGGGATGGGGTAGAGCTGTATGGAAGTCTCTGGGAAGTCTAGACATCGTAGACAAAGTCAATTCTGACCAGAGAGATCGCTTACGCGGAACATTGGCTTCAATCCAGCAATTGGACGAGATGCTAGGGGAAGACAAGGTTATGAACCTCCCCGTGTTTTGAACAGCACGATTTAATTAAGAATGGGGGTGGGCTTATCTAGTACTTGGCCAAAGAAACGCTGGCAAAAGAGGTACATCCATATTGTCCCATACAAATCGGTATCCCGCTGCTGGCAGCGGGACCACCCTACTAATTCAGTTGGAAGTAAATGGCTTTTTTGAATTAGCTTTTCGTTATTAGTATTTAGTAAAATAATTCATCCTTCGAAGATAATGTAGACAAATTGAAGGTATTTCAATGGAAGTCGTTTTAAAAGTTTGTAATAGATCATTAACGTGTTTAGCTATTGTTGAATATAGGTAGATCAAGTGAAAAGTCCCATTGACTTGTGTAGAATTGTATCAAAGGTAAACTTACCTAAGAATCTTGCTGACTAAACTTACGTCATCCTACCTATGACTAATATTTCAATCGCATTAAAGGGACATTCTTATATCAAGTATCTCATTATTGCTTATCTAACAATTATTTATATACGCCGCGTAGTTGGTAAGCACCGTAAGCAGTCTCCATTTCCCTCTTCCATGAACCTACAAACACGATTTATCATCGTCCCCTTGTATGAAAACAGGTTCGCATCTCTCGCTATCCCCATCAGCCACAAGGGACACTCTAACGAGCCGCCGCGCCCTCCCCTTCTCCGACAGGTGCTTCTCCACTTCGCCGTCCGAAGCCAGCGTACCATCGCGCATGATGGTTTCCGTCCCGGCGCTGTATATCTGCGCGATGCTCGACCACGAACTCCCGAGCCGGGTGAGCTGGGTTCGGGTGAGGAATGTGTAGAGTATGACCGTGCAGACGAGTAAGTGTGCGGCGAGTAACGAGACGACGGCGGTTAGGCCGCGCCATGATTGCGGATACGTCACCGTCTCGAACCGCGTGACGTCTGCTGTCCCGTTCTTTCGGAATAGCGGGATGAGTTCGTAATAGGCCAACGACGATAATAGAGTCAATAGCCCGGATAAGCTGGAGGCTAGCGAGTTATCGGTGAGCTTCATCGCGTCGATGAAGAATTTCTGGAGGATCGGGTCTGGCAGCCTTTCGGGGATCATTTCGTTAGGTAAGGTTCGAGCGTTGTAGAAGCCAATCGTCTCGTTTCCCAAAATCGGAGCCCAGGTCCTGAAGAGCGGCGCCTTGAGAAGCTTGGAATAATCTCCAGGCGCGCTTGCGTCTGCGGAGAGGCCTGTGTAATAATCCCCTGTGGAGATATTGTTCGCTTTGTTCTTCTCTAGGATTGCTCCCCAGCCATGCAATAACGTGTTGAAATCCGCGTTCGTGAGCATCTTTTCGAGGCAGAATTGTTGGAAGGGGTAAGTAAGGGAGTTGTCGAATTTGGGTTTCGAGAGACTGAGCGTGGAAGTTGACGGGGTCGAAGATCCCAGACCGTAATGATAAAGTATCGAACTAATGTCGACGAAATCATAGTTGTGTAAATCGGTTCGATATTCGATTGTCGCGTCTTCCTTAAGTTGTGATCGGGTGTTCATCTCGGTATACGTGGCAGCTGATTCCCACGAGGTATAACACAAGGAAAACAGAACATCTTCCACAATCGGAGAATTGTGGTTGGAAGAGTTATCCATCTTGACTTGGACCTTCGTAAAGGTTTCGTATTCGCGCTGACTCAGTGTCCAATTTGATGCAATAACGAGAAAAGCTGGTCCGCGGGAGGGATTCTGATCGGATACTGTATAATTGTAAAGCTGGCTACGGAGACTCCCCGCTGCCTCGGTCTTCTGGACAATGACGGTTTCAGGGTCTAGCTCATTTGGCAATTTTATATAATGGTTGTTACTTTGAATCGGACATATTTCGAACCCAATATTCCGGTCATCAGTTTCGTTCTGGTCCGGAGCTGGGTAATATTGCGACATCATCCTATGTTGGCACGCAAAAGGAATCTCTCTCGAAACATCCTCCGGAAACCATAACCCATCGACGTCGGTAGAATTGGAAACAGTTCCTGCGATCGTGTACCAGGCATTACCTTCATACCATAGGGTATCTGCATGGGTTGTGTTCAAGGCCGATATAATGGGTTTCTGGCATGACACCCTTGAATCCAGAACGAAAGAGGGTCCTCGAAAGCTAGCTATACTTCTTCTCTGCTCGGAATCCGAGAACGGAAGGAATGATTTGAAAGAATAGCCAGTATCATCAACGTTGGGCTTTGCCGGAATTGGCTCTCTGTACTCTGCAAATATGGGGAAACTCTCAGGTCTTCGGGTCCAGACAGATGGTATGTATGCAATTCCGGGACCAGATGAAAGGGTAGATGAGCCGAGACTAGAATTGTAGATGTCTTGGCCACCAACCCGTGCTAGAACGGAATCTTTGTTCCAGCCCCAATCTAAATCATAGGAGTAATCAGATGTGTCCTGCAATCCAATCACACTGCTTACTTGAAGGTCCGAAAGGAGGATTGTAGAAGAAAATTGAAGCGCAAACATGAGGATAGCAAGAAAAAATGTAAGAATCAGAGGGGAGAGGACCTTTGATTTACTTCCTACTTGACGGAAAGAGAGTATCAAGCTTGAAAGCGATGGTGTGGCAGCCCTCATGATGGAAATATTAGCCAGGCCACCCAAGTAGACAGACCCCCTTTCCAATATTTGAGCAGCAAGCATTGAGGCACAGAATCCCGTCGTCAAGTCGACCACGATTCGAATGATCAAAGCACAAAGCGTAATTGATCGCGAGGTCCAATGGGCAGTGACAATTATCAACCAGAGCTTTGCAGAACTATGTATCCAGAGGAAGACGAGGAATCCTACCGCGAGAAATGAAATGAATGGCCCCAAGCAGAATGACATTAGAGGTATCCATCCTAGCTTTTCTATAGGTTTCAGTGGAAATGTATGTATGTTAGAATTTTCGTATTTTTCGGGGCGTTCTGGATTATTCATGTAATCAGCTTCATCCTCTGTTGAATGCGTCTCGTCGGCAGTCGAGTCGCGAACTTGTGGGTTCGTGGAATTATCGGGATCATTGATAATGGATTTCTCGTGAAATTGATCTGGGTAACTGAACGACCGTGTAGTTCGGGCTTCCATATTCCAGGGTTATGGATATATAATGAATCTGAGAGCCGACAGTATGACTTGAAAGGTGAGGTGTGAATTAATGATACAATATACCCTCACACTGGTATCCCCCCAAAATCGAGACATCATTTATAATATCCTTGAACTGCGATGATTTCTCTCTTGGCGCCTAACATGCGGCTCTGCGAAGTCCTTTTGCCTCTCTAAACCATCAATTTAGTGATCTACCTATTGATTTAGGTAGACACCTCGGTAGGACCGAGTGAAAGGGCAACCCACGGTCAATCCGACAGCATCCTCGTAGATCTACATTATGCCTGGTAGGAAAATTTGCCAACATGCCATCGATTAGGCCGGAATAGTGTAGGACATAACCAAAACACATAAAATGCTGGTGAATAACTCCTCAAATTATAGGTAGTATTCAAAATGATAGGTAGCAATATTGGGTTACCTCAGGCGATCGCTACTCTTTTTATAGACAGGTCGTTGATATCAAGACCCAATGATGACCGAGTTCAAGCAGGCTACCGGGATTCCGGGAATACGGATTTCTATGTAGTACGTCGAGATGTATAATTACTAAGCGCCGAAAAAATCCGTCAACGTCGAGAGTACCCAAGTATGCAAAACGCCAGCAATGATTTCATTTCACTCAAAACACCCCCTAACTTACTCGGTATCGCAACCCCTATTTTGATCCACTTTTCGTAGCGGCCGACTTAATATGCTGCGAATGCAGTTCTTCAACAGCGGGTATGATTAAACTCTCGATCTCCAACTCGGGCTCGCCCTCTGGAAGCATCGATGGATCTAGCGGCTTATTTTCACCACTCTCATTCTTCTGGTCCGCAGCACCAATAAGCTCCTCGATGCCGCTAAGGGTCTTCTTGCGACGGTTGATCGGCACGCGAATCCATTTGTCCTGGTTACCAGGCGTAACGAAAACGACCTCCCATTTGCGTGTTGACAATAAATTCCCGATGACGAGATGGTGTTGGTACCGCTCGAGCGAGTACTTAGCTTTATGGACGAGGATCGCCGGATCCGTCTCTAACTTGAACGAGACGATCATGCCTTCGGGTGCCCAGCCGTCTACAAGATTCTTAAGGAACTTGGGCACGGGGTCTAGATCGACAATAAGACGTTTACTCCGCGGTATAGCAGGCGATGAGTCAAAATTGTCGAACGCCTCTTCCTCTTGCTGCGGAGTTTCCCGTGGCTCTTGTGTAACGGTCGTCGGTCCCTGTTTCTTCAATGAATCGGTAGCGTCTGTGCTCTGTATTTTGTGTTCTGACATGCGCTCCGGTGGTACGAAGAAATCGCTCACTGCAGCGGCAAGGTATAACAATCCATTGGGTCCTAGGGGGCGCATAAGCTGTGCTACAGCCCTTAGCTCGTGTAGGTAGTCGATAATCGTGACAAACGGCAACATGAGCAGGAGATTCTGTCGCTTAGCATTATTATATTTACGCAGAACGCGAAGCATCTTCTCCTGGTGTGCCGGGTTTGCGACGACGCTTCCATCCGGGTTCTCATGTAGGAAATCCAAAAAGCAGTCCGTTGAGTGGCTATAATGCCTACTGTAAGGCAAGAGACTGAATTGCCGGTGTAAGAAGATCACCGCATACCCTGACTCTAGGAAATACTCTGCGGATGTGGCGCCTCGCGTACCAGCACTAAAGTTGTCGATGAAGCGCACAGTTTGCTTCTCTAGCGGCACGGTAGTTCCGCCGGAGGTGACAAGGACGACACGCCTATTCGCTGCCGCATGTTGATTTATAAATGACTCAGCGGCGGCAACGTGTTGTGGTAACGCTTTAGGAGGTGGGTTGGAGCCGAAATAGGAATTTTCAACCACTTGGTGTGAGGAAGCGGATGTGTTAGTAGTGTTGGTTGCCATGGTGTCTTGGCTCTCAACAGATGATATAGATAGAGACCTAGAAGAAAATCGTGCTTCTGTTAAGTTGAATGAGAGACTTAGAGCAGGCGACAAGTCCTCTGCCTTCCCGTGTGAAGATGTGTCCTGGGGGTCTAAAGCTAGTATCTGTGATGCCATCGTGTCAGCAAGATTTGGTTGATGCAACAATGTAGTGAAGCATTAACGTAAGGCAAATGCAGGGACCAAAGACATTTTATTACAATAAGCATAGCTGGTAGCATTGGCTTATAATAACTCATATACTTCGTAAATGCCGCTGAAACCTACTAACCCTAGCCCCGAGTAGGATAGGATGGATCTATACATAGTAATCACCGGCATTCCGGGGTAATGCATGAGACCTCGGTCCCCGGCTCCTCATTGTGCGGAGGGCCGGCTCTCCGATTTCTTTTCGGGATTAAACCACTACTCCTTTTTTGCAGATAAAGACATGCTAGACTTCAAGCTCATGGGCTATGGATAGTAATAGTAACATAGACTTACAATAAGGCTTGATCTCTTTGTTAGAACGAATATTGCCGGTGGTCTAAAAATTACCGCAGAGTGGGCTGATGGGTTGAGGGTTTTTGGAAGGACAAAGCTTGTGATTCTCTGATGATAATCCGGAGAACCTTGGAAGAACTAGGTGTCTAAGACATATACGATAATATAATTGGCTCACAGTAAGCCCCCAAGCCCCGGGTGAGGTTATTATAGCCGAGTTTACTTTCGCCGCTGACGTGCTGACGTGAGTGTTTTGTGGGGGTTATGTGATCGTTTAAGTATTCCGAATCGGATGAATGGATTAAATATCGTTAGACACAGACCCGAGCGGGAGGAAAGGTTAGTGCGGGGATGCCTTACCCCTGTAACTATGTACCTAGTAGCAGCTTCTTAGGGGACTCTCTTTAGATAAGATCGGACGTGCGCGAAGCGGCTCAGCAAACTTTATTTGGAAGGTACTTAACTCGCCATAACTTAGGTCATTTTATTAAGTTTAGCAGTTGTGGTACTGTGCAGTATTCAATTCCATAAAACGATTAACAAAAGCGAGTATATTTAATCTTCTGAGTTTGCAGAGGAGAGATTTTTTGGAAAGTCGTGTTCTGAAGAGAGCCTTAAGAAGCAATGGTTGCTAGACCCCACTCTATTAAGTATGTCTTAGGGGCTTAGTGCACTTTGATCTCCTACCCATTTCACTCTTTTCGCATTTGAATTAAACGTTGAAATTGATATAGGTACGTGTAGAATAAATTCATCGAGTCTATCAGACACAATATACCGAAGTATCAAACACTTGAGCAAAGCATATATGTATTACTGTTGATATGTGTAAATATTAACCTCTAGCCTCTAATCATAAAAGGGGTAACTAATCATGAAGTCATAACCCTAAATTGTAAGTACCTAGCAGCCTAGGTACCTAGACACCCAAAGCCTCAATTTCAGCCAGTACCCCCCATACCCCAATTACCCCTAAATTTATTACCTATGAACCCCATTTGAATAACCAATTTCTCTAGGAACCTTCATGGATTTCCTAGGTTCGCTCTATTACCCATGAGCTTTGAGCCATGAACCACATGCCGCATGCCATGCCCCGAACTCTATTTTCTGTACCGATCCAATCCCCAAGAACCTCCTTGAGTTAACCAGTCCCCCGACGCTATCAAAGCGTATTATGTAGACTACCTCCAATAGGTAGGTAGCAAGTCTAAAAATTACTCCAAGGTGACCACCCCACACTCATAGCCTTCGACGCGTACATCGCCATGACAGCAATAACCTGAGTAAGGCCAGTAAAAAGAATAAGACCCCAGTAGTCGCCATCGGCAGCATTGACGATGGCACCTGCAACGGGAAGACTTAGTAATACAGCGATAGAAACAATTGTGTAACATGTAGCATAATATCGCCCATAATGTTGCGTGTGGCATAGTTTTCCCACGCAAACGGGAGTGATGCTGATGTTATTGCCAGTCGAAAATCCGAACATAAGTGCGAATATGACGAGTCCTGGCGTCGTGTGGCCGAACGGTAGCCATACGACATAAATAGAAAAAATCGTAACGCAAAGAGAAATCATGTTTGTGTTGAAGGCGCCAATTTTGTCTGCCCACCAGCCGGGCAAGGCCCGTCCAAGAACGGACGCCGCATTAAGAATGGGTAGAATCTGAAAAGCAAAGTCTTTACTGAAGCCCTTTTCGAGCGCATAACTCGAAATGTACGCAAGGGGGATAAAAAGACCTAATTCTAGGAAGAAGACGCCGATGGTGAGGAGTAAAAACCTCTTTTCCTTCATAATACGGAAATCAGGGTGCGGACTTGAGTTCTGAGCTGGCGGCAGCCGCTTCCTAACCAGAAGATTGGCAAAAGTGAATAGAACGAGGCAGATAAACCCCACGACGCGGATCGTCCATCCCCATCCTACTTTGTCGAAGAGGCTTTGCATTATTAGCGGAAATGCTACACCCCCTAAACCGCCTCCCGTACTAGCCAGCCCAGAGGCAAAACCGCGGCGCACACGGAAGAAATGTCCTATGGCTGTGAGACATGGAGTAAATAAAAGAGAGGTTGCTATTCCACAAAGGATACCCCAATTAAGCATGAAATGCCAATATTCTAAGGCAAGTTAGTATTTGTCTCTGGTAGCAAAGGGAAAAAAGGACTAGAGAAGTTACTCACTTGTACAAACGCTCAATATCATAATGCTTGCAACAATACCGATGCCTCCCGGAATGATAAGCCATTTAGGGCCATACCTATCAAAAAGAGGCCCCACATAGACACCGCAGAGGAAGCACAACGCCGTATATAAGGAGAAAATCCATCCAACGGTACCCTCGTCATAGTCGAAGAGCTGATGCGTTACGACGTATGTCTGGAGCGTCGCGATGCTGTTCATAAGACCCAGGGAGGCAAATAAGCCACACCACGATCCAAGAACGACGAGCCATGCTTCAAGTCCTCCTTCTGGATATGACTCATCCCCTAAGAGCGTTTCATGCCCGGTACCACCATTGGGCTTATCAGGGGTAGGACAACATTCCTGGGCGAAGGGGTCGGGTTTCTCGGTCACCTCGAAGTCCGGCTGACCCTTTTCGAGATACGGCGTATCCAAGGCTTCTGTTTGAGGAGATGGGCTGCCCTTTTCTATCTCCTCCATTGCTGCTGTGGATGTGCCTAGGAGATGAGGTTAGATAGAGGAAATGTTATTGAGAACCTGGACCGTCAAGAATCATGATCTCTATATTAACTTAGGTCGGCATGAGACTACGGGCTATATAAATAACAGCAAGGGATACATGTGTAAGCGGAAAGCTTAGATGTTGGCGCTTTAACGTTCACGACTATCTGGATCCACATTAGCCTTCACGTTGACCGAAACAGGGGAGCATCAAGGTTGTCATCCGTCCTCGGAGCAAACAGACCGCACTTTTTCAACCCCGCTATAACCCACTTTGGCCCAGTCGTCAGGCGTAAAGGTGTGAAAGACGTGATACCACGCCCTATTTGCATAAGAATTACGTCCCGGTATCTCGTACTATGCGCTGTGTATGCGGCAACTATACACCATTCACCTCCACCCATCCCGGTCTGCACCCAGCCGGGGTCAAATCCGAGGCGTCTGAATATTTACAACTCATCACACCGATTGTGAGCTATCTTCGCGTCGAGACCCGTCGATGCTGTAGGTACTAGCGATAAAGGGACGGCACGATCCTTCTTTCTTCCTCTCAGGATCCGAAGGTGCCTGAGCGTGCCTGGATTTAGTCAAAGTGCCACCGAGCCCAGGCATGCCGCTTTTATCAGTATCCACGAAATTTGATGGGAAGATACTGCACCTTCAACTAATAGGAAGTGACCCGATATTAAGCGCCATCTGTGTGAATAGGTCGGATGGGTAAATTCCATCAAAAATTTTTCAACTTGCTCAATCTTGATCATCTTGACCATCTTCAACTTCCTCCATTGAAACTTTTTGCGGTCCCGTTCTCGTATACTCCGACGCGTCATCTGTGTCCAGAGAAGGTTTGAGATAGCCCTCCTTCTCCAGCCGGTCTGCTTCTTCGGGTTCCATTAGACCACCTTGACCTTTGCTCTTTTCCATCTTCATCCGGACCGCTGTGGGCATGAATGCGCTGACAGCTTCTTTCCGTAAATCGCGTACCATGGGTTTCGCTTCATATACCGTCTTCGTTTCCACCGGGGCGGCTGGAGGTGGCTGCCTATCTTGAACGTTGCCTCTACTAGTACCTAGCGGTGTGTCGTTCGCATTGCGCGCTGCCCTGCGTTTCGCATACCATTCGTCTAATATTTCCTTCGGGATCGGGGGTGGTGTGTCTCTCGGCATGGGTATATTCTTGACGTCGTCAGGCACGTCGTTGTCACTGCCTGAATCATCGCCGCCCCTTCTTCTCTTGCCTAGGACGCCATTGTCTCTCTGACCATCACCTCTAAAACCACCGCCGCGACCGAAGGAAGGTGCTCTGTCACCTAATGCCTCTCTAGCCTTGATGACTGCTTTGAGATCACGTTCCAACCCTTCTAATACGGACTCTTCATGTTTTGTAAGCTTGCCACCACTTGACGTGACCTTCTTCAGGTCATCAATCTGCTTTTGTATCCTGTCGGGGTTTCGTTTCGCAAACTTCTCATTTCGACGGGTGGCTGCTTCTGCCTTTCCTGAAAGGGACAGTTAATATGTATCCAATTTAATAAGTATCCCGATTCCCGACTATGTAGGAAATGATAGACGCATCCATACCTTTCTTGATTGCCTTAGCCTTCTCAGCTTTTCGCTGGGCCTGAACGGGGTTGAAGCTTTTCCCACCAAGCATGGTTGCCAAATGACGAGAAGTTGTAGGTTACAATCAATTAATAGTTGGTTTAGGTTGCGCAGTTCAGAATATTAATCTCGGATGCATATGAATTGGATGTTAGGTAACTTTGTGCAAGATGTATTAAAGTAGAGGCGTAGTTGTGAAATATGGGTTCTTGCAGGAGATTTCAGCCTTGTGCAACTTCCCATTGCATTACATCAAGGCACAGTGTTACTACATATTCAATTTAAACGGTACTACTATTCCCCATTAGTGATAGAACAAAAAGCACGTACCCGTAAATTAGCAGGCGGGACTCATTCTACAGGGACGTTTAGCGGCGATGCTATTTTTGGTAGGTACAGTATCCGGGCACCTACAATAACATACAGGGCCGTACCTGCGCGGGTGAGATAGCCTTGGAGTACGTATCATTTTAGCAGGGTTTTTTTAGTGAGTACCTGTGAGTACCAGCAAGGTAGCACGTTTCACAGTGGACAATGCAGTAGCGGCTACCGGGGTAACGGTGTTGATGCTGGTTGACGCTGTTGACATTGACGTTGTGCAATTCTCCATTCTCCATTCTCCAAGCATTATTGAATTCCTCCACCATCTGGATTCAAAGACCCCGCGTCTAAATCTCAAATCTCAATCCAATCAACAACCATCCCACCTTTTCCACAACTTCCCTTCCATTCTTCCAACCGGCATGTAATAGGAAAACAAGCATCTTTCGACTGCCATTGATCTGCCATCGTGCATGAAGTTTTGAACTTGGATCTTTCTTCTTGCATCTTGCATATTCAGTTCAATCCCAATCCCTTGACCCAATCCCTTGAAGAATTGGATTTCTTGTTCTCGTACATAACAATTTGTACGCTTCCCATCCATCCCGTTCATCAATTTTATTCACTTTCGCCTTCGTCATATTCACCATCGCATTCTCTACCGACTCTTTTTTTTCTACCCAACCCCGCCTTCTTTCTTGATCCCAACTCTTTTGTTTATTTGATACGAGATAGTCTTTTGACATCAACTACTATTATCAATCCTCACACCACACCCCACACGTCGACCCATTGGTTATGTCAAGCTTCATATCCAACATGTTTCCTACGCCGGGTCAGAAGGACGGCAAGCAGATCTCTTCGGAGTCTCCTAGTACCCCGATCAAGAATACATTCGTAACTCCCATTGCGACACCGCAGGGCAGCCCCAGCAAGAAGACCATCCCTCCCGGTGCGAACGAGCTCCCAGCTGTCTTCGACAATGCCCTAAAGCTCAACCCCGTCTCCCTCGATGGCCCAGTGAAGCTCGGCAGACCTCAGTCTGGTGCCCCTCTGTCTCCTGCAAAGAGTAACATTCAACCTGTCGACGATATCTGCGCTGCCGGTACACCTACCAACGTCGATAGCAGCATCATTCATAAGAGTGGTGTAAACACAGAAAGTCCGTTGAAGAAGCAAGGGCAAGAGAATACCCCGCCCTCTAAGATTCCCATCCGAGATTCCGTTTATCAGCACAACCAAGCTGCCGTGTCTCGCCAAGAACCTTACCAACTTCGAGATACTCGACCTATCACACCCAATACCAAGAAATTTAACACATCTCGCGGTTTGACTGCCGAAGAGCTAGAGATTCTGAAGAAGCCTAGTGTCCGTCGTTTGGTCAATGTTACTCAACTATGTAAGGATACCCTTCTGTGGATTAATATAACTACACCTACCATACCTACATCTTATATATATACTGACTAATCGTTCGCAGACTTCCTGGACTATTACTTCGATCTTCTTACATATGTCGGTTCCAGACAGGCGCGACTAGGTGCTTTCAAGACAGATGTACCTAAGCCACCCGAGACTAGTCAGGAGGAATATGACCAACTATGGTCAAAGTACACGGGCCGAGAGCGAGCAGCGCTCCGCAAGCGCCGAATTCGTCTTCGCCACGGTGATTTCCAGATCCTTACGCAGGTTGGCCAAGGCGGATACGGACAGGTGTTCCTGGCTCAGAAGAAGGATACCAAGGAAGTATGCGCTCTTAAGGTCATGAACAAAAAGCTGCTCTTCAAGTTGGATGAGATCCGTCATGTTCTCACAGAGAGAGACATTCTCACTACGGCCAACAGCGAATGGCTTGTTCGTCTCCTGTACTCTTTCCAGGATGACAAGAGTATTTATCTTGCCATGGAATACGTCCCCGGTGGTGATTTCAGAACCCTTCTAAACAACACGGGCGTCCTATCCAACCGTCATGCTCGCTTCTACATCGCAGAGATGTTCTGTTCTGTGGACGCGCTCCACAAACTTGGTTATATCCACCGAGACCTGAAGCCGGAGAACTTTCTCATCGACTCTAGCGGACACATCAAGTTGACGGATTTCGGATTGGCGGCTGGTAATGTGGCATCGTCAAAGATCAACTCAATGCGCATCCGACTCGAGAAAGCTTCGGAGACTGAAGTCCCATTTGGTAAGGCCATGGAGAAGCGAACAGTCGCAGAGCGTCGAGAGGGTTACCAGACCATGCGTGAGAGGGACCTGAATTATGCGAAATCCATAGTAGGATCTCCTGATTACATGGCCCCCGAGGTGCTTCGCGGCGAAGAGTACGACTATACTGTCGACTATTGGAGTTTGGGATGCATGCTGTTCGAGGCCCTTACCGGTTTCCCTCCCTTCGCTGGTTCCACGGCTGACGAGACGTGGCAAAACCTGAAGCATTGGAAGGAGGTACTCAAGCGCCCCGTCTGGGAAGATCCCAACTACTTCCTAAGCAACCGCACTTGGAACTTCATCACTACGTATGTCTCATTAAATCATATTACGTTATCACAACTATACTAACGAGTTATAGGTGCATCAATTCAAAGTCTAGAAGATTCTCGGTTATCAAGGAAATTCTAGAGCATCAATACTTTGCCGAGGTGGAATGGAAGACTCTGAGAGAATCCAAGGCCCCGTTCGTACCTGAGCTGGATTCAGAGACCGACGCAGGGTACTTTGATGATTTTACCAACGAGGCTGACATGGCCAAGTACAAGGAGGTCCACGATAAACAACAGGCTCTCGAGAGCATGGCCGACAGAGATGAACAGATGAGCAAAGGTCTTTTCGTCGGATTTACCTTCCGTCACCGCAAGCCTACTACGGAAGACGGTAGCCCGCGCAAGCGAATCCAGACCGAAGAAACCTTTGGTACGATGCTTTAGGGTAGGCGTCAACTACCTAAATTCAAAAGGCGGTGACTCGAATTTTGGTCGAGCATGACGAAATCGTTAGCCGCAGTAAGATATGGTGAAGGTCGGTTGTCTCCAGACAGGATACTGGAGGCGTAGCCACGAGATTATATGCTTGTGGTACTTTCTTTGTGTTGTTTTCTTTCGGTCAAGGGAACGCTGCTCGGGGAGCTAGCTACGACCTAAGAAAGGCGTTTTTCAGGTGTCGCATGTATAAGGTGCTAGGAGTTCATGAACAGGAGGTATACGGAAGGCATACGCGTCTGGTCACAGTCTTGGTCCAAAGACAGTCATAGGAGGATTTTGGTGCCGAGGGAGTCGGAGGTAGTGTCAGTCATACGGGCCTGTCGCATTGGACCGCGTTGATTTAGCCTCAGGTGAGATCGACCATGCTAGTTGGTAAGCTACAACTGCGATCCAGGTGAGCTGATGCGGAAGTCTCACATGCGTTTTCTGATGACGAAAGACTCGGTTCATTGATGTTATGACTTTTCTTTTAATCCCCAAAACAATACATTTGATTCCCTACCCATTCAGGTTGGAAAAGAAACACGAGTATTCATGCCGTCATAAAAATAACCAAGGTTAAACGCTGTCTATATTTAGGAACCTCTGAACTCAGCTGTAGAGTATATGTGAAGCAGAGGGAAGGGGGGTATTACAACAGAGGAAGGCAAAGTGAACCCGGTTCCTTCGGGACCGGAGAGCTACTAGACTTTCCCTTGGAGGTCTAACAAGACGACCGAGATGATCGCTGATTGGTCACGATGGTTTTTTCCAAGCTTTCCGGACGTCCCCAAGATCCAACCCCGCAAAACAAGTTTCCAAGTTTTCATTCACATAAGACACAAAACATACTGGCGAAGCTCGAGAATGCTTAGCCACGCAGTTTCGAGTAGATGAGATGGGTAACAATCATGTGTTTCTATATCGAAACCCAAGACATATTACCTGCGTTGTCATACAATATGAGCTCGATGGGGAAAACTCGAGAGGCTGGCTACCCTGCATAATATTCGTCTCAGCCACAGGTTCACTGTTTGGCTCACTCGTTTTCGTCGAGCATTTTCCAGTGCCTACGTGCCAATATTTATTAACACATCTTATGCAGGCAATTACGTCTCCTACATTGATCAGTAAGTCTGGACAGAGTCAAGACAGCTGAGATTACGCCAGCAAACATGGAGGCTCTTGTAAAACCGTAGATGCCGAGCTCGATCCTCCAACCCGGTTCGCGCTTTTCTGCCCCAGGAAATGGTGGTACATATGCATATCCTTTATTCCCCCTCCTCGCGAGCAGCCAACCGCTTCGTGGACGCGCGGCTTTCGACGCCAGCTAACGCACAAGAGCGCTGCGTCTAGATGAAGCGGTGATTGCGACCAAGGACATGCGTGTGGAATGTGTTCTGGAAGCTTAGCCACATCCCTACATGCCAATATACCTCGTGGTAGGCGAACTCAGCCCGAAGCTTTCACAACTTTATTTTCCTTTCCCTGTCCTTCCTTTTTCCGTTCGGGGCGATCACACGCCCCCCAAAGTTAAGGTCGATATAGGCGGGAGGATGACGAATAGCTTCGCCTTTCTCTTGTTTGCTGCGTTGGACAGACGCACCTTACACATTACGTGACGCCCTTTGACGTCCATGACACGAGTCTCGACTGCTTACCCGTCCGGTCTTTGTTCGGCCGACTACGTCTAGTTACCTGGGGTCAGGACATATAAGTATATGCCTTGCTTTTCTCGACTTACGTACTTTTTTTTCTGCCTTTCGTCTGTATAAGATCTGTATTCTGTTGTGGTATAGATACATACTTGAAACATCTAAAATCTATCCACCTGGACATATATCAGGAAAGCAGAAACATATTCAGGAACATCAAGTTACAGAAGATATATACGAGGCCATCTAAAGAATAAAAAGAAGGAAAGAAAGATGAAGGCATCAACCCTCGTCGCCGCACTGGCACCTTCAGCCGCCTACGCGCAGTGGTGGAAAGGCGCCCCAGGATGCGCTGTAAGTTCTCCTTACCACCTCTCTCCCTTCTCACCTCCCTCTTACACCTTTCCCTTCCCCCCTACCCTCACCACCACCTCCCTCACTAAAACTAACACCCCAACCAGCAATCCTGCCTCTCAACAGCCTGGTCCAGCCCAACCGCAACCGTAACCTCCGGCTGGCCCGCGCAGTCCTCCTACTGCAACGCCGACGTCGGCTCCAGCATCGGCTCGTGCATCAGCTCCGCCTGCTCCGCCTCCTCGTCTAGCACCGCGTACTCGTCCTACTCCTCCCTCTCTTCCTCCCTCTGCGCCGCGTATTCCTCTTGCACCTCTGTCGGATCTACTGGTGTGCGTACCGTGACGTATAGTGCTGGCCCGGTCACTTGGGCTGCCCCTGGGGGCTGGGGCTCGAAGTTCGCGGGCCCGCCGGGGTTTCCTGGTGCGGCGGATGGTGGCAATGCGACGGCGAGTAGTGATGCGTATCGCCAGTACTGGAGCGATTGGGCGTCGGCGTTTAGTGGGAGCCATACGTGGACGGGCGGCGTCGCGACTGTGACGGGGTGTTCGTTTGACGGGTCTCCGTGGTTCGTCGGGCCTGGGTGCGGGTGGAATGGGCTCGGTGGGTTCGATGGGTGGGTTGGTTGGGGGTCGGGCTGGAGTTGGGGTCCGACGACTACTGAGACCGTCACGTTTACTACGACTGATTCCGTCGGCGTGACGACTACGGGGACTGGGCTTGCGGCTGTGGCGTTGGCGGTTAGTGGGACGTTGACTACGAGTACGACGCTTGGCTCGCCGACGGCGACGAGTGGGAGTGAGAATGCGGCGACTGCGTTGGGGAGGGGCGGGGTTGGTGCTGAGGGATCGGTTGTTACGGGGATGATGGGCGTTGCGCTTGGGGTTGTGCTGCTTGTTGCTGGGATGTTGTGATGAGGTGGATCGGTATATGAGATCGATCTTGGGTGCTTGTCTGCATACTTGGTGCATCCCCTCCGAACAACATTTGTCGCCAAGTCGTTGGCATGACGGTGACCACTCCTTCATCTTCACCTCCTTCTCTCTATCTATTGTTGGTTTGGGTTGAGTTTGCATACCTTCGGCATGGTATACGCTGGCTAGATAGGCTATCTGCCTACGAAAGACGTCTTTCCTTTGGTGTTTCGTCCGCCTGCATATCTTCGGTATTCACGACCTTGGAAAATGGGCATTATTAATGATCTGGGCGTCTGGGCTTCATTCTCTGGATACATATACAGGAAGGAAACGAGAGAAAAGGGGTTGACATGGTTAATGTGGTATGAAAGAGCCTTCCGCCTTGTACTGGCGAGGGTGTAATGTAAATACGTTGTCGGAAAAGGCAATATTAATGACTAGATTCTCTATATCACGAAATTCGTACGCAGTGGGAGTGATCTTTATTCGGGGGTAAACGGTTCTTATTTTCTGTTTACTCTATTTCCCTGTCCAGTCCGAAGACTTCCATGTCTAGGACTCGTCCTCCGATGGGAAAAGAATACTCGTCCCGACCGTACTACACGAATCGCGTCGCTTCGGTTTTCCTTGCTCTTGCCCTTGTTCGTGTTCTTGTTTTTCTCCTTTTCCCTTTTCTTTACTAGCCATTCCCTGGTCTCCTACACCTGCTGCATGCATCATACTACTCCATGGCGCTACATCCGATTGCCCGTCCTGAGAAATTAGAGGCAACGTTGGCGATTCCGTTGGTGATCGCGTTTTCTGTCTTTCACTTGGTTTCATATCTTTGCCCTTGCCTTTTACATCGCCTTCGTTTTTCGGTCCTTCATAGCGAGTGTTCGGTAATGTGAAAAGATCGCCTTCTGGTAATGTGAAAAGACCGTCTGTTGGTAATGTGAACGGATCATCTTTTGGTGGTGGCGTTGGCCCTGGTGAAGGTCCTAGTGCTATCGTACTTATATTCGCCGGCTCTTCAAGTTTGTACATGCTTTGCGGTAGTATCAACGCCTCAGTCGATTCAGTCAACCCAAGACCTCCTTTTGCATCTCCGCTACGGTTACCAACAGACTGCTGCTTAGGCCTTGATGTTGATCCGGAGGCAAGCGATAATATCACACTATCAATAGATCTCTGGGTCCGTGGTGGCGGCGTGGGCGGCAATGGCATCGAAGGTGGTCCAGTTTTTGGTGGCTGGAACAATGGAAACATCTTACCTCTGTGCCAAGCGCGATCACCTAAGGTACCCTCGGGGCGCGCAACCGGCGTTGGGTTCGTTACCATAAAGCCGGGGCCAGAAGAGGGTTTTCTGTTGTTTCTGTTGAAATCGAAGTTGAAGGCTCCCGCGGGAGAGGTGGAAGGCGTATGTGAGTCTCGCCACTCTACAGCTGAGCTCGCTGCTGTTGGGGTTGAGAGCTGAGGTTGCGCGGGACCAGCTTTCACTTCATCTAGGAGCTTATTGTATAAGCTATCTCTTCTGGAAGTAGATGGCGATGCGGTTGATATGCGTCGGGAGTGTAGACCGGTGTGGGGCCGTCCACCGGCCTCGAGAGCCGGCGTTGTGGGGACCATATCTGAGCCGTCCGTTGCGAGGCCTATGTTCGCATCGTTTCCCCCGTGTGCATGTCTAGCAGCATTTCTATCGTTCCCATCAAAGTCACGCGGTCGATGAAGTCCAGTGGTATCGATGGTGCTTGGGATTAGTCGGCGAGGGTGCCATTTCCTATCCTCCTGTGGCTTATCGAGTTCCATGCTCTCACGTGCTTCTTCTCGCTGCTTCTTGCGCTTATATGCTCGGAAGCAAAGGAAAATAGCGGCGGAGAGGATGATGGCTCCTGATATACTTCCCACTATCGCACCGATAGCAGATGAGGGAAGTGTTCCTGGTGTATCTGAGATCGATGTTGATGGTGTAGGTGATGAGGAAGACATGGATGCTTTTGTTGGTTTATTTGATCCATCTGTACTTGCCTGTGACTTTGACAAGGTCTCAGAAGGCTGTGACACATCTGTGAACTCTTGGAAACCACTTACAGCAGCAGTAGGTAAAGAAAGTGATGCCTCAGTATCCGTAGACGTTGGTGTGGGTTCCTCAGCATCCCCACTCTGAGTACCGTCATCGTTTGTATCGGTTGTGTCTCTGCCAGTATGATCTGGGTTGTAGGCTATTGTTGTCGTAAGTGTAACTGTTTCGACTTCTATACCAGGCACCCCCACAACTCCTAGCTCGGATGTGCCTCCATCTGTCGAAACATCATCGCATCGCGATCTGAAGAGTAGCCAACTCCACAATAGAGTCGAGACACTGAACCTCCTCAAACTGAAGTCTACCGAAAACATCGTCGATGTCGTATCGACAAAATTCGTATAGTGCGTAGTGAGCCATGGTGAATGATACCCAGTAGGGCATTGAATCTCGATATGCTTTTGTCATTTCCATTTCCACCTCACCTCCTCAACCTGCGCACAAAGGGATAGTTGTCGAGACCATATCGAACAAAGACCTTTGCCTCGCATGCGGCTTTGTAGGTCTCTTCCGATCAATTAAGCAAGCCATTGCTCGTATTCACTAGGTACTAATGAGGGATATATAGGTATTGTGGCGTATCTTAAGCTTATACTCAAGTTGTCGGAAGTATTCGGCAAGTAGTCCTGAAGTATCTAGTGAGATCCAAATCGAAGATTTAAGAGCGAAAACTCTAGAAGAAGACTCAGATGCAAGAACAAAGGTGGATTATTAGGCAACTTTATGGAGATTGGACAGACACAGGAGGCCACACAGATGTCCGTGTTCACATTTCTCAAGATAAGAGGATGATTGCGTGATAGGGAGATAAGAATAGATCGACAGGGCGACATGAGGTAGAGCCTCTTGCTGAGCCTGCCGCTTCGATCAATCTGGCGGTGTCGATATCTCTCTATCTACATAGATCTGTCTTAGATACAGATACAGATACAGATATAGATGCAGATTTAGGTACAGTATCAAGCATGTTCACAGCCCGTGCATATGTATAGGTAATATGTATGTACATACGCCCCTGAACGCATCTGATAAGTATGTCTAATAACAGACTTGGCTGCTTGAATGATTCTTGAGCTCAGACTGTTAGATAAGAAGCTCTGTGCTTCGGTGGAGTAGAACCCTGATGGCGTAATTAGACGACATCCTGACTCGAGTTGGCGGAATATTAGGTAACAGAATCGCAATAGCTCTCGTGACTGGTTTCCTAAAATACAACTAGGTACCAAAGTAAATAGGTATTAAATAAAATTTTATGCCTGTCCAGTTCGCCTAGAAATCTTAACCTTTCAAAATTCATGTTATCTATCGAACAATCGCCAATAACAACGATGTCGAGTTCCAAGTTGGAGATAGAGAACGTTCCAAGGTTATCTTCCTTAGTCACCTGCCGCATTCGAGCGTGGATGAGAGATAGGCAAATATGATCGTCCACAAGGTCCTTAGAAGATGGCGTCTGTCTCTGGCTATATCTTTAGGTGGTTCCCGACTTGCAGCTCGTTAGACGGAATGTTCATTTTCTAGCCTATGGAGCTTTCCAACAAGCGCTCAACTACCAATGCCGAGGACGATAAGGGAAAGTCGCAGACAAGTTGGAGCTCACTGTCGTCTTATATACAGGTGTACGATGATTGGTCAATGGTTGGACTGCTTTCACGCGGGGTCTTGCTTGAAAGATCAGCACTCTCCGTGACACTCGAAGGAACGACAAACATCATCCTCTCGACGCCACTCGACACTTAACATGCTTGTCAGACGAGAAGCAGGAGATGATGGGTCGCACAACATCTCTCCCACACGGAGATCATTCAATGGGAAAGCATATGACCTCACCATGAACCGGCGATTTTACCTTCTTTGCCCGTCTTTATTCTCGCTACGACTCGGCTCAACTCGAGAGATCGAGCAAAACCCCCCCGGCCCCCCGCGTCTCTCGGACCAGCTGACGACCCAGACGCGTTTACTTCCCTTGAAACCCCCACGCCCAGTCATCTCGTCTAGGTATTGGACCATCCCGGTCTAGCTTTGGGTGCTGTCGGCGGCTAGAATGGGAAACCGAGGCCGTAGCCACACGAGCAAAAAATTTCACAAAAGTCTAGAAAAGAAATAATGCCTGTTCACCTAGGTTATGGTCTCACACACGCATACTCACGCATACTCTTCTAGGTAAAATACCTCAATGCCTGTTCTACTTGCATTGAGTAGTTGCCAACCCTGCTCAATTCTAGACCGTTGAATTTTTTTTTAATTCTCTTCTTTTCTTCTTTCCAATATTTTTTCCTTGTTTTTTGTTCATCGTCAAGTTTGTCATCTACATACCTACCTAACTAACAGGTCAATCTACGGGGCACGGAGATATCCCCAGGAATACGCGACCCTCGGTCCGGTGGCGAGAAATATCGATTTTTGAGAAAATGACAGAATCCACAAACTGAAAACACGGCCGATTTAGTACGACCGAGATCGTCAACCCTTGGAACCTGAGCTGCTAAGCTACATCAAGTTTCGGTACCGGATTTTAGAATTTGGTAAGCGTTAGTGTGCAATTGTTGGTAAGTTGTCACGAGGATTAGCAAGCTCAAATCAAGCATTCAAGCATGCGAGTAGTTAAGAAACGGCTCGGGGATATGATCTATTTACAGTGTGGGATAGCTATCTATAGCACTACAAAATTAACTATTAATTTATTGTCGTCATGCTACTCACCTTAAACATATAGCACCTAGTCTAACAGCCCACGATGACCTCCATTCGGCACTGCGACCGAGGAATATCCATTTCAACTTCACCTTCACGGCAACTACCGAACTTAGTCAATGCTATAGAGCCAGTGGGATTCGTTATGATTACTCGAGGCACATTATAACTTACAATTGTAAGGACATTGGGAACAAATTCGTCCCTAGTAATTGAGGCTATTTTGGACTATCGACCCACACCGTCGGATTTTCAGGGGCCTGGTAACTTCACAAACTTGCAAATGCAGGGCTGCCAGGTCTAGTTGCTCCTTGAGGCACTCCGTGAAATCGCACTACGATGAATGTGGTGATGCCGAACGTAAATTGGGACAGGCAGTTTCTAGGGAGGTATCTATGCATGTATTCGTGTGTTACCTGCCTCATAAATCACACATAAATCATCTGGACCAAAGAGGAAATACATCAGAAGCTGGCTTCGAAGCTTCTGTTACAATCGAATCTGCACGATTCTAGGCACGGCCGAGTTCGTCAAATAGGAGAAATTTAAACTGATTCTTTAAAGATATTAAGGGATCTCGACGTCGATTCTAATAGGTGCTATATTGTGGTCCCATCTTACTCGTGTTAGGCAGGTAAGTAAATAATTTTATAGTACTGGACTGTACCATACTGCATGTAGAGAATTCTGATGACTTGACTTAACTTGACATGTGACAAAGTTCGTGGATGTGTAATGTGTACACATAAACCTCACCTACCTACAGCAGGTAGCGTGCTATGCATGCTGAACTATTTAGAAGATGAGAGACATTCTTACAGGTAGTCTAGACTCTGTTGATTATAATAGACGCAAATTCACCTCACCGACACATGCCTAACTTCCTACCACGGCCCAAGAGGATACGAAAATGGGCGCTGAAGATTTCAAATCTGATCTGAGACTTGCTGATCAGCCCTTTCTCCTTCGGGGTGACTGACGGACCTTCACCAATGCGAACTAATGGACAAAGAGGGGACGATCCACTACCACGCGAACAAAGGCAGCCACTAAACAGTGGCGAGTCTACTAGTTGTCTAGCCGTAGCAATAGTACTCAGCAGTTGACGGCCCTTTTCGTCATCCTGTTTCAAACGACGGGGGACGCCGGGGAGTCGGATCCGACACCCTAAAGGAGTCTCGCGTAGGAAGCCTACGTCCGTCTTATGTGGAAGGAAAGCGTCGCGAGGCTGATGATCTTTTGCCGTGCCGATATTGTGTAGGTATATAGATACATACCTATGTAGATACATATGTAACATATTAAGGTGCCGGTGGATGGAGAGGTAATGAAACGAGGATGGGCATGAGCGGACTATCGAATCTGTGCTATATCGTATTAGACAGATCTTATGAGATCCATTGTCCAAAAACAGAACAATGCGGTGCCCACTGTCCAATGCTGGAGTTCATATGTACGTATGTAGATAGGTAGTTTTGTATTATGTAGTCGTACATATGGAGGGGACGGCAAATTGAATCATTGCTCGTTGGACCGGGAACCCGCCGTCTCCAGATGATCCATCACCTATTAGCCACGCCGTCGCTAAATTCACCCACGCCTCCGTAAGAGAGGCTTGAGAGGGGATTAAATTGGTCCGTGGGCTGGACCCCCTTCCTAGCCCGTCCTTGCGACATCCCTTGGACCATCGGCTCTCAAGGGTTCGCACAAGAGTGTGGGGGTTCAACCGTACTGGTCCATGTAAGAACTACGGATCCTTGTTGTCTAACCCTTGGCTTGGAGGCGCCATTGCGCGTCGCAGTACTATCTACTTCGGCGGTACACTTGCGAACCCTTTCCCACAACTGTAGGATGAAGAGCTGACGAGAGCTTGTGAGTGGTCGAGCATCTCGAATTCCTTTCGACATCGGAACTGGCAGACCGGTTGTGGACCGTGAACCGATTCCTTTATCAAGCCTCAATTAAACATACCTACCTACCTAGTAGTTTACATACCTTGAATTATCAAGAGATTCCCTTGAGCATTTCGTACGATTACATTTGTGTATTACGGAGGCAAAGAGGAAGAAAATAATAGTTGATACCTTACCTAGGACCCAGGTATTCTCTCCCATGTGATTTTCGTTGTCGTCCCAAGGTACAGCTGTTACTGATGGGTCCCCCACCTCGGTGTAATTCTAAAATAGGACCAACTATCTCGCTCAGACCTTGCCGTCATACATCTATATACGCTTAATACACCTCGAGATTGACATTGAAAGGGTCGAAAGTGTCAAAAATGTCCAGGTACATGACCCTTGATAACACGACGGTTCCTAGGTATGTAAGATGGTCCATCTAGAGCTGCCCATGCTCCCACGCTGCGATGCTATTTGAGAAAGAAAGAACAAAAAAAGAGACCGCTAGGTTAAATACGTTGGGAATCATTTAAACCATCTTGTTTTTTGGGCGCTTTTGAGGCTGGTGACACAACCTCATGCAGAGTTCTTTGCCGTCGAATTGGAAAATGAGATTGTCTTGTAAGCTACCCTACTTTCATTATTAATGGACAAGGCCAACACCATGAATGGATGACATTACACTTTTAGAAATGAACTTCACATTGCGGCTTCGGAGCCTAAACTCGCCTTGCCGCTGATGACAGCAAATGGTGAAACAACAGTTGCTATGCCCATCGCATACATCGCATACCTTCGAGAGTATACTCTGCTCGTCTGCTCCGTTCGAGCAACCGACTACCATACATAGTAGTAGCCATAGTAGAGGGAGGGAGGGGGGATTCGTACCGGCTTTTCCCGAGACCCCATTCAAACTTCCTTAAGTTCCCACCAAGTGAGTATAGCGTCGATACTAGTATGCAGGGTCCGAGGGTGGTTCTTTATACTACTGTAAGCATGTAAGATATCTGAGCCGCGAAAACGTGAGAACCTTCAAACTCTCGAAGTGCGAAGCGCTTAAAGCAAGCTCTTCCCATTCCCGCCACTCCACAAATCGGCGTTAGACCGGACGACGCTCTCACCATAAACCAGCCTAAACCACCACCCAAACGAGGAATACCCTTGCCTTTATCACTATAGTATTATAACGACCATGCAGCTCGAAGTTCCATTAAGCTACCAAAGATTTGACTAAACTGACTCTTTCCCTGGGTCGTCTTCGAGGTTGACGTACTTGGCGTCTTTAGTGTCATCGGTAACTGACTCTGAATGAACTGATCACATAGTATAGCGTAACTAGTATGTATACCTAGGTATGTATTACCAAGATGCGTATTGTAGATTGCAGACCAGGAGACGTCGAGTCGACCAGATGTATGTATGTATGTATGTACATACATACCTACATATATACGTATGGGCGGGCCGTCTTATGTTGGTAAACCGACGACATCGGTACTGACATGACTGACTTTGTGGTTGCTGGACCGATGAAAGAGGGGCACGGGTTGCAGCTCCAGCTACCGCAACCTAGGACGAGGTAACATAAGAGAGGTATTCGGGACACGGCGAATACCTCGCAGCAGATTTGCAGGCGCTGAACGCAACCTGGCTGCATGAGATGTACCCGACGTATAGGGATGTATGTATCTTGGACATTGTTCTTTGATGGGTAGCGGCTCGTACGAGTTCCCGGTCTTGCATCCTGTCGTTTTCTTCCCAAATTCTGCCTGTACCGTAGCATAACGCTAAGCAGTACCTAGTACGCGGTATTGTATTGTATTGTAGGTATTGTACACAGCGTACCATAGTAGCATGGGGACCTAGGTAAATGTACGATCCACACCGCACAGATATTCCTAAATTCCCACAGATATTATTATACGCTGTACGTAGCGAACATAGTGTGAGGAATGTTCAAGGCTATTACCTAGCGCCTACCGTTCAATGTTCCTCGTGTCATGTCGTCAGTCAACCATCAATCCTTAACTCACATGTGGGTAATTGCACGAATATGAATAATCTATTGTATATATTTCGCCAAGTTTCTAAGGTCAAGTACCTAGCAGTAGCCTATTTTAACACTTGATACTAGGGAATAAGGTTATGTTTAAAGACCGTTGAAGAGGGTGTGGAACTTGAGAATTGAAGGGCGAGGGCGAGGGTTACATGTGTAAGACCTGGAAAGAGGAAAGTATCAGGTACAGCAGAGCAACCCACATATTTCATTGTTGGTACCTTCCTTCACTTAACCAGGTCGCATAGCCATCTTTAACCATCACTCTTTCTGCTTCTGCTTCTACCTTTGGCTCTACTGCTGCTTCTTGCTTCTGCTTCTGTTCTTGTACTTCTGTGGGTAACAACTCAACTTACCTTAACTTAACTCAACTTGGAATATTTCTAAATGCCTATTTTCAACACTTAAACTTCAACTTCAACTTCTAGCACACTCGATTTAGAATATAATACGCTAGGTTTTACATCTTAAATAATATTCGGAACAGTCTTGCGACACTCGGTCAAAAGACAGAAACGGTCAAAAAAAAAGACTTCGGTCGAAAAAGAGACGTCAAATAAACCCCCCACTGGTCGAGGTCTCTCTTTTTTAATTTCGGTGCAGATCCACCCCTCGTAAGTCTCTCGCTTCGTCTGCATACAGCATACAAGGAGCTTTTGGGGTCTTGGCCCTTGAGTGCGGAGGCACCTACAAGGAATCCCTCGAACTCCAATTGTCGTCGTTGGATTGGTCGCAAGGATCAGCCATCGTGAATCGTCAATCCAAGCCCGGCTCTAGCAGCACCACCAGCACCACACTCAAGCAACCACAAGCACCCTACCCTGCCCTAAAGTACCCTAAGCACCGCAACCAACCCAAGTATTGTATGTACCTAGCAGACCTGGCAGACCTGGCATACCTCTAGGCTAGTACCCTACACCAAAAAAAGCTGCAGAAAACAACCCGCCCATTAAAGGCTCTGGAATCGTGGATCGCCCTGGTCTCATGGGTCTCTAGGGTCTCATGGATGTTAGCACCGGAATCGTTCCAAGCCTAGCTTAGCTCTTCCCAGCACGAGAGGACCCGGCCTTACGTCTGTCGTCTGTCCATTGTTCAAGTCCAAGTGGTCCCTCTCTCTCGTTCAAGGAATTACCAGCATCTGCATTTGCATCCGCATCCACTTCCACTACCTCCATTACAATTACAAAGTCTGAGGGTACACCCACACCCATGTCACCCAGCCAAAGCCGATCCAAACTGCCTGATGAGTGACCATACAATCCACCACCCAACCTGTCCTGTGGAATTTCTAAAAGGCAATGCGACAGTGAACTACCCGAGTTGCTATTGTTGTCTTTGTGTTGCTGCCGTTGCTGCTGCCGCCGCTGCTATTGCTACTACTACTACTCCTACCTCTGCTATTGCTATTATTGCTGTTGCTGCTACTGCTACCGCTACTATTCCTCCGCCCTCCTCCACAGTCATCGACCAGAGGTGACATACATCACACCCACCTCCGATTTCTAACGCACGAGGTCGAACGAGCCGGGGGGAAATAGAAAGGAAAGCAATTAATTGCGCGCTAGACCTTCGACTTCACCACCAGAGCTACTGAGTTCTCACGCTCTCGTCCTCTTTATATTTTATTTAGTTCGAAATTTGCAAGCTGTTCGCTGTCCTAGGGCGCTAAGTTTGGAAAACAAACTTCGGGATAGCGTTCGGCTTGCGAAGGAACTTGGGCTGACAGCCCAAACCTTGGAACGTGGGGAATCTTGGAAAGTGACCCGTAATACATACGAAATAACGTCTCCAACAATTCCGTTCACAAAAAGAGAAGAAGAAAAAAAGACCGGCTTCGACCCCAAGTTTCTCTACCCGCCATTATCCTAAATGGCCACCAGTATAGCATCGCCTATAGCTATCTCAGATCCTTCCACAGCGATGAATCCCACAACAACAGAGCACGACTTTCGTTTCCCGCGAAGACCCTTCGAGTCCAACCAGTTGACCAAAACGAGTGCCGACGAGAACAGTCCCGGAGACTTGCGCATACAGGAGCTCAACTTAGATTTCACGAAACCTGATAACTCGGTAATGTTCGATTTTCTACATGGCTCGAGTTTCCCTAGCCTACAGAATGACGCGGCCGGAAACAACGAGACCATAGAACAGATGCAGGAGAGCGATCCGCTTGCAACGCAAGTTTGGAGGTTCTATCGCAATACGAAGCAAAACTTACCAAGCCAGGAGCGCATGGTAAACCTGACGTGGCGCATGATGCACTTGAGCCTTCGGAGGAGGCAGCAGGCGGAAGATGCTCGGTATGTTATTTGTATGCAGTCGCATCGTGAATCTAACCGTTCCTACAGTCGCGCCGCTCTTCGTGAGTCTGGTAACGCCGCAGCGAATAATGCCAATATTCCCAGTGGTATTGCGCAGCTTAGAAAAACTTCAGATCAGAATCTCGCACATGCGGATCCTATGAATCTTGACGATTTCATATTTCCCGAGAATGTGGCGACCCCGGCGGGATTAGCGGCGACGCCCTCACCCGACGGGAGCAAACAAGAGGGGGAAAAGTCGGCTCACACCACAGCAGCCGCCATCCCTATCAAATCCCGCAAAATTTCCTCTCAGCATTTCGTTCCCCAATCTGTTCCAGTTCCTGCTCATCAGAGAAATCAGGATGAATTTGCGTATGTGACTCGACATCATCGGAAAACTAGCATCGACGAAAGGAGGGTGAGTGCAGCTTATTTATATTTATTTGCTGATGTAAAATCACATCACAGCTTTCATTTCTTTCGCCTTATCCCTGGTTAATTTGTTATATTATCATTGGTCCTTTGAGCTGCAAGTATATAGAGAGCTAACGAGAACCTGCGCCAGACCCGGAACTTGAAACGCCCTGCTAACTTCTCTCCTCATGTCTCTGCACTCAATAGCAATAATTTCGTCGCCAATGAGTTGGACGCCGATTCCGACCTCCACGAATATTCTCTAGATAGCTCTCACCCAAACAGCAACGCTCCTATGTCTCACCACCCGGGCGTTCCCTTTCCTCTTGACACCTTCCCCATGGAGAATGACCCCATCATCACATCAGCGGGGCCTTTTCAGCAAGGTTTTTCGTTCTCGCCTTCGACGTCACCAATGGTGCCCCATGGACCCTTTTCGAACTTTTATAATCATCACGGCGTTCCTTCGAGCTCCGTGAATGGCGCAGACTACTATTCTCCCCCGGGATCTGCGTATCAGTCCGCAGTTTCTACACCACACCCAATGGCCGAAAATGAAAACATGTTCTTCGGGTCGATGGATATCCGTCATCAACGAGCTCAAGGTTTTCGCTCTAACCAGGGATCAATGAGAAATCAAATGGCCCAGCAGTTTATGCACCAACATAATGGTAATTCGATGTTCCCTCCGGCTACTACCGGGGCGGAATCGTCCACCTCGTTTACCCAGACTCTTAATTTTGGCCATGTTGATCCAAGCCAAGTTTTCCAGTCTGATCACCCAGTTCGATCACCTGGAGTTGGGATGGCGCACGAAAATATGTTCAATTTTGGGGCTGACTCTGACAATGAGGATGAAGATGGGGGTGCATTCGCTGATCGAAATATGGGGATGCATCAAGCATTCTCGCCCGATAATGATATGGATATGGGCAATCAGAATTCCTTAGGATGGGATGCTTCTTTGCCTGGGCAGTTTAGCACACAGGCGGCTCGTTATCCCGGTGGACCTCCCCGTAAGCAGGTTACTATAGGAGGTACAACAACGGATTATCTGGATTCCAATGATTGGGATGGTCAAGGCGGTCTGCCGAGGTCCCAGTCGTTTCGGTCAACCGGCGATAGGCGTCAGAAGATTCCTCGTACGGCTTCTACACCGAATGCTAACATGGGCGGCCGCGGAAATCCATTCGACAAATTGGCCCAGTCGAACCCGAATTCCCCACCAGGAGATGTGTCAGGAAACGTATCTGGCTTCTCTTCCGTGGCACCCAGTCGACCTGCTTCCCCGCCCGGTTCTAAGCATGGCTCCACGAGCAACCTGCAAGCTGCCGCAGGAGGCCAAGGAGATGGAAACGCGCCTACTACTTGTACCAACTGTTTTACGCAAACCACACCGCTATGGCGTCGGAATCCAGAAGGCCAGCCTCTTTGCAACGCCTGCGGTCTATTTTTGAAGCTTCACGGAGTTGTGAGACCTCTAAGTCTAAAGACCGACGTTATCAAGAAACGTAACCGTGGATCTGGTGCGAGCCTTCCGGTTGGCGGTACAAGCACAAGATCCAAGAAGAATACTGGAAATGTTCCAGGTAACGCTTCTGGGCCTACTTCGCGTAAAAATTCAACTTTGACTATGTCTACTACAAACAATACAGCGCAAGTAACAACCCCACCATCGGCAACTAACAGAGCCGGCAGCGTCAACGAGGGTGAAAGTCCCGCAAGTGGTGCTGGCGGTTCTGGTGGTAACACGGCAGGTAGTACGCCAACGAGCTATGCAGGTTCTGCCACTGGCGCCGTAGGTGGCAAAGGTGTTGTGCCAATTGCGGCAGCTCCCCCGAAGAACGCGCCAGGACCAGGCGCCGCCTCACTCCCTCGAACTATTAGTACCAGTGGCTCGTCCAAACGCCAGCGCCGCAGTAGCAAGAGCACTGGTCCCAACGAATCTAGTGGTATGGATGTTGACAGCCCCGAGAATTCGACGGGTTCGAATGAAGCAGCTCGCTCCACCGGGTCTTCCAGCGGGTTTACTAGTATGTCCAACCCGGGAACTTTAGGTCTTGCAAACGGTTTCGGTATGACCCAAAGACCAATGATGGGACCCGGGATGGTCGGGATGTCCACAACTCCTAGTGGTGTAATGAATTCTAGTTCTGGAAACGGTCCACAAGAATGGGAGTGGTTGACGATGAGTCTTTAAATAATTTCGGGAGTTATTAGACGTCCCTCCTGTGGTTATTTACGACACGGGCTTGGATTTTACCCAATTACGCATTCATTCAAATGAGTTTGCTTGGATCATGTGCGGAGGCTATCTGATTTCGGCTAATCGCACTCAATTATGGAGCGGGTGGCCAGTCTAATTTGTTTTGAAGACGGCTCGGCGAAATTCGCTGCGGCACGAAGAACGAGTAATTACGACATAACATACATACGGCGGCGTTAGGTTATCTTCTAACTTTGATCATTGAGCGGCCATGATTTTTTGTACGTCCCTTCACCGACACGTTCAGCGACTTTCCCGTATAGTTTCTACGATGTTGGTTTTCCGGTCGATTATGGATTTTGCACGACGGGTTATTGAATCAGGTTTTCCCCAACTTGTCTGTATGGGCCGAGGTTTTGATAGAATGGAACATACCCGGAGAAGCTTATACTATTTCTATGCCACGAATTTGTCAAGGCTACCCCTCTCCGTCTTTTGCCCGCTTCTATTTACTTCCGCGGTATCATACTTGGAACACACTCGGTACTCCGGTGCCGAGATTAATAGGCAACACAGCAGTTGCCCTCGCTCGATGTTAGGAGATTTTAAATGACGCTCCGGTGCGGAGTATTCCGCAATTGTCTATTAGTATGAGTCTTTCGAGATGGGTTTCTTGCTTGACGGGGAATAACGGTTCAGACGAACACGAGATGAATTATTGTGCTCTCTATTTCTTTTAGCTTGGTGGCCGGGTTTCGGTGGGGGATATGTAGATACGGGATTGATACCAATTGTTGTTGTTTGTAGACAGGCGTACAGGCCAAGGGCTGGCTTGTAGAGAGGTGGAGGAATCATCAGAGACAGCCGGGTTCTAACTTACCAGAGCTAGACGCAGGAGCAGGCAAGACGAGATCAACGGTCAGGGCTGCTTCCCGGCTGTGAAATTAGAGTGGTGTCGATGCGGTAATGGGAATCGTCGAGAGAGCATCCGGAACGCAACGGTTGTTTATTTAAAGCAAGACGACTCTGAGGCTTCCTAGACATAGATTCTGCCGCTCTTGGGGTTTGATACGCCTACTCGCGCGCCTAGGTAGATGTTGAGAGATGAATAATACACTACTAGTAAAGTTATACATGCACGTGTGCTTGTTCGCGGGACTTGGGCCTAGGGGTACGTGATTGATTGACTTTGTAGGAGCTTCTATGGTTAAAGACTGTGCTTTTTTGAGTTGGGATATTGACTAGGTATTACAAGGTTTGATTCTTGATGTATCACCTAAGACTGACTAGAAGAATAGACACCTAGTATAATATGAAAGTTCCTGCTATGTATATGGTCTCTAAGCTTCTATTTTCTCATCTCATACGCTTTTTGCTCACTGTCTTCTTCCAAGTTTACATACCTATTCATCTACGTCGTCTGGACGTTAAGAACTGGGCTTCAGAATACGTCATTCTCAATTAGGATGGAAGGGAAAACCAATTCTAGCTGTTCATTGGAGCGCTTTAGAATGGATTTGGCGTCTGTTATGCCGTACCGGATTGGCCGGAGAGCAGGGGGGTAATGATATTGTACGAACTCGATCGTCGCCGAATACGAGTGGGCTAGAGGGCACTATACCACTACCTACTGACTACGGTAAAAATGGCCGATGGGTTGGGGTTTACCCTGTTACGCTAGTATATTCGGGAGACTTGTATAAGATCCGTCTCTCTCGTACGAATATCATTTTATATATAGGCTTTGTAAAAGGTTAAATCGGGAAGACGTACATTTGCAAGTGGCATAGTTATTTTCAGAATATGAGATGAATGAATCCTGTTTCTCTAGATGAGATCGAAGTGAATAATAACATAGCTTTTGGGGATGAGTAATGTGGATAGATATTCATCTGAGTATGATACTCATAAACGACGACGGTATACGTTCCTTGAAGAAGTCTCTCATATCTCTTTATCTGATAGAAACAGAAGGGGTTCATTCCTAGGTACTTCTTAGATATACCCAAACCTAACGCGTCCTCATATTTATATAATATGGGAATATGTTGACCCGTCGGAGTAGATGAAGAGACAGTGGTCAGAGAAAGGTTACATGGGCCAGAATCAACATATCCTAAGCAAACTAACATCGACAAACCTACGCCATGACGAAATTTGCCAATTATAGACGTATCGAACGATTATCACTTTCACCGGCGCCAACAACATACAGAGGAAGAGGTATTCTCTGATTATTGCCACTTTTTGGGCAATAGCTGCATAAGTACAGACGAGAGACTTGCAAGTAATGACCAAGCCAGAACGATGATGCCGTGTGACTCCCTAATGAAAGATGCAAAACCATATGCATCCGTAACCACCGTACCGTCTCCCATTCAATTCTGATCGCAGTAGAGCAGGTTGTTTCTGTTGTCTGCCAGATGCCATAGAGGTGGATGTTCAGACCAATATCGAATCAGATGTGTATTCGCTTTCCAAATCCTCTCGAATAAGGCCATGGCTGCTCTCAAGGGGTGGGTGCTATATCAAGCTTATGTGCCGGGGTTGGGGTTCATCTAGGTAAACGTAAGTATTTCGCTGATGCCGAGGGTTAGAACAAATAAAGAGAACGCACCTTGCGCTTGCCACCAGTCAGAGTGACGTTGACGAATCGTCGGGTGTATGTGAGTCTCTTCTTGGCACGGCCCTTGGGGGTCTTGCTCTTCTCTTGCTTCTCAACCTATTTTAATGTATTAGTCTCGCATCGCTATGATTGCATCTATGATGTATCCATCGCGTGGAAGTATCATTTCGATGAGAAAGCGCGCGTTCGTAGTAATCGGGATGACGGAGAATGTAGTCGCTGGTAAGCCTTTCGGTCGGAGATTATCGTCAAAAAATCGAGTGGCGAACCATCCATCATCAACTATCTAGTCACCCAAGTTGCTAAACGTTCAAAATATTCGTCGCAGTCGAATAGTCCATCGTCCAGGATGAACGCGCGCTCCTTCATCGTAGGGACAGAGGTTTTGTGATAATTTCGAATAAACTAACCTTAGGGGTCTGAGACTTGACCTTGCCTGTCGCATAATCAGCATTTCATTCATCTGTTAATATCCTATCAGAATCAACATACCAGCACGGGCGAGAGATCCGTGAACTTTTCCCATCTTGTCGAACTTTGAGATGTCGTGAAAATGGCAGTGTGTTTTGGTGTCGATGAAGTTGGGAAGGGGTTGAGGAAACGATGTGGGTTGTTTTTTGCAGGTAAATGGATTTTGCTGATGAATTCGCAAGTCTCGGCGTATGAGAGTGGAGCGTGGCAGGGTTTCTAAGCAAAAAGAGTCATACCGGAGATAGCCTAGGCACTTAAAATTCGTTAATTTTTCCGCAAAAGGTTAACCAAACCCTGGTCATGTGACTTTTTCTAAATGCATATTTTGACATTAACCTTTTATTGAAGACTTTACTAAATGAAGGTGATTAGGTAAGTAAGGGTAGCTCAAGGCTCCGAGGTCAGTTTGCCCGACCGGTAAGCTTCAATGGGACCAATCTAGACTTTCAATTCAGTTCTACCCATGCAGCTGCAGCTTGCCATCTTCCGACGCTATGAATCTGTAACTAAAACAGGTCGTCATGTATCGTACATATGTACCTGCACAGCTACAGTACATTAGGAAGGTATACGTAGAAAATCTTTCAAGATATTTCTCATTTTAACTTTAACAAATATGACAAGCTGAATTATAGGTTTCCGTAGATATATCTACATATCTACCTCGTACTTGGAATCTTGAAGTCACATCGTGGATTTATTTCCACGCCATCAAGGATAGACATTCGGGTACAATATACTTATACGTAACATGGTTTCAGATGACTAAAACGGTTGAGGCAAGTCCCAGACCCGCAATTATCCTAGTCGTCCCACCTGATACATCATTCACATGGGATCGCACCTGAACTTCAGACCGGTGACCGGCCTCCTTCCCGTTTGCTGAAGCTTCAACAGACCGCTAAACGCCATCTATCAAATAGTATTAGGGTTTAATAAAGGGCTTCTTTCATTCTTAAACCGCGCATTTAAACTCTCAACTCTACTGTCCTTCCCATAATCACGGGCTTTACCTAACCCTTGCAGCTATCCGTTCGGTACTACATCCACTGCCGCAATGAGGTTCCTCAGCAGCCTATCGTTTATCTCTTTAGCTGCCTGTTCCCATGTGGCTGAACCAGCTTCAGATCAGCAATATGTATTCAACAACCCTCCGGCTTCGGAATCTAGCTACAAGATTCCTACCTCTTATGAATCCGCAGTGCTCGGTCGCCGCATCTTAGCCCTTACTCCACTTGGAACTCTTTCTACCGTCTTCCCGGACTCCTCCGGACCCCGCCAACCAGATGGCCTCGGAGGTATGCCTCTCGGGTTGATGGAGTACGTAGCCGATTGTGAGGAGGACGGAAACCCATCCTTCCTAGCCATCAAGATCGGCACAAGTTTCAAGAACGTCGATGCAGGCTCGAATATCAGCCTGGCTCAAGAGTGGACGCCCCCGTACCCACCCGACAAGCGCATTAAGTCAACCTGGTCCAATTGGTTCTTCGGAAGCGATGATGATTCCAAAGACCGAGTTCCCTACAGCGCGGTTAACCTTCCTCGATACAGCCTGCTGGGCTATATCGAGAAAGTCGACGAGGCATCTGTCAAGGCTATGACATCGTGCTATGTAGATACTCACCCCGACTCGAAGTACTGGCTGCCCGGAAATCCAATCCACGCATCCGAATTTGTGAGACTTGTTGTTACCCAGGTCTACTGGATCGGCGGCTTTGGCGACAGAGCCTACATCGGCTGGATTCCCGTCGACGAATGGAAGAACGTCACCAGGAAGGAATGGGAGGCCGTGAGACTGCCCGGTGAGAAGAAAGGTTGGAATGAGTGGAGCTTAGATCTCTAAGCATTGGATGGAATTAGCGTAGCGGGTATTAGCTGAGGCCTACTACTTCGGAGGTCGTACTTTGAGAAATTGTTAGGAAATATTGTATGTTGGATGTTTAACGATATCTACGTATCACATGTTTGTACATTCATCTCCGTTCTTTAGCTTGTGATAGCGGCTGACTACATAACATTGAGAGTTACATGAGTTATGTATCTGTAGCATAAAGAAACTAGCTTTAATGAATTTATTTCATTTATATGGTAATTTTTAAAAACATTTTTTTAATGAAGAACAACAGTTTCCCATCTCGGATTACAATCTTTCCACTTAGATAACGTTACAGTCCCTACGGCGACCCTCCTAGCGACGAACGGCTTACAGGGCAGCCTTTGGACTAGCATGACATTGAGGAGCCACATCTTATCCCAATAGCCGAAGAAAGCGTAATTGTTCCTCATCGAGTATTTCACCAGTCCTCCAGATACCACGATGACGTCGAAGAGCTTCTTGTTGCCTTCAGCACTACGATGTGCCTCGACCCAGTCAAAGTCCAATTCGCTCAAGATTCCTACATGCTCACCCGATATATTACTAAGAGAGGCGTTGAACACCTGATATTTTTCAGGTATGCCATCTTTATAATACATATGGTCTATTCCTAAAGAAGCGACGGTGGTGTTGAAAATAAGTGCACCGGGAAACATGGCCGCGATCCTGCAAGCATCCGGATCCAGGGTCTGGTGTTCGACGGCCCGCCACGGATTTTGCGGACAATCTCTCCAATCTCTATTAGTCCTCCATTCGCCGGGAATACGCCTGCCGGAGAGCGCAGGTAAGTCTTCTCGCCTCGAGAGGTCTTCGATCGAGATTTCATCCTCCATCCACCTTTCTTCGACGTCGAGTCTCCGTAACCCTTGGCCTGGGTCCTGATAATAGAAATAAACTAGACTTGCTAGTTTAAAGAAGTACCTGTCATAGTCAACATAGCGCCAATCGTAGAGAACGGGGCTCAAGCATGAGGCCCAGCTCCAGCTAGGTATCTCGTATGTCTCGCCTCGAGGATATGCCACACCCGACGTAGACCACAGAAGACACTGAGCAAGATATTTTTCAGGAATACCATAGAGCATTCGTGAGCTCAAGGCCGCACCGAGCGCATTTCCAACTCCGATAAATGCGTTTAATATGTCTGTCCCAAACGACAATTGTCGAGTGGTGTAATCCTTCACCCAAAAGCAATAATCTCGTATTGAGGATGTTTCCTTGATAGCGTAGGAATTACCGCTGTATTGGCTCTTGGTATAAAAGCCAAGCACCTCATCGATTTGCTGGGAACCAGACGTCTCTTCATCTTCAAAAGAAGAATCGCCTCTTGTTACCGAATCTTGTCCTGCAATCGGTTCATAAGCAGTCTGATTGCCCCATGTAAGTAGTTCAGTAGCCTGTCCCTTGCAACACTCGTAAATAACTTGGTATTCAGTGATAAAAAGACGCCTTTTGGATAGTAATCTCTCCTGAAAAGTCCAGGCTCTTTTATTCCAAAGGGACGTGCCAACAGAACCATCAATAATATGTTGAACTGTAATCCCCTGCGCTTCAACCTCTGCATCGTGAGGTGGGGCCCAGGCTGAAGAACGCGGATGCCGGGGCCGGTTGGTGAACCCCGGTAACCCCAGGCCAGTACGTGTGTTGAGAGCTGCAACAATTGTGAAATTTGCTAATGAGTAAATCCTGTCCATCGCGTTAATCTGAATCGGCTTGTTAACTGAATCGTCTTGAACAATGCAAAGACGATCAACCCATAAAAATCTCTCGCCTAGGTCTCGACATAGAGCAATCGCATCAGCGATTACGCCAGGAATTGAGAGCGCTCTTATGCTGTCCTTCACCTCAAGCCCTTCAACGTTAGACTCTTCCAATTGGATATCATTACCCGATTCTCCTGACCACATATAACTCAACGCGACGTACCGAACGAAACCGTTGGGTTGCAGGATCTTCATATCATGCGTATCGATGACTCGGAAGCCGACAGGAAGGGTAGCTGACATGCTTTAGTTACCGGATTCGTCTCCATTAAGAATACTTCGTGTAACCCACCATTTTTATTATTTTGATCGACACACTGCTTCCCGTGATACTCGTCACAATGTCTCAGCCAGTCTCTCAGAACTTGGATATTAAAGAACGGTATTTCCCACTCGTTGATGTCGCACAACACAGGAGTCGCCTCGTTCGAGTATTTCATCACGAATTGCGGAGTGGCAGTAAACTGCGTCGGCGCACCAGAAACCTCTTTCATGGCTACATTAACTTGGCCGACACGATAGGTAAAACTTGGTTCCTCTTTGTTTTCCTCCGAGCTCTCTAAAGGTAGAGTTGACACTTCGATTTTTAGAAACATCCTAATGGCGATGTAATTTGGGTCCGAGATGTCAGGCCCACGAGGTAAGAGTTTACCAGCATTGGAAATTCCCTTGTCTAGGTAGAAGGGGCCTGTGATACAGACGACGATCCGCCGGGCAGGCCATGATTGAAGCACAGGAATGACTTGGCTGCGCATATAATATACATTGAGGATGGAAGTGCAGATAGCACAATAGGGTTGCTGAGCTAGCTGCTCGATGCTAACGTACTCTTTGATTGTAGTAGATTTATCACCCGCCTGATTAATGATGTCTCCGTAAGTCATATTGTGGATGTTGATTTTGCCCCATTCTTGACATCTCTGGCAAAGAGACAGAGGTCCGGATTTTGAAGACATGTCATTTTCGAGAATTATCGTCTGCCTGCGGCTCTTTCTCGACGCGCTAGGATGGGATCTGAAGACTTTTTTAAACTTTGAAATCATTAGATGAATTGTTAAAAATCTTATAGATCCTAGAAACGGGTTGTTTAAAAGATTTGAATAGGTCAGGTGATAATATCCTAGAGATTACTTGGCGCGGTAGTGATATACTATAACTACCTACCTAACTATCAAGACAATGTTCTGATATGTAGAAGCCACTCATATTTATCAGTCGTCCAACTGGAAGATTAGCAGAGTAAAAATGTAGAAAATGAGTCATTTTCCAAAATTCACGTATTATCTACCGCAGCAATGCGGCTGAGTGAGGGCTGAAATCTTTGGCCAAGCTCTGACACCAGTCTAATGAAGAATAATACATCGCTGCTGCTGCGCTGACGTAACTAGAAACAAGCTACAACGGGATGGCTACAGCGGGATGCGTGCGGGGCTATGAACTGCGGTACCGAGACTGCACTGAGAGTAAGTGTAACCTTGGAACCTTCTATATTCCTTAGGTACCTAATGTTCTATACAATCCAACTTCATTCCCTCTCACCAAGAAGCGTAATTTTCAAGTTACTATCTAGGATACGGGCTCATATCTATCTGCCATAAACATTCATTATGAACAAAGACCCAGGCCTCTCAGACGAGGCACTACCTGCGCTTCCCTTACCTGAGGGTATCACCTCGGACTTCATCGACTGTTCCTCATCATGCGGACTCGACTTCCACGTCCTCAAAGCCGGTGAACCTGGAAACCCTCTCATACTCTTCTGTCACGGATTTCCCGAGCTCGCATACTCATGGCGCAAAATACTCCCCAAGATCGCCGCGGCCGGGTACTACTGCGTGGCGCCGGACCAGCGCGGATACGGTCGCACACTAGGCTGGCCACATCACCAGCCCTTCGGCGAGGTCGAGCTCAACGACTTCACTATGACGAACCTAGTCCGCGATCTCGTGTGTCTAGTCTACGGACTAGGATACACTACCGTAAGCAGCATCATCGGCCACGACTTCGGCGCCGTGAGCTCGGCCATGGCCGCGCTAATGCGCCCCGATATGTTTCGTTCCACGGTCCAGATGAGCCACCCACATCACCCACCACCACATCCCACCGCGCCGAAGAAGATCGACATTCAGGCCGAGCTCGCGAAGCTGGACCCGCCGCGGAAACACTACAAGTGGTACAACTCCAGCTCCCATGCCGCGCAAGACTGGGATAACCCACCACAAGGCCTGGAGAAGTTTCTCCGCGGATACTTCCACCTCAAGTCCGCGGACTGGGATAAGAACGACCCGCGGCCACTGAAGAAATGGGATGCGAAGGAGCTGGAGGTCATGCCGGAGTACTATATCATGCGAGACGAACATTCTATGCCGGGGACCGTGTTTTCGAATATGAGGGACGAGGATCTTTCAAAGACGGAGCGGTGGCTTTCGAAAGAGGATCTTCGGGTTTATTGCGACGAGTGGGCGCGCACGGGGTTCCAGGGCGCGTTGAATTGGTACCGCGCCCAAACGGCGTCGACGCCGCAGTCGGCTAGGGATATGTTACTGTTCGCAGGTAGAAAGATAGAGGTGCCGTGTGCTTTTATTAGCGGAGAGAAGGACTGGGGTAATTATCAACAACCGGGTGCTCTGGAAGCCTACACGGATCCGAGTTCTGTCAAGACGTTCTACTTCAGAGGTGCGAGGTTTATAGAGGGGGCCGGACATTGGGTACAGCAAGAACAGCCGGATGCTGTGATTAAAGAGATTTTAGCGTTTTTAGGTACTCTATGATATTTTCGGGAGGTGGTTGGCGGATGTGGTGATGATGGGCATATCCGCGTTTGTCTGTTCAGCCACTATCGATATACCTGCACTTGTCTCTGTAGGCTTCTTCATACGGGTATTATAATACACGAACACACTTCTTAAGCGATAAGATGGAATATGTATTAAATAGAAAATAGATAAAAGAGTAAAAGAATAAAAAACATCACCGCACCCCGGACTCGAACCGGGAATCTTCGGCTTTCATTGCATAGGCAATTAGGAGGCCGACGAGTTAACCATTTCTCTAGTACGGCTGATTCTTGCAGCTTCCGGTCAACAATGAATGAACAGTTTGTTATTAATACTTATTAAGAGAAAGTACGTATGTACGGCGTTTCTACGGTTCTATGGTACTTCTAGAGCTACTTACCTGTAACAAGGCGGATGACGTCTATGCCTTGCAAGCCTTATCGTGTTTCGTTTGCAGAATGGCAGGTGCGTCAATCGATATAAAATTTCCTAGGCAGCTACGCCACGGCTACCTGTCTGCCTAGGTAGGTACCTATAGTATCTAGCTGCCATCTGCACCTTCCCGTTCCACCAATGCCTGCCCTCCTTTTTGCTTCAGCTTGAGTCTCAGTCGCTCGGCTTGATACATAGGTACCTCTGAGTCACAGGTAAGCAAACAATATTTATCGTTTATTAGATGTTGTGGCTATGTTGATATCCATTTTCGCGCTCATCTGGTTGTGATCACGTTTATGATGTACCTACTTACTACTTAGTACCTTGGGATGGCACTCGAGTCAACGGTATTATCAGACCATCGTATATTATAGCCTCTCATACTAATTCAAATGCTCCAATAATACAGTTAGTAAAGAGGGAAAGATGTCTTAGTATCACAAGGGAAGTTTCAAGGTCATGTTTCAACACATCCCCTTAAGCTGACTCTAAGTGTGGCCTTAGATACACTTCATACCGTACATACATGCTTAAGGCGATAAATATATCCCATAATTCATGTAGTCAAAATGCTCTAGACTTTCAAGTTTAATCATTCCAGCCCCTCCGGTTAACATCTCCTTCTCGTTTGCTTGACATTCGGCCCCCACATCTGGGTGTGGTACCCAAATAACCCTCATGCCTGCCCGCCTTGCCGCTTCTACCCCTACCAAGCTATCTTCAAAGACTAAACACTCATTAGGTTTGATTTCGTTCTCATTGGGGTCCGCTGTCGAGTTCAAAGACTGTAAGGCGACCAAATAAATATCAGGCGCAGGCTTCCCTCGACCCTTTACCCGTGGGTCATCACCCAGGATGCGCCTTTCAGACCGGAAGAAACTAAGTAGTCGTTTTGTTTCCGGACGTGATGTTTTCAGTTCGTAAGAATTTGTCTTGGTGCCAGATGCTAAAGCCAGCTCAATTCTATCCCCAGAAGCGTTACATGCGTTACTGAGATCCTCCAAAAGCTTCTCGGCACCGGGAAGAGGCTCACACTTGGGGAAATCTAGTCGCATTTGCTCTGATGACTCACGAGCGAATTGCTCGCGGGAGATAGGCAGCTTAGCCCAATTATGGAACAAGTCCCCATTTGTCGAGTTAGGAACACCCATGAGCTGAGCTCGAATGGACTGTGTAAAAGGGGGTCTCTGGTATTTCTCAAGAAGTTGGTTTATGGATAAAGTGATCACGTCTTCAGAGTTGATGAGGAGACCGTCCATGTCGAATATGCGCGGATTGGAGGAGATCCGGGAGATGTCTTCGTAGCCATATGATCTCCAATGATGACAATCGGAAGAGAATAAATAAAATAGAATATTAGTTACAGCTTAGATCTCAGACCATATAGGTATTCAGCATCTTAGAATTATTTATGAGAAAGATTCGATGATCCGATTAGATACCTTAATAGGGAGGATAATAAGGATGACCCCTCATGGTCCACTTCATATGCCCCTATCTAGGCCCACAATAACATTCCGGAGACTCAATATTGATACAATCCAAATTATGAGCATTTTAATGTTAAATATCTAACAATAAGTGAGGGAAAGAGCTTATGGATGAATTGTAAGGTTGGTTTCTACTAATTTTCAAGTATACTAGGTAGTCTTACTAGAAGTGTGAATGTCACTGGAGCCGATACTGACAACTTCAGTGTTCCCCCTTCAACGCTATTTTTCGACTTACCACAACTAACTTCTTCGACGTTCCTTCCTGACAGATATTTTCCCTTTTATATTCACAAAAGTACGAGCCCATAAGCAGTTAGTCCTTTGATCCACAATATTTTGATGTTTTGAACTCATTATTGTCAACATTTGCTATGTTAATTTTAGTCGTTGTAGAGTCAAATCTCAGACAACACAGTTCTTACAGTGTTAGCAGATTAAGCGGCTCAAACTATAATATTGCCTTTGCCGTAACACTGTATTAGTTTAGTAAGTTATAATTGACGACGGAGACACTAAAGCATATTGTTGTATGTAAAACTACCTCTATACTCCCCGTCACTCTGACAGCACTGTTATTTATTCTATTCTCAACGATAGAAGATTCCGGAGTCGAAATTCATTTTCATGCTCAGACCCGCATACCATTTATTACCTGCTCGGGTACCAATTCAAGTCAAACCTAATCCTTACATCTCCAGGGCGACTTTTTTTGCCTCACGAGCGTGGGCACTATAGTAGTAGGGGAGGGTAAACATACGAGTTTTCATTCAACTTATTCCTTATCTACTACACACCTTTCTTCCTCATCCAACAAATATATCATAGGAATTACGTGGTTCAGCCAATATCCATATCAAGGTAGGTTTATATCTCGTAATTTATAAGCCTACTACACAAGAAAAAAAAGAGAGAGAGAGAATAACATTACTTACAGATCGCGTTTCCCAACGCTGGTCTTTTCTAGACAATCTTCCAAGAGATCATCTAGCAAGGCCTCTCAATCGCCAGGTTACAAACTCTCATACTTTTGACAATCCATCAATCTCGTCAATCTTAACGGCAGGAACATCCGACTTCCTTCCACTTACCCGCGTTCTAGACAGGAAACCTTGATCAAGGGCAATCTCTCAATTACATGAATTATTGTGATTATGTCTCAAAAACGCGATTCCGCCGTGGTCCTCGATCACCCTGCTGATCAGGTGGAGGATGCAGACATGGATGATTCTCAACAAAAGGTGAGCTATACATTTAACTGAACTGCATTACATTTACTAATGGCGAATTGAGATCCCTCATAAATCCATCGGTCTCATTCTGGGTTCTGAGATTACGTACGAGAAGTCTGTGAGGATTCGTCGCGCCGGCCGAGATGGCGAGGTTCTACTAGTCCGCCTTCCCGAGTCTCTCAACGATGATTGTAACATTGCCAACCCACCTTTCAAGTCCATGCACTGGGTGGTATTCAACGAGACTTCCTTTAGAAACACCTACCGATCGGACATCTCGGCTCTCAAGGTGATCATGCTACCCCTTCAGGAGAACAAGGACATCATTCTTCGAGCTTGCAGCTACATGATAGCCAAGAAGAACCGCATGTACCTGGAGTTTCGAGGAGTGTACACCAATGGCATATTCGAGAGCAATGAGCCTTCGCGATTCGAGAGTGCTTATAAGAGTGGTGCGTTCATCAGCGAAGTAGCACGTGCAGCACTCAAGCCCCGAGGTCAGCGCCTCAAGATGATACCTGGAGACTCTAGCCTGATGTCCGGTATTCTCTTGCTCGCTAGCTTCAGTGTTTTGACTGGCGAACTTCAATTCTATCACCCGGAATCGGAAAGCTACTACAAGGGAAAGATTACCAGAAACGACATCATTCTCTGGGAATCTGAAGAGGCTCTAGACACGCTCTACGTCTGGATCATGCGCCTTAATGCCCATGCCGGAAGCTTTGGCTTGAACGCTTATCGCCCCGAGAGTGAGAAGACCAAGCGCGACGGAGACCATGCGAACATCGGACCTGCCATTAAGAAAGGACAAACCGAGATCGAGGCCAAAGATGAGGATAAACGCAAGGATGAATACGAGGATGACGACATGATGGACATTTACGACTACTAAAAAGGCTCCCCACAAGTTATCAGTCTTCTTCTTCGTCCTCAGTTTCCTTTGCCATCTTGCGGGTTTCTAAACACTGGTCAGATATAAGAGGTCATATCAGTTTTTCAGCAAGAATTCATCGATCGGTCATTCATTGACTTTGCGCCAGAAACTTTCTAAGTATCAACACATCACGAATCCCAATGTGTACTTACAAATTTCTTCAACAAATCCTGTACAAGGACGCAAAGTCACCATTGACCTAGATAGCTACACAGTATCCATACAAATGAAAAGACAATAGCTTTTCCACGTCTATTATAAATAACTCGTGAATCCCATATGATCACGTCCTAAGTACCTAGTATATATACCCTACCCATCTACCTAAGTAGCAAAATACCTAAATCCATTTCCCACCCGTAACCCATTCCCTATCATCAATCGACCCATAGGTTAACCCGTAATCCCCAAAGGCAACCTCCCGTGCGTCAACCACTCCGGCACCGGAGCCGCGCCCTCCAGCCCCCTCTTCATATTCGTCGCGATCGCCTCAGGACACTCCTCAAAAGGCTTGCAATCAGGCTGACACACGGTGCCTACAGGCGGCACCACGCCCTCCGCGAAGTACTTCCGCACATGCTCGTCGCGACACTTCCCCGGCACAAGCAGCGTCGCATGGCCCGGGTTATCCTGCACCAGAACCCCCGACCCGGGGTGTTGCTTCGCCATGTTGACCGCGTTGCGGGCGGGGGTCACGGGGTCGTACTGGCTAGTTAAGAACAGCAACGGCGCAGAAGGTTTACCCGCGACGTTAGACGGGTCGGATTCCGGTGTCGTGAAGGGTCCTTGGAACCGGTATTTCGGACGCAGACGCCACCCCGTGCATGCGAGGCGGATGCTGGCCCAGGTCGCGGCGAAGTCCGGGGATTGCGCTTTGAGCTCCGAGACGTAGGAGACGAAGTCTTTGGCGCTGACGGCGGTTTGAGGGACGGCGTCGCCGCAGCCCACGCCGTAGAGGGCGTCGGATTCCCAGGTGTAGGATGTTGGGGCCGGCGAGGGGCAGAAGTTGGAGGCTGAGGGGATGCCGAGGCTTAGGTACAGGGTGGTGAAGTTGCCGGCCATGGCGTCGGAGAGGACGCTGGCGACGGTTGGGAAGTAGAGTTGTGGTTGGTAGAGGGCTTGGAAGATTAGGTTGATTACGTCGGTGCGGGTGATTCCTTCGATGTGGCTTCCGGATACGTATTGTGCGGGCGATTCGTCGAGGGTGTCTAGTAGGGCTTCGACGCGGTGCTGGATGTTGGAGGGGCTGGTGTCGTTGGTTTGGTATAGGGAGCAGTTGCTGCCCGCGTCATAGCATGTGCTGTATAATGTTGCGAAATCCTTTTGTGTGTCTTGTAGGTTTGTGGACCAGAGCTAGAGGTGTTTATGTTAGATTATAGGTAGATGGGCGTGATGGATGGGTTAGAATGGATACTTACACCGGCGACGTAGTCAGGGGCATCCACGACACCTTCTAGGATCATGCGACCAACACGGCCGGGAAACATAGAAGCGAAAGAGTTTCCGAGGAATGTTCCATATGAGAGCCCCCAATACTGGATCCTGGCGACATCTTTCTCTTCTCGCTGGTTCACTCGTCGAAGTCCTCCACGGGATCGCAGTTTCGTGTTAGTAGTAACGTTCGTATTCCGTAACTCTTCGATCTTGTCCACGATCTCAACCATATCCCTCGCCACGCTTGCTGTGGACATGTAAGAAAGGATTTCGGAGCCAGATGCGCACAGCTTCCCGTACGAGCCGTACAGCGATTTTTGTCGCCTCACGACGTTCAGCCCGGAATCTAAGGGTCCCATAGCACGGACTTCCAGGGTGTTATAATCGCGTGAAAACTCATCATTGAAGCAGTCAGCCTTGGGCTCGGAGTAAGAAACACCGCGCGGGTCAAAGGAGAGGAATTCGTAGTGCTTAGTGTCGTCCGCAATCTTTTGCATGGTCTTGCCTGCTTGTAACAAGAAAGATACACCGGAGCCGCCTGGCCCGCCCGGGTTGGTGATGATGGTCCCGCCGAATGAGGGGTCGCTCTCGTCTACTGTAGCTGGAAGGGTGATGATAGCTATGTTGACACGAGATGTGCCATTAACCGAAGTAGAGTTGTTGAGCCAGTCGAGCGGAACTGATAATTTAGCACACTTGAATTCTTCGTAGCAAGGAGTGTACTCGAGAGAAGTAGATGGCTTTAGGGAAGTCCAATCGAAACTCGTAGCGGACGAAGCCTGTGTCTCTGCCGCCGCATATTGGCTCAAAAGCCCGGCCACGAAGCCGGGTAACACTGCGGACCTCATTTGCGATGTGATATGTTTTCAAATTAGAGCTAGAATTTGTATTATCAATCAAGCTTGAATTGTCGAGGATAATTGTAACTTGAATCTTTGAGATTGGCGATGGTATTTAATCTGAGACACAATGGATTCTGAGATTGACCTTTTTATTATAATAAATATACATCGAGATCTAAGCTACGTAGTTTGCGTCGAAGCTATAGCTCATGACCACATCACGCATGCATCGTGCCAAGCGAACGCAACATCAACCATAGTCGGATGGCTGTGCTACTAGGCCTACATTAGAATTGATCCTTCTCGCTGGAATTTCCTCAAGAACATTAGACGAAGGAATGATTGCAATGTCGATCTTCAGCTCAGTTCAGCTGAGCCATGGCTAGGCAGAATTAGAGCACATGGAGAATGAACGTATCAGAACGAAGTATGATGGATCTGTCGTTTAGGCACCCATGAGATTTATAACGGATATTAAAGTCGGACGGTATCATTATCTATTTATAAAGGTAACGAGAATGTCGTGTGAACCAATTAGAACGACGGTTTACAAGATATGATTTCCTAATTCGGTAGGAAATGGTCCCACTTAGACTTAGACGCATAGACGCTACGTACATATAGGGCTATACTACAGTATCCATTGTTTATGGGGCTTGTAAGGCTTAGTTTTGTTTTTACTGAGCTTGGTTATTAGTCCTAGAGCTTGGCAACTGGAGAACGTACATCTTTGAGGCTCATATTGTCCGTCCAGCTGCTAGCTTTATCCTATTTATGCACTCATTCTGCGAAATTGTGATTAGCACGTTTGCTAGCAGTCTTGAACTTTCACTCTATTGGCTCTTTTGGGAATGATCTTAGTCACGTAAACAAATAGTGCCCGACTACCTAGTAATATGTACGCTGTGCTACTATGTAGGTAATAGCAAGTCGATGAAGCAGCATCATCCCAAAACTGGTTCACTTGATAATTTTATTGACCTGAATGTTGACAATTAGGATTCAAGTAGATACTTACTGGGTGGTTGAAAAGACATACCGCAGATACTGTAGGACTTTGAAAGTTAAGATTAAAGTGTTAATTTCACCGAGGGCATATTCCTAAGGTTAGAAGTGATTTACGCTTTACGGTAGGCCTAGACGTTATCTTTACTCGTTACATGAGCACACGGCTCTAGGTAAAACCAGTAGTAACCTTTCTATATTCCGATTTCCACATTATCATCTATTCGAACATCCATCTTATCTTACAGTTTTTACAATTCTTTCTTCTCCGTCCTGCCTTTCTTTGCTGCCTTCACCGACCCGGGCGGTGATTTCAGCCCGGCAAAGACCAATAACGTAACACCCAAAATACCCGCCGCACCTGCACCATACGCAACCTCTCTTCCAGCCCACCAGTACACGCTGGTAAACAGAATTGGCCCTAATCCTCGACCTAGCTGGCCCCAGCTCCGAAGAATACCCAACTTACCACCACGTTCGCCCTCGCTAGCTTCAAAACTACTGAGTGTGTTTAGACCGCTGACGACTGTGGCTGAGGTAGTAGCTAGGCAGGTGGCGGCAAGGTATAGCGAGCCGATGGAGCCGATGCGCCCGAGCATTGCAAAAGCAAGTAAACATGCGCTGACACCAATTCGCACGGTGAGGAGAGGAGGTAAGCGACGGGTGACTCCGCCCTGAAGGATCGAGGCAATTAGACCCACATAGCCTAGTAGCCGTCCGTTTTGGGCCGAGTTATACTGGAAAAGGTCGTATGTCATGAACGGCAGGGAAAATTCCATTCCCGAGAAGAAGAGCAAAAAGCTGAAGTGTACCAGATTTAATAAGAAGTGAGAGTTAGTACGCGTCACTGCAGCAGGCTTCGTGGTCGCTTTCGCTGTTTTATTTCCCTGCTTGTTTGGTAGCGTCTCGGGTAGCGAGATGTACAAGTAGATCGTCTCGATAACGATCAGGGTTAGGGAGACACCGGCAGCTGTTGCAAAGGGATTTGCGGCCACTGTCGCAATGGAGCTCAGGTATGCGCCGAGGGCTGGACCGAAGGTAAAGGCGATGGAGAAGCAGGCGCCTATTAACGCCATAGTCGAGCCGCGGTTGTTTTCGTCCGAAATGTCGGTCGCAATGGCTGTCGCGAGCTGAACATTACCCTCTGATAACCCGCCGACAATGCGCGATGCGAGGAAGGTCCTGAAATCAACAGCCATCACCCAGAGAAGGACAGATATTATGTTTCCTGCCATACTGGAAAGAAGCGCCGTTCTTCTACCATATTTATCGGATAATTGCCCGATGACAGGGGATGCAATGGCCTGAAGCAGAGAGAACAAGCTCCCTAGGGCTCCCCCTAACAGGACAATATCATATCTCGAATCGATTGGTTTTGCGAAAGCAGATTTGTAGGTATTTAGACCGTCGAGGATTCGCGCAAGTAGTGTCGACTGTGAGTCTGAGCCGGCCTCACTATTTCGGTAGAACTCGAGGAGTTTTGGGAAGAGAGGAAGAATAAATGTGAAAGAGATCTATGAATAGTAATAGTTAGCTCTAAGATACATATAATTAATATCTAGACTCCGGGAATCTATCATACCAAATCCAAAAGTAATGACACGAAGATGACCTTGAGCACCCTCTTGCGAGTGCTTAGATCGACAGTTGACATTTCGAATTATGCAGCTATATGAATTATGAAGTCGTCGCAACAGGCCAGCCTATCGGTACGAGTAGAAGATAACGAGCGGGAAAGGTTGAAGAAGAGTTAAAATAAGTAGAAGTAAGAAGAAATTGCAAAGCCACGCACCGGAGACGACGGCGTTTTTTCGTAGAATTGTTTCGTTTTGTTTCGTTGTTTCAATGTTAGAAAACGAAACGAAAGGAAGCGAATTAGATACAGGGGCTACGTATCCTCAACAGGGATATGCAGGGATCCGACCGTTCAAGCTCTAAGCGACCCACACTAATCGGGTAGGGGGATGCGTCTCCACATTATATGGTAGCTGACTAATAACCCTATCCGAAAACTTGTACCGTACCTGCCTAGCATGCTGTAATTACCTAGTACTCTGTAATAATTGCGCTGACATTCTCAGCTAAGGTTAAGCCTCAATTCTACAATCCTACAACATCCATCTCGTCGCCCCACACGATTCATCCATTACCTTAACGAATACCTACACCGAGAACGTACCCCGAATTTGAACTATAGCGATCGAATTGGAAGCAACCCGTTTTCTGAATAGCCGGTCCGAGCTCAGCAAAATGATAACGGAAAGGCGACCTGCTTGGTAGATGTTCCTGACTCTCTACGCCGTCATTGTGCCGCTGTACTTTTGTACAAATATGGGAATCGTCGAAGTTTCCAAACAAACCATTTGTCGGGTGCGACAATCTATCTGTGGCGGCAGCTCTCTTCCGGGGAATCCTGGTAAACGAAGACTTACTGGGGGAAATATGTATGATTCTATCAGAGGCCGCGCGTCACAATTGAAAGTCTCAATCAGCGACAACATAGACATCGCTATATTGGATAGCGAATAGTCATGTTGAGAAAAGAATTTTATAATTACCAGGAGACAACTTCACAAACCTCAGGCGTTTTTGAAACAATATTCATAAATAAAGTACCATGGTAATATGAGAAGGGGGAAGACCGTCGATAAAGGTACGGTGGTTGCTTAATCGACTCGAAAGTTTTTCCGTGTATGAATATACGCAGGCGCCAAAAATAATATCATAAGAGTCGCATATCGACAGAGTGAGGTTGAAAGACATCAACCTATGAGACTATCACAAAGTCTGCAACAGGTGCTGTCTGTTTCCCGATGACTGATCGCCAATTCTTTGCGGGGAGGGACAGCCATTCTTATAATCCGGGTCCGCCCTAGGACCTTTTATACCCCGCGTCCAGGGCACAAGATGCCAATGTTTCTAATTACCAATTACGAGCAGTCCCGTTCGAAGTCTCGTATTCACCCAATCACCTGCACGGATATCCGGTTTCTGGTGAAAGACGTCCACTGCTACGTTTCAATCCCGATGCTTACTAGGATGCTTCGTCGGACTGCATACTTGCGTATTACCCGATAATTGGAACTAGTATCTATGTCTAGACCGCGGATGCGCCGGCGTCTATCATTCGGCTACACAATGACGTATGCTTTCTGACAAAAGTATCCAGTCTGTTTCGATCGCCGTCTCTAGTTCAATGTGCTTAGAGAGGACTAAGAAGCTAGGGCTTAGGTGGGATGATGAGTAGACGACAATGAGCTCAACACATATCAAGGGATTTGCGTTCTGCTTAGGCTTGAAGAATGATACCGCGGTAACGATATACAAACAAGTCCCAATAAGCCGCATGCCCAATCAGACATGAATCGCAACGAGAGCAGCCATGTGGCATATGTTGCGGGGACGGATCATTCCGACCTAATTAAGAGCACATATTCAAATGATTCGATTAACGTATTCGATCTTCTGTTGAGAAGGATGAGAATAGGCTATTACGGCCGTCGGGCAGCTGCGATGGCATCGTTGTTGGCGTTATTGTTTTCGGTGATGAAGTTTGCTAACGGACGAGTACATGCTCCCGCACGTATTGCGGTTAGGTAATACCAACACCGAGCCGCAAGTAAGGGCTGATGCTGGATCTCCATCGGAAAACCACTCGCGGTTGCACACGATCCTCTCAGCCCCAGCCCTAGACCATGCATCCAACAAATATGCGATAGTCGTCCTACGATTGGACGGAACGATTAGGAGATTTCTATTTGTCAGGTAGGTAAGCAAAGTAAACAATGTCTCATTCTAACGCTAGGTATATGCAAAGATGTCTACGGTCTAGGTACCTTTTACCCAAACAGCTACTGGGTTGGTACGTTCCCTCGACTTTCCCTTGAGATAATGCAGATTTACACCTTTACACTTCGATATCTCAGATGTATGGCGGTAAACACAACCTAAAGTTCAGTATCTGGACAATCGACAACCTATCTGGGCATGCTTCTAGAATCTGGAATTAACGAGCCCTTTCAAACTCCTCATTCTACGGATACGGAATATTCAACTGCCGCTAGCGCGCTCCAAACGCACGGGACTTGCCCACGCTGCAGGACCGGAAAGGCTGGGCGTCCCTTTATTGCTATAAATGGCATCCATCCGAGTCAATCGAGCGAGTCACAAGCTCCGGACCCCAGTGAACATAAAGCCGCAGCACCAAATACGAATGAGATCGGCAGTCATAAATCTCCACATAAATCTCCAAGAACGCAAACACGAGAAACGATAACTGCACATTTTATTGACCTACCATCATAAGTCTCTATGGCCTGTCTTATGCATTAGCTAGTATCCCATTAGCAGTTAACCGACTCGCTCTGGTTAGTCTTTGTATCAGTTACTATGCTTGCCGGATGGCATGCCCTCACCTCACCATCTTATTGTTAACGAACATGGATCAGCCGCGCTATTGGTCTAGGTATGTACCTTAAACTAACCTGTCAGTTAGATACATGTTGCCATTCGAATATCAGGTAATTGGCTGGGTTCCACCAAAGCTGCAGCATGCCACCACGTATGATGGCTCTTTCAACCGCAGGTAACGTATCGTAGACACTACTCTGCGCAGCATTCATAGCGGATACCGTAGTATACGAGACAACACTGGACAAAGAAACATATACGAAGTCTCTGGTTTAGGTAAATAGGCAATTAGATAGATATATAAACACTTCATCCGCTCGTCTACTAATTGTCTTTTCACGATCATCCTCATCAGCATCTACAAGTCTAATACTAATACCTCCTAATCAACTCTTACTATCACTTACCACCACATCTTCTCACACCCAATCTCCAAACTCAACACTCCCAGCCAAAATGCAGTTCTCCAAGCTCGCTCAACTCCTCTCCTTCGTCGCCGCCTCGTCGGCCATCTCAGTCTCTTACGACACTGGCTACGATGACCGATCCCGATCTCTGACTGCCGTCTCTTGCTCCGACGGCACCAACGGTCTCATCACCCGCTACGGATGGCAAACCCAGGGCAACATCCCAAGCGCTTACATTGGCGGCGCTGACACCATTGCCGGCTGGAACTCTCCTAACGTATGCATCCTACCCCTAATTCTTATATAATATGTATGTATATACTAACAGTGGTATAGTGCGGCGCTTGCTACCAGCTGACCTACAACGGCAAGAGCATCAACGTCCTGGCTATTGACCACTCCGCCGGTGGCTTCAACATCGCTCTCGATGCCATGAATGCTCTAACCAACGGCCAGGCCGTCGCTCTCGGCCGCGTCGAGGCTACCTCCACCCAGGTCGCTGCCAGCGCCTGCGGCATCTAAACACCTTTGATACCCATCCACCATCTCTTCTCTTCTCTCATCTTACTACTCACCTATTCATTTAAATCATCAAACAAGCGAGACGGTTTCACGGACTCGGCTTTCGGGAGCGGCGGTGATCGGCATGGGAAGCGGCGGTTGCGGCGGCGGCGGAGATATATTATACCACCTACTGATTTACCTACCTACTTAATGTTCATTCCTTAATCTATCTACCTACCAGCCTCTTCCAGCTTACATGGCATCATCTCCATCATCAGCATCATCAGCAACACCATCATTGGGTCGGCGCAGGCTTCTCAACTGTTTATTCGAAGGTCAAAAACAGGCAGCATTCCTTAGGAGTTTAGACCACTTTCCCCCCCCTTCATAGCAATACCTATCTAGGCACCTACAATACAAATTTCAGGTTCACACCAATAAACAATGACATGATCCCATCTCGTAGACTTTAAAAATAGGTGTGACGGAAATATTATTATGGCTGAGCTGTCTAACCACGATCCTAATGATCGTCATATCTTTTCTCACTCTCACTCTCACTCCTCACTCTTTCACTCTCGAAAACCTCCCCAGAAACGACGTAAATCGTTGCGGAGAAACAAGGACCTCATATAATATATCTCCCTCTACTCCTCCTTCCCCCCTCCCTCCTTCGTGAGCGAAAACGAGTGAAAAATATCAAACCTCCCCCATCTCCGTTAAGCCGGCTATGCAAAACAACAAAGGAAATAAAACGAAATAGTTTTTTATGATTATCAATTTTCTCGAATCATTTCTGAGACCATTGCCAATCTGAATTATCAAACGAGTGTATGTGTGCATGTGCAGCTTTCATTATGTTGTACCGCAAAAGGTAGGTAATAAGAAGGACAAAGGTTTTTGGGGTATCAATCTAGACGTTGTGGCAACAGGGAAAGGCAAATGGTATAAAAGGCAAACACGCAGTAGCAGTATATAATCGTCAACTTTTCCTCCAAATGCCTTGCCAATTTCCGTGACAAGTGTATTATTGTCACCCAAAGAAAGTAAAAGACGTAGGAGTAGCTTGCTCCCAGTCCATGTTGTAATTTCTAAATCCCTCCTCAATCATCGAAAAAAGAGGCATCATCAAAATCCTCGACACGCGCGTCCGAGTCGTATGCGCCGGATCGCATCATGGGAGGAGTCACAGGTTGACGGCGTTCTTGCTGTCGGGGCGGAGTGCTCACGCTAGGCATCTTCTCCGCTTGTCGGGAAGTCGCCGAAGGGACCCGAGATCGATTGGCAAACTGCTCAGCAGTATAACGACGACCGGTATTGCCGAACGCGGTTGGCTGCGGTTGGCTTGGCTGCACCGGCGGCGTGTTTCTAACTCCGGAAGCCGGTGGAGTCATAAGACCAGAGAGGTAACTACTTTGAGAAGAGGTGCCCGTTTTCGACGGGGTTGAATTTCTTGTCGGCGCGGGCGATGATGATAAAACGCTGGAGAGGCTGGTAAGCGTGGGCTGGTTCGATTTTCGCCAGCTGCCCCAAGCAGCAGCAAGTGGCCCAACCGCTTGTGCCACTCGGGGGGTTGCAGCTCCTCGGATTGTCGCAGCGATGTTTGGTAAGTTGATGGCCGAACCGCCATTCATGGCACGCTCTCGCTCCTGCTCCTCCATTTGGAGGTTAGCTTTCAGACGAATAGCTGCATCTTTGACTGCCTCTCTGTCTAGGCGCTCCATCGACAACGCAGTGATAATATCCTGGAGGTCCCCATGCCTTACAGCCAGGAGTTCCCGTAACCAAGTAATTTCGTCATCTCGTTTGGAAATCTTGTTGGCCGAGTCAGGGTCAAGCTTGGAGACAGTTTGTTCGAGTTCTTCAATCCGTTGCTCACGGGCTTGCAACTGCTCCTGCAGGACCATGATGGACTCGCGAAGTGCTTGCGGCGATACCTTCTCAGGAAGCTGCATTGCCTCTGCAAGCTGCTTCGTTTGTGCAACAGGAGCTGGCTGGTATGGCGTAGAAATCATAACGGACTTGGAAGCTTGTGATGCTGCTTGAGCTGCTGCCTTGGCGGCCTCTTGTGCAATCTGCACCTTGTCCTCTAAATGAGCAACACGGTCCTGCAAATGCTCCGTTTTGGACGTTGACAGGCTGAGCCGCTCCAAGAGGTTCTGCTCTGTGCGCTGTGCATCCTCGGCAGCATTGTTGATCTGCCGTTCGTACCGAGCCTGAAGGTCTTCGACCTCGTTCTGATGCTTACGTGTCAACTCGTTAAGCTCGAGACGTCTCTTATTCTCGGCTTCTTCGAGCTCAGTCTGCTTCGTAGTTTGGGCTTCCTCAAGCATCATCTCATGATGTGCCTTCGCGGTATCCGCATCCATCTTCACCTGATCCAACTGAGTTCTGAGCTTGTTGGTCTCTTCCTCAAGTTCTTCGCGAACGACGTTGACTTGGTTATTGGCAGCCTCTAGTTCGGATTGCATAGAGGTTTGTGTGCGCTGGACTTCATCTGCAGCGGAGTGTCTTGCCTCCTGTATCTCTCGTTGATAGCGGAGAGCGTTTTGTTGCAGATCATGATTCTCATCTCTAAGCTCAGATAACAGAGACTCGAGTCGCCTGCATTCGCCAACGGCTCGCATGCCCGCGCGCTCACCATTCTCCAACCGCTCAATTTCAGCTTCGAGGCGTTCACGAGTCCGTGCTTCAGCTTGAAGTCTGGCATCAAGTACTTCCTGGCGCGCGAGGAGCGCTTGCTCCTTCTTCGTGCGTCGAGCGTTCTCTTCCGTGATCTCACGAGCAGCATGAGCCATATCATCTTGAAGAGACACAAATTTACCTCGCCAGTTGTCCCGAATTCGCTCATTTTCTTCAAGCTGGACGCCAAGAGTGTCGATAAGTTTGTGAAGATGCTTGCTCTCATTAACAGCCTCGATAAGATCGTCGGCCTGTCGGTGAGCCGATTCCCTCGCATGTTCGGCTTCAGATCGCCAGTGTCGGGCTTCTTGTCTGGAATCGCGGAGTTCAACTTCTGCGATGTTAAGACGGTTCTTGAGTTCCACTTGAGTCTGCTCCGCGTTCGCTTGCGCAGCTTCAAGAACGGCGAGACGCATCGAGGTCTTGCCAGACGACTGCTCAATACTTCTAATCTTTTGGTCGCGCTCATCGAGAACAGATCGGAGGCGATCTTCCTCTTCGGAAGAGATACGGAGAAGTCGCTGGATCTCAGATAACCTATCTTCTGCATCCCTGCGACCAGAAATCTCCGTTTCGTTCTTATCCTCCTGGAGCTTGAGTCGATCTTCAAGATCATGGATCCTTTGGTCGAAAATGCTACGGTTCATGATTTCAACTTCGACCTTCGTCTCTGCTTGCTCAAGCTGTCGCCGAAGCTCGGAAGCCCGATCTTCAGCATTGCGTCGGACTGTTATCTCGTTCTCGCTTCTAACCTCCTCGGCCCGAAGTCGTTGCTCTAGTTCAAAAACTCTCGAGCGCTCGTTCTCGGTCCGCCCCTCCTCAACACGCAGTCGTTGCTCGAGTTCTAACATTCTCGACTGCATCTCGGAAAGCCTGCTGCTCGCTTCCTCGTTATTGTGAATCACCGGTTGGGGGGTCGGAGGCATGCGGCGCTCAACTGCCTTTTCAACAATATTCTGGAGATCTTCACCACGGAAGTCTAGACGTAATGTTTGACTAAGCTCCTCCTTCATCTGTTCCATTGCCTTCAAGATAGCCACATTCTCCTTATCGGTGTTTTGTTCGACAGTTTCGAGTTGAGCGGCTTGAAGAGCACGCGTGGCCTGTTGTTGGTTGAAAGCATCCATAACAGCAATCCGGATCTGTTCAAGCTTCTTATCTCTTCTAGGGCTCATTGACCGACGGAGAGGTGCTTCTCCCTCGTCATCTTCGTCATCCGCATCACTCTCTTGTATCTCAGCAGAGACACTGCGTACATCACGTCGACTTGAAGGTGGTCTGCGAGCTAGACCACCCAAAACGTGATGGATATTACCGAGTGTCTTCTCTAGAGGATCGAGTCTAGAAGCTAGGAGGCTGCCAACCAAGTCGTTGACATGGCCATCGAAGTACTGAACGCGTTGTTCGAGTTTCTCTTGTTCGCTAGCACTGAAAACATCGTCCCAGTCGCTTTCCGGGAGACTGTCTCCAACATTCAGTCTGTGCACAGAACCATCGAATGTTTGGGATAAAGCGCTGTGTGGAGGGTCGACAAAAGGGTCTTCTAGCTCAGTCGAAGGTCTCGGGGCGCCCGCTTGCTTGGGCAATGTGAGATATTGACGAGGGCTTGGGCTTGGTGCATCACTTCGGAACGGGACCTGGGTTGGTAAGTGCACAGACGGAGACTTTGTAGTGGCAGCAGCAGAAGCAGCGGCAGGAACACTGTGCTCAGGACTTGGTTGGCGCCACTTCGGAGATTCCATAGCCCTGTTCACTCCCATAGTAGGGTCTTTCCGATTGAGATGCTGCATAACCGCATCAATCTCTTCAAATGTAAGTTCATGGGTAGCCTCATCTCTAGGTTGAACAGCAACATCTGACGGCGGGCTGACAGGCAAAGGCTCGAAGCTATGTAGCTCCGATAATTCACTGGCCTGTTCGGTAATACTTTCTGCAAGGAATTCCGGAGCTTGATCAGAAACTGGAGACGGCGTGGCCGCAAACCGAGAAGCGGACAAGCCAGCAGATTTCGGGGGCGGTGAGGGGGTAGCCGCAAACCTCGACGCGTTCAAGCCCTTCGGAGCAGGTGGAGGTGATGCGAATCGCGACGACCCTAGACCCATTGAGGACGGAGCAGGGTCACGTTGTACAGATGCAGCCCGGGATGCGGATACTGGCTCGGGTTCTTTTTCAATGCCAGCAGGGGTAGACGTGAAGTCTGGTCCAGGAGTTGGGGATCCAGCACGGTCATCTTCGATTTCATCCTCAGGCTCAGGGATGTGCACTGGCTCGCTCTTCAGAACAGGGTCAAATGAAGCGGCGTTGCTCGTTCCGAACATAAAGGCCCCTGGCACAAACGGCCTAGCTGTTGCGGAAAGGCTCTTGTTATGCTGCTTCTTAAACGAGGGTTCCTCGTCGCCAAATGGCCTAGCATTATTGAAATCCTGAATCTCAGTCTCGTTGTTGAATTCGAATGGCTTCCAGGTGCCCTTATCCTGGTCAGGAGAAGTCGTTGATGGGCTAGTGGTCGTTTTCGTATCATTCGATTCGGACTGTAACTTGCCGTCTGTAGATTCTGAGAGTACAGTCGATGCAAAGGTCGTGTCCCCTACATGCATATTCTCATCGTCATCGATCTTAGCCTGGCCGGAGAGATTCTCCTCTTCAAGACCATCTTCAATTTCGGATTCTTCAGTCTCTGTCACGGCTGAACTGGGCTGAGCCAGTGGCACAACCTCGGGCTCAGGTGTGGGTTCGGCAAACATGGGCACGTCATCACCATCGTCGCTGTTGTCCCTGAACTTCTTTTTCGTCGGATTGGCATCTGCGGGCTGACTTTCTTGATCCTTAGTGGGAGCTGGAGTAGGAGCAGCAGCAGAGTGTTGGCTCGTTGGGCGAAT